TTGACATTGCTTTCTGTGCTTCCTGTGGATGGGCAGTCCTTGTACTGCTTCATAGCTGACAGGGGCCATTCCCACTTCATCTGGGTGGCAACTTGCACCCCTTTTCATCTCTCCCATCCTTCTGCTCCTGAGTTCATTGCCAAACTGGCCCCTGCTTCATTGAGGTGGAGGACCCAGATGTCCTTGCCACCCAATTCCATGTGATCCTATCATATGATCATGATACTACAGTTCCTGGTGGGATTTGTGGTACAATCCTTGCTTATGCCGATCTGGATGGGATCTGTCATAGAGCCTTCCCTACTACAGATCTTGGTGAACTCTACTGTAATTCCTTCAATCTGCCCAATCCTCAATTCCTGCACTCCTCCTCATATGACTTCCGCTTCTGCGCCTCTGGTCCCATAACACAGTCCTCAAAACCCCTTGCGACTTATTGTGGAATAGTGGTCAAGCATATCAAGTGGTGTCTGGTTGTGTTGAGGCCTATAGTTGTGTAGGAGGGAGTATCAATTGCTGCTGATGATGGAATGGGTTGTGATTAAAGCTCATGAGACAGCATGGTCAAAATCATCATCATCTGAGCCATCAAGGTCAACATTTGGAAGTCAGGTGTCCACAGTAGAAGTGAGCTCAAGTTTGAGCTTTGTCTCAACCAGCAAAGTTGCAAGAGTCACCATCTTGATATCCTCCAGAAGCTGTTGCTTGTCAGAAGTGTGAACCATGTTGAATAAGGCAAGTGCAAGGAGATAGGTTGTATTGAAGTGGAGATAGGTTGAATTGAGGTGGTGTGATGGTGAAAGCAGACATGGTGATGAAGAAAGCTCAAACACAGACTGGGTGTCTCCTCAACATCTTAATTTCTTGGATTTCGGGCTGCACAGAAGTGCACCTTCTGCACAGCATGAGACAATTTGCACAATCACTCTAGTCTAGACACAAAGCAAAGAGACAAAGTTACACTTGATCAATTGGATTACAGTATGGTTACATGAGATTGGAAGAGTACAAAAGCGTCAAAACCAAGAACATGCATTGAAGTTGAATTGATAGCAGTGAAGGTGACATTTAATTCGATATAACATGTATTTTATCAAATACATTGTTGGTAATGAAGGAGGGAAGCAAGTGGTTGTGCATCTGCACATCCACACTTAATTTTACACACAGTAATGAAGGACATGACACACCAATGTGATGAAGTGAAGCAAGCAGATGCACATCCATGCATCTGTACTTCATTTTGGAGAGTGACAAAAAAGTGAGTCCATTTTACCAGGTCCAGAGGTGTGTTTTTAGAAACACATGGTTTTTCAATTTTGAGTGAGCTTACTGTAAGCGGTCACACACCTGAAACCAGATTGGGTGCTTCTGGTTGATTTTGGTGAGATCAACTGAGTAAGATCTATTCAGTATGTTTTGGTTGAAAGTAACCAGACAGTTGAGTTCTGGTAGGTTTTGGCCAACTGCCTTGAACACTCTGTTCAGAGGCTATGTGGCACATCCATAACATATTGATGTGGGAGTGGTATCAGATACAACTCTCCTAATACAGCACAAGTGTTTGTAGTGCTGCTGCTTGATGCTCTTGACATCATCTGGACTGCAATAAAACTATTGCCTACAGATGACAGGAGTTACTGGACCACAGGTGTTGGACACTGCCTACACTAACTGACTGGACTGCAGATGTTGAGCAACACCACCTACAGTGATGAAATGGACCACAGGTGTTGAGGAACACCACCTACAGTTGACATCTGACAGTGATACAACACACATGTTCAAGATGTCATTGCAAAGCTATGCTATTGCAATGATATGAGTCAAGTAAAGAGTAGTAAGATAGAGAGTAGAGTGGATGAGGATCCACTTGTTTGCTATGGTGAAGTAGTAGTAGTATTTATGTGTTTTGAGAGATGCCACCTGTGGCACCGCTCCTACTCCTCTGGAGGAGTGTCTCCATCCTCCTCATACTCCTCCTTTCCTTGGGCTGTGTATTGACTCTTCTTGACACTGCCCATCCTCCTCATGGTACCAATGTCAGCCCCCTTGGTCCCACTCCTTCTCCCCTCAATCCATGGTCATTCCTTGGCCCCTATCTGATGGCCCTCTCTGACCATGTGACCATCCTATTGTCTTGTTCTCATCCATGTGGTCTTCCTGGTGACTAGTTCCACATGATTGTGAGCATGTCACCCTGTGTGGTAACCTACCACATGCTCCTGAGCTCAGTCCTCTTCTTGGCTGAACTTGGACCCTCTCCTTGCATGTGAAACCTTTCCTGTCATCCTATCCTTTCCCTCAAAGATGGAGACCTTCTCTGTCAAATCTCCTGTCGCTTCCTTGTAGTCCATTGTCATGGGCCCGGATGCGCAGGAAGCAGGAAGATCTGTCAACTCATATGAAGGGAGCACAGGAATCAAGGAATTGGGCAGATCGTAGGATTTGCAGCAGAATTCACTGAGATCGGTAGTAGAGACAGCTCTATTACAGATCTCACCTAGATCGGCATGAGCAAAGTTGATATTACAAATCCCACCGAGATCGGTAGTTGAAGAGACCATGTGGCAGATTCTGCAGAGATCAGTGGCAAGGATGATTGTATGATGGACTCACATGCAAGGGGGACCAAGTGCTGCCAAGGAAGGGACCAAGCTCAGGAGCATGCAGTTGGTTACCACTCAGGGGTCACAAGATAAGGACCTGGAGAACTGTCACTGGTCAAAGGAAGAAGAGCTGTGTCAAGGACACTGGCAAGCAGGTCATGAGGAGGAGGAGCAGTGTCAAAGGAGTCAACACACAGCTCAAGAAGGACAGGAGCGGTGCTACAGGGACCCCTGTATAGTACTTGATGAAGAGGGTACTCTCTGGAGAGAGAGAGCCAGAGCAATGTCACAGGTGACACTACAAAGGATGTATATAAGCATACCTTCTCATCATAGGTGGATGAGTGGATCCTCATCCACTCTACACCATATAAACTAGTTACTACTTCAAGCATAAGTACTCTTTAGTTTCAGTCAGCATAGTTGCAATCAAGTAGATTGCCTCTCATTGTAGCATGTGTGTCATATCACTGCTCACTGACATCCAAAGGCAGTTCATAGCAAACCAGTGGTCCAGATAAAGATAGAACCAAAGACAGTAGTCCACTGTGGTCCAGGGATCACCTCAAGCAATAGTCGACACACTGGACACTTGTGTCAGCATCACCAAACAATCACATCACTCACACCAGACCTTGGTGTCAGTACCAGTTCATATCAGTTATTGATCATGCCAAGCTACCCCTGGATGGAGTGTCCACAGTGGTCAGTCGAAATCTGCAATAGCAGTACTTCAATCACAGATTTGAGCAAGAAAAGTGATAGAGATGGCTCTATCACATATTTCACCAAGAATTGCAATACCACAAGTGTTGTTGCATAACTCGACAGGATCTGTAATAGACGAGACTCTATTACCGATCTCAGGTTTCAGGCGCGAGACCGCTGACATCCATCAGCCCATTCTGTAACAATGGAAGCTTCTTGCAGTGTGTTTGGTGAACTCAACCAGATAGTCATATTCTGGTTGATTTCAGCAAAACCAACCAGATATGTGCAATGTGGTTGTTGTCAGTGAAATCAACCGGAAACCCGTGATCCGGTAGATCTCACACTTCGTGTGCACCAAGCTCCCCATACCTCATTTCGGGTCTTCTGCGCATACCCTATGACACTTATGTAAGGTTTTTGTGTGAAATAAAAACACATCAAAATCGAAATACACGTGTTTCTAAAAACACTCAAAATTTGATACCCCCTTATGCTGCTGGAAGATAGAACTCCGATCGACGCTTATCAGGAGGTATTAGTCACAGTACGGTGTTCAAGCTTGTTGAGCTAAACACTATACTATATTGACATAAGGAAAGAACATAGCAGTAGCTCGAGCTCTCCGCTCACTATCTATATACATTCTGGTTTGTGGCTGTCTGTGGAGATGACTGTCTATGACAATGGATGTGTCACTGTTGCCCTCGATCTTCATTGTGTGGGCCCGCCCGATCTCCGATCCGATTGACTCTCCCCGATCAGTCACCAGATCGTGTTCTGCTGGATCGTTATCTCCAGCATATGCTTGCAAGACAGATAATTGATGGAATGTGAAGAAGTTCTGTCCCGATAACTGGCAATTGGGGAGAGTCTGAGTACGATGTCACTGCTGTTTTAGACAGAAACATATATACTCAATTGACTGAGTGAATGTGGTGAGAACCTTGTGTTCTCAGCTTGATATATATACATCTATGAGGCTCATACCAAAATGTGGGAGTATCCTACTTCATGACCTAGCTTGACAAAGAGTGGGACTGTGTTGTACCTGATACCTGGTCAGATCGGTCCTCTGACCAGATCGGCTCTGCCTGATCCCCGATCAGATCGGCTCTGCGTCATCGTTTAGCGTCTCACTGGATCGTAATCTTCAGCATCCCGAGGTTTAGCCAAGAAGAGGAACACTTTCCTTATGTGACCCTTCGAGTCTTCGAGATATTTCCCCCGATCCGCGATCCGAGCGCAGATTATTCCAGCATGTCGTGCAAACAGGGCCTAACATTTTAAAATCCCGGCCGTCTGCGTCACGTTACACACTGCTGAGGTGCACCGCTTCTCAGGCTCTCGAGCTTCGGTGGTTGGTGCCCGCAATTTTTCGAAAGAGCCGTGCAACCGAAGAAGCACAGATCCGAGCGCTTTCGTGGAAGAACGGTGCTTCTCAATATTGTTCTACACCCCTCCACCAAGCATCAAGCAGTCTCTCTCGAGCCTTCTGCATCACCTACAACCGCCAGTCATCTCATCAGACGCAGACTGGGCCAGTTGCGCAATCGTCACGCTTTCTGAGCCGAAAAAGTCTCAATTTGGACGCACATCGAGTGACGATTGCCGATTTCTCGAGGACGATCCCTTTCTCGTTCGACCCAGCCTCAGAAACGACACAATTGCGAAGCATCAACAATGGAGGCAGAAGACGCACAAAAAGCGCTCCGGCTTGCGTTCAAACATGACGCAAGCGGTGACACAGCGGCCGCTATCAAGTGGGCGAAGAAGAGTGTTGCCATCTACAAGACACCGTCAGCAGAAGCACTTCTAGTTCGACTTGAAAAGAGTGGTGCGTCCGGCAATGGTGCCTCAACCTCAGCATCAGCTTCGTCCTCTTCAGCTGCCGGTGCCTCATCTTCCGCTGAGGGACTTCGCTCACGCACAACAGCCTCTCAGACCAACGGACGATCACCAGCCGAAACAACACATTCAGCACCAAAACGAGCGTACACTTCGGCGCAGATGGAAGTCGTGACCCGGATTAAGAAGGCAGGTGGTGATTTTTACAAAGTGCTCGGTGTCGATAAGACAGTGGATGAGAACGGAATTAAGAAGGCGTACAAGAAGTTGGCATTGCAGCTTCATCCTGATAAGAACGGCGCTCCTGGTGCAGATGAAGCGTTTAAGAGTGTCTCGAAAGCCTTCAGCATCCTCACAGATGCGGATAAGCGGGCAGCATACGACCGATATGGAGGAGATCCAGACAACGCAAGATCAGCAGCAGGTGCAGCCGCAGCAGGGCATCACAACCCATTCGGCGGTATGAGAGGCACACCTTTCGGAGGCGGTGGAATGTACACAGACGAGATCGACCCCAACGATCTCTTCAACATGTTCTTCGGCGGAGGTGGTATGGGTGGGGCGCAATTTGGCGGAACCACCTTCTCGTTCGGTGGATCAGGCATGCGAACACATCAATTCCGACAACGACGACCTGGGCCACGTCGTGCTCATGCAGAACCTCAAAACGCTAGCATTCTTCTTCAGCTTCTACCATTGCTCGTACTCGGCTTGTTCAGTCTTCTCGCATACGCACCGTCGCTGTTCTCGACACCAGATCCGAGCTTCTCTTGGACGCCTTCCACCACGTACAAAACACAACGCATGACCGAAAAGCATCACATTCCGTACTATGTCAACGACAACCAGTTCAACAACCACCCATTCGTCACCGGAGAGCGCAGCAAAAAGGATATCGCTGGATTCGAGGGTCGTGTAGAGAATGCCTACAAGCAAGCCATGTACTCGAGTTGCGAGCGTCAACGAGAGTATCAAGAGAGAAGGCTTGCTGCAACAAGAGGGTTCTTGGGTATCGGGGTAAGTTCGTCGCATATTCATCGGCAGGGCTCGAGATGCCGAACGAGATTATACTAACCAACCTTATCATCTTCCACTTGCGTCGCACTCAACAGGGAGATGAAGAAGCTGCCAAGAGAATCATGGCAGAAGTCTACGACAGCTGCGAGAAGCTCAAGCAGTTCGGTATCTACATCTAGCCTCTTCTTTGCTGCTCGTTTTATATCTTTCAGTACATAGACAGCAATCTTTATTTATAATAGGCTTTGCTAGCCGTGATGTATGTGTGAGACGGGTTGAAGTATCAGCTGTGACATGAGCTCTGCTAGAGAAGCAAATGCTGAGCATAGTGTGAGATCGTCAAGGTTTTTCGTACGAAATGCGTTTGAGCCAAATTTTAGCGGCAAATGTGATTCTGTGGGTGGAGAAGCAGGGTTACGTTGCAGCAGTGTGAATCAGTTGAAGATACATCGGTATCTTAAAAGGATGCATGGGTTACAAGCAAGGCACTGAAACACCAAATGCCTGCATAAGTGAGAAACACAATGAAGGGTTGTCATAGCAATGGCTCAGGGGCACCTCATAACATAACAACATAGGGGTATGAAAGGAGTGACACATTCTGTCTCAGATATGACCAGAGTGGTGATAGGATATATATATGCACTTGTCATTTAGGTTTGCACTATGAAAATATAGGCATTACAAGAAGCATACAACTGTGGTAAAGGGAGTCTGATTGTGACCCCAATAATGCTGTATACTAATTGTTATCTTCAATTGATTAAGAGTCTGAGGAAGCTATCACCAAGCTAACCAAAACTCATCAACAACCATGGTAGAAGACACCAAAACCCAGGTCAGTGCCAGCATGAAGACCAAAGGAAGCAGAAAAGGCAAGGCCACCCAGGTATGGGCTGACAATGATGCCATGAATGAGAACGAGCTGGACATCATTGACAATGAAGCTGACGAAGATGCCAATTCTGACTCTGATTTCAATGATGGCAACAAGCAATATAACTTTTGCACCCTAGCAAAGCTCCTCAAACCTGTGCTGAAGCTTATGTCACAAAGCTACTACAGCTGGAGCACCCACGTGAAGTCTTTCCTCCAATCTGTGCCCCATGCAATGAAACACCTTGAGGGAACATATGACAAGAAGCATCTGAAATGGAGCCACTCTCTCGATGATGCTTTGACCAATGCTCTCTGTGGGACAATTGACACTACTGGAGAACACAATGTCAATTACCTTGTTCTAGATGTAATCAAAGAGTATCTCACTTTCCATCAAGTGTGGAGAAAGATTGAAAACAGTCTAATGAATGAAGCCACCAAGATATCTCATAGACTCACACTTATCTCACAGCTCAGTGACATAAAGATGTTCCACTCTGATGCAAGGAAGCTAATTCAAGAGATCCGGACCATCCAAACCAAAAGCAGTCTTCTTGGGAAGCTGTTCACCAATGATACATTGTTCTCGGCATTGCAGAAATGCACAATCTGGCATCTGGTGTACAAAGAGATGGTTGCCACCATTCACCAGATCGACTTCAACACCCTTGCAACTGCATTGAGCATTCACCAGACAGCCATTGAAAGCATCCCTGTGCAAAAGATCGACCTGCGACAGGCCAGCACCCAGACCATCAGTAACAATGATCAAGATGACCAGGCTGAGGAATCTGAGACTGGCAACAGCAATGCAAACCTGAAGAGCACAAGCAGACCATGACAACTCTGATGCTGGATCTGTAAATGACCAGGACATGGTATCAGTCAGTGCAATGCCTTGGTCACCATCCCCAAAGATTCCCCACTTGCCAAACCTAAATAGGAGGTGTGGTGCTCCACCATTCATACATCGAAGTGGCAAGAACCTCCAAATGCAAAAGAAGCAGTGCATTGGATACTGGACTCAGGTGCAAGCTATCATATGGTAAACTCTTATGATATGCTCATCCACCCAAGAACCTGCTGAAAGCATGTGATCACTGCTGGGAATGAGGTTCTGGAGGTGACAGCCATAGGAGATACTAGCATATTAACAGATTATGGGGATATTCCCTTACAAAATGTATTGTATGTCAAGCATCTCAATGTCAACCTCTTGTCAACAAATTCATTGACAGATGATGGAGCACAAGTGATATTGGATAATACCAGCAGACAAATCTATTTGACAAACAGCATGACACTCAAGGTTGCAAAGAATCATGAGCAAGGACTTCTAGAGTTCTGAGGCATTACATGGCAAGAGAGCACAATGACCACATCAACACCATTGTTTGAAGGTGTCAATGAGGAGTTTGAGCATATTGAGAATGAGCTGAAAATTTCAAAACAACAATTATGGCATGAACGACTAGGACACCCAGGCCAAGACAAGTCAAAGGCAATCATAAGCAAACTGAAGGATAAACACATTGTGGATTTGGACCCAGATACTGCTCTGAAATGTGAGCAGTGCATACAATCCAAAAGTATGGTCACTCAGATGGGGCAGGGTAGTGGCAAAAGAGCTGCAGGGCCCCTAGACCTTATACACATCGACCTGATAATAGACTCATTCCACATGACAGAGTATACATGCATGCTGGTGCTGGTCGATGATCATAGCAAGTACATGCATGCACAGCCATTGTTATGGAAGAGTCATGCATTTGTGCAACTCAAAAGGATTGTTTCCTTTCTGGAGACACAGATGGACCAGAAGTTAAAAGCAATCTGATCTGATCAAGGGACTGAATGGAAGAGCAATGATGCATTAGAATGGTCACTAGAGAAAGGTATTGAGTGGCAAACCACTGTGGGGTACAATAGCAAACAAAACAGGCAAGTGGAGTGAATGAACAGGAGTCTAGGTGAAAGGATGTGGATGCTCCTAACTCAAAGGAGACTGCTGAAGAGATTCTGGCTGTATGTGATCTGAGCAGTGGCATTCAAAATAAACCTCACTCCAAGCATTGACAATGAGTTTCCTTATGAAGCAATGTTTGGGAAGTCACCAGAGTGACTCATAAGCCTCCTATGAGTGTTTGGATGCTTGGCATGGGTGAATGTACCCAAGGTCAAGTGAGACAACAAGAAGCTGGATCAGCAAGCCATCACATCCATTTTCTTAGGGTATAGCTTGGAGTGAAAGGGTTGGTTATTTTACAGCCCAGAATACAGCCCAATGATCTTTTGGAGTAACTTGGTGAAGTTCATGGAATCGAAGTGTTGGTCAGACAGAACAGAGTGGCAACTGGTCAGTACACAGATGCCACCAATGATAGCAGCTGAAGAAGACATTGAGAACCTCGGATATATGGATGAAAACTTATTTGATGAAGTGGACAGGGAACCATTAATGGAGTACATCGACATGGATTCAAGCTCAGAAGACAAACAAAGTGAAGGCACAGTGAAAGAGGCTGAGCATAAACTAGTCGCTGAGACCCAGATTGATGATGAACTTTTCAGACTCATGGCAACATGTCCAGAACAGAGTAAAAATCTGGACCCAACAGTCAGTGAAGCATTAGGTGGAGAGGATAGGAAACATTGGGAAGAGGCCATGCAAAAGGAACTGGATGGTTTGGAGGCTATGGGCACATGGGAGATCACTGATCTACCAAAAGGAGCAAACACCATCAACACATGTTGGGTACTCAAGATCAAGACTGATGTGAACCTTGTACCAACAAAGTTCAAGGCCAGACTTGTAGCATGGGGCTTCACACAACACAAAGGTATTGACTATACAGAGGTCTTCGCACTGGTAGCACCCATCCAATCCATTCAAGGGGTGCTTGCTATTGCAGTGATTTGAAACTGGGAGATGGACTCAATTGATGTGAAACAAGCATACCTAAACTTGATGATACATCATGATGTATACTTAAAACCACCAATCAGAATCAAAGTACCACCCAGAAAGGCATTGAAAGTAGTGAAGGGGCTGTACAGTTTAAAGCAATTGGGCCATGAGTGGAACATTGAGCTAGATTCACATCTCTGAATGATCAGTTTTCACTGCATGCCAAGTGTGCCATGTCTGTACTCAAGAGGAACAGGTGATAGGATTACAATCATCACAGCATATGTAGATGATATGCTGATAGCATCACCCAGTCACAATGAGGTGGATTGCACTAAGCAGGAAATCATGAGCAAGTGGGAAACACAGGACAATGGTGAAATCAAGGAGTTCCTAGGAATAAAGATCACATGTGACAGAAGACAGAGGAGGATATCTTTAGATTTAATGGCATATGTCAAAGCAATGGTGAACAAGTGGTTAGAAGGAGCAAATGACAAATCATGGGTACCTATGCCAAGTGTGGCAAACATCACTGGAGGAAAGAAATGCAACCCCAAACAGGTGAAGAAGTATCAAGAGTTAGTTGGCCAATTACTATGGGTTTCAAACACTGCTTGACCAGACATCACCTTTGCTGTAGGTACATTGGTGTGATACATGTTGAGCCCAATCAACAGTGCATGGAAGGCCACCACTCATATGGTAAAGTACTTAAATCAGATGAATGGGTACCAGCTACATTTAGGAGGAGGATCAAGCAAACATGTGGACAAACCTGTAACAATGTATACTGATGCAAACTGGGCATTGGATCCAACAAATGGATGGAGGAGCACATCCAGATCCATAACCTACATATATGGATGCCCAGTTAGTTGGAAGTCTCACATCCAGAAATGCATAGCATTATCAGCAGTAGAAGCAGAGTTTGTTGCTGCTTCCAAAGCAGTACAAGAAGCACTATTCTTCTCATATCTGCTCCAGGATTTGGAAATCACAGATGTCCAGCCAGTGTTATACATGGACAGTCAGGGGTGCATTCAGGTAAGTAAAGACCCAGCCAAGCATTGGAAGTTGAAGCACATTGACACTCAGTACCATTTTGTTCATGACCACATGCAAGAAGGTGATGTGGAGATCAAATTCAACAGAATGGCAGACAATGTCACAGATATCTTAATGAAACCTTTACAAGGCCTCAATATCTCACAGTTAGCTAGGATGATAGGATTGGAGATCCCATTGAGAGGGAGAGTTGAAGATATGTCGGTATCTTAAAAGGATGCATGGGTTACAAGCAAGGCACCAAAACACTGAACACCTGCATAAGTGAGAAACACAATGAAGGGTTGTCATAGCAATGGCTCAGGGGCACCTTGTAATGTAACAACATAGGGGTACAAAAGGAGTGACATGTTCTGTCTCAGATATGACCAGAGTGGTGATAGGATATATATATGCACTTGTCATTTAGGTTTGCACTATGAAAATATAGGCATTACAAGAAGCATACAACTGTGGTAAAGGGAGTCTGATTGTGACCCCGATAATGCCGTATACTAATTGTTATCTTCAATTGAATCTGAATCTGAGTGAGAGAGAGACTCGGTTCGTTTAGGCGAAATCAAAGTGGCCGTGAATAAACCAACACTTGAGTTACACGCTATCTTCCATCATCATCGTCAACCTCTTTCGCCCTCGTCGCTACTTACCAACGCCTTCAAGTCGCTACACATACATCACATTGGCTCACGACTTCTTTTCTGCGACCTGTTCAAGACCCGGCAGCATCAGGCAACTCATCACAGCACCGAGAGCTGCAAGTACCAACTACAACCAGTCTGCATCTAGAGTGCTGAGTCGAGAGACAGCGTCACCTTCACATCATGGTAAGTGTTCTTTTCGCGATTGTAACCCCCTCTCCTTGATCTTGAAAGAAATGCTGACACTGTAGCATTGCAACCACACCTTCATAATCCATCTGCTCCGTCTCTCTCCGCAGTCCACACCATCAAAGAAGCGCCTCATTCGAGACTTTAAGCGACTCTCCGCCGACCCACCTGGGGGTATCTCCGGTGCTCCATGCGCTGACAACCTTATGATCTGGAACGCTGTCATCTTCGGCCCCGCAGATACTCCTTTCGAAGATGGCACTTTCAAGCTCGTCCTCACTTTCGACGAATCCTATCCGAACAAACCACCCACAGTCAAGTTCTTGTCCAAGATGTTCCACCCCAACGTCTACGCCAACGGAGAGCTGTGTCTCGACATTTTGCAGAACAGGTGGTCACCAACATACGATGTAGCAGCAATCTTGACGAGCATTCAGAGTCTGTTGCACGATCCCAACCCTAATTCGCCAGCAAATGCAGAGGCGGCAAGTTTGTACAGGGAGAACATGAAGGAGTATGTCAGGAGAGTAAAGGCCACTGTTGAGGCGAGCTGGTTGGATGACGGTGAGACGGTGGAGCCTATCCCAGAGGAAGATGAGGAGGGCACAGCAGCGTCAGCGAACGGTACAGCACAAGCAGCATAGTTCTATCAACCCACAACATCCTTCCCTCCTGCCTCCATATCCATCAAGATCCCTTCCTCTCAGACACTACGCATGTCTCTTCCTCTCCACAGCACGACCTGTTTCCATCTACATTCGGCCTTGCACTTCATTTTGCTCGTCTTGCACCACATTTCAATCACAGTTCTCCGCCCTTCCTGCTTTTATGTTCCCTCGTCGACTTTTGTTCTAGGTTGCTTCATCCCAGCGCTCTTCTCGTCCGTTGTTCTCGTCCATGTACATCATATCCTCGACTTTTCTTTGTTATTCCGTGTCCAGTTCGATTTTCGCAAGAAATACCCATTCAAATGACGCTTATGTGTGCAATGGTGTGTGCGCGGAAGCTGGAAGACGAGAGAGAGTCTCGACGTCGATCGAAATCTCCAAGTGCGGGGTGATCACGCATTTGGATTCCAAGTGGTTGTGCCCAGCAACCAGCTTTACCTGAACGCTAGTATCCTCTCAATTCAACTCAGTCTCCATTGCTTCATTTCACACAGTAGTCAGACAAGACAGGCAAAGAAAGAAACTGAGAATACACGAAAAGTTTTGAAGATTCATCAACAAGAATAAGCGGTGGTGGTGTGTGTGATTGAGGGATGTGTCTGCTGTATGAACAAAACATGCGAATAAAGAGAAACGAGACAAGTGTTTTCTTTTGTGAAACATCCTTCAGTCAAAGGATGAGTTGGGGAAAGATAGAGCTGTTGTTACAAGACCACTTTAGGTATGCGGGATACGAGATGCAAGGAGGGGGGGACAGGGAAAAGTGCGACGCAAGAGAGAGTTTCAGAATGGATGCAATTACTGCTTCTTCTCACCCTCACCCTCAGGCTTGGACTCGCCGGCGTTCTCAGAGGAACCGGACTGACCCTTCTTCTCGTAAACGAGCTTGAAGAGCTGGAGCGAAGCCTGCTGGGTAGCGTCGATCTTTTCACGGATGGTTTGGGCCTCGACCTCAGCGTCACCGTTCAATCCCTTGGAGGCGAGCTCCTCGGTCTCCTTGATGAGAACGTTGAGCTTCTCCTTCTCCTCGGCTGGAAGCTGCTCGCTAAACTCCTGCATAGCCTTGGTGGTCTCAGAGCAGACCGAGTGGGCACGGTTAGCCTCCTCAATGACAGCCTTGCGGGCCTTGTCAGCCTCGGCGTACTGCTCGGCATCGGCAACCATCTTCTCGATCTCGTTGTCGCTAAGACCGGAACCAGCAGAGATGGTCATGGACTGGTCCTTGTTGGTTGCCTTGTCGAGGGCAGAAACGTGCATGATACCGTCGGCGTCGATGTCGAAGGTGACCTCGATCTGAGGGACACCCTTGGGTGCGGGAGGGATACCGGTGAGCTGGAAGTTACCGAGCAACTTGTTGTCACGGACGAGCTCACGCTCACCCTGGTAGACCTGGATGTCGACAGCAGTCTGGCCATCAGCGGCGGTGGAGAAGACCTGCGACTTCTTGGTGGGGATGGTGGTGTTGCGGTTGATGAGACGGGTGAAGACACCGCCGAGAGTCTGAATACCGAGGGAAAGAGGAGTAACATCGAGGAGAAGAACATCGGTAACCTGACCGGAAAGAACACCACCCTGAATGGAAGCACCGATAGCGACGGCCTCGTCGGGGTTGACGCCCTTGCTTGGGTCACGCTTGAAGATGTTCTTGACAGTCTCGAGAACCTTGGGCATACGGCTCATACCACCGACCATGATGACCTCCTGAATGTCCGAGGGCTTACAGCCAGCGTCGGCAAGAGCCTTCTTGCATGGCTCGACGGTGCGGTCGACGAGCTTGCCAACGAGACCCTCGAGCTGAGCACGGCTCATCTTGGTGTTGATATGCTTGGGACCGGAAGCATCGGCAGTGATGTAAGGCAAGCTGATGTCGGTGGAAGAAGCACTGGAAAGCTCGATCTTGGCCTTCTCGGCAGCCTCACGGATACGCTGAATGGCCATGCGGTCCTTGGACAGATCGAGACCAGACTCCTTCTTGAACTCGTTAACGAGGTGCTCGACAAGGACAATGTCAAAGTCCTCACCACCAAGGTGAGTGTCGCCGTTGGTCGACTTGACCTCGAAGACACCCTTCTGCATCTCGAGAATCGAGATATCGAAAGTACCTCCTCCCAAGTCGAAGACGGCAATAACGGACGAGTCGTCGCGGTCGAGACCGTAAGCAAGGGCAGCGGCGGTGGGCTCGTTGATGACACGGAGAACGTCAAGACCAGCGATGGCACCGGCGTCCTTGGTAGCCTGACGCTGCGAGTCGTTGAAGTAAGCAGGAACAGTGATAACGGCGTGCTTGACGGGCTTGCCGAGGTAGCCGGAGGCGGTCTCCTTCATCTTGCCGACAACGAAAGCACCGATCTGCGAGGGAGAGTATTTCTCACCTCGGACCTCAAGCCAGGCGTCACCGTTGGAGTGGGGAACAATCTTGAAGGGAACATTGTTCAAGTCCTTCTGAACCTCCTTGTCCTGGAACTTTCGGCCAATAAGACGCTTGGTTGCGAAAAGGGTAGCCTCGGGGTTGACGACGGCCTGTCGCTTGGCAGGGAGACCAACCAGACGCTCGCCATCCTTGGTGAAAGCAACGACGGAGGGAGTTGTTCGGCCACCTTCCGAGTTTTCAATGACACGGGCCTGCTGGCCCTCCATGACGGAGACGCATGAGTTGGTAGCTGAGCGAGGAAAACGAGATAGGAACAGATTAGACAAAGGAAAGTCAGCACGCTGTTTCCGTGTCCTAGAGCTCCAGAAATCAGATTCTTTCCAGACTTGCTGTATCGCCACCTCTTGAGCTAGCTGAATTTGTTGCGTCACAGCTTCAGCTTGGCTTCCGAGATGCGGACAAGCTGCGCTTTTCTTGGATACTTACTTCCCAAATCGATACCGATAACGGGGCCAGAGACCTTGCCGGAGGCGAAACGGGCGCCAATTGGTGCCAAGCGCTGTAAAAGCGAATCCGAGAGAAGCAAGGAGAGAGATCAGAATGTCAGTGACACGAGCTCGCCACCGGACCAATGCACTTTCGACGAGTTCGACGCTGCTTGCACTTTGCCGTCGCCATCAGCGAGAATGCATTACTTACGGCAACACCGGGAGCGGCGGAGCGGAGAGGCTGGCTCAAGAGCCTTGTCGCCGGAGCGGCGGCACGGATACCACGAGAGAACATGGCTGTGTGATGTACGTGAAGGTGAGGGTATGGGACGAAAAGATGGTGGAGGAAGAGAAGAAGTGAAAAGCCCGATTAGCGCAAAATGTGTGTGTGTGTGTGTGTGTGTGTGTGAGTTGGGCTGAGCACAAGCAGGCTGTCGAGTGTAGTAAGAAAGTGAATGTGACGACGAATAAGAAGGAAGCAGAAATTGCGGGTGGAGTTGAAATCGGTTTTTCCTTTCGGGGTTGGTTGGGCTTGGACGCTGCAGCGAAGAAGGAAGAAAGTGGAATTGATCGGGTGGTTTGCAGCAAGCAAACAAGCAAGCGGATTGGACAACAGGCAGGTAAGAAGAACTGGAACGCTCAGGCTTCCTCTCAGGCTTCCTCTCAGGCTTCTTCTCAGGCTCTCTCTCTCAAAAAATTCATTGATTCAAGTCAAAGGGCAGCAAGAGAGGCTTCTGTCTGGTTCTTTGAATAGCACAGTTGTTTGACTCAGCTCAGCAAGCCAATCTTGCCGCCTTCTCTACTTTAATTCAATGACAAAGAGCCCTTTCAACCCCGATCTTTCGATTCAGCTTTCTGACTTCTACTTCTCTTCAACGATCATGTCGTTGAAACTTTCTTTGTGGAAGAAGCTTCGTGTTTGCCGGATGAAGAGCAGGCAGAAGTGGTTTTGATGCGAGATCGTGCTTTCGGACACAGCGGTCGAACTGAGCCGGTGCCAAGCTGCAATTCACGGTGGAGTTGCAAGGTGACGCTGTTGCTCTGCTAAGCGGAATATACAGTAGGCTCAGTTTGATCCAACGTCATAGCGCTCTGTTGTTACAATTTTTGACCTTTTTGCAGCCTGCTTTTCCCGACTTCTTTTTTGCAAGAACACTCTTTGAGACGTCTGTGTGCTTTTCGAGATTCTTCCTCGACCTTCGCTGACAAAATATTATTTTGCAGCTCGAGATCGGCCAATTCCGTCCGTTCCATCACCGATGCTCGTCGACCCTATCCCTGTGAACATAGTCGGCGTAACATCTTCAGCTTGCTTGCGCCTCGTTTCTCTTTCTCTATTCCAACTCGATGCCCTCACAAATCCAAAGAAAAAGCGAAAAGATTATTTTTATTTTTATTTTAAATTTAATAATAACAGGCCGTCTACGGCCTATTTACGATTGCAGAGAAAAAAGAAATACGTACAAAAATAGAAGAAAGGCCACCACGAAAAGAAAAGAAAATGTACAGGAGAACAGACCCTAGGCCGCGCTCGAGCGTAGTACGCAGAAGAGCGGTCAAGGAGTTGAAGTCATTCGTCAGCGTCCTGGAGTCATTCGTCAGTGGTTGGGGTTGAGGTGTCTTTGTTGATGATGGTAGGAGAGAGAGAGAGCGAGAGAGCTAGGAGTCTATATATACAAAAGAAGAGCGGCGGACTGCGGAGCATAACAAAGCATTTGCCTTGAGTAGGTTGTGACACATGTGGTCCGTGCTAAGATGTTCAGGCCTTTTACTCGGCCGTAAGCACTACCTTCACTGTCTCCACGCTTTGTGCGGCTTTATCTACTTCAACTCCCCCCCTCAACAGCATATGTACCCTGTTCATTATGCTGTTGCTTCAAGGTGTGACCTCCGTTCTTCAACACTGTTGCATAGCTCGGGGACCCCGTTCCGTACACTGCTGCCGGTATTTGCAGGTGTAGCCCAGATCTTGCTTGCTGCATTGCCTGCCTCCCAATGGGTTTCGTGAGTACATCTGCCAAGTTTCTTGTGGTGTCTACGTACTTGATCTGCACCCTTCCCTCTTGTACGTTGTTACGGACGAAGTGATACTTGGTGTCGATGTGCTTAAGCTTCCAGTGCTGTGCTGGGTCCTTACTAACCTGTATGCAACCAGTGTTGTCCGAGTAGACCGTCGGTGTGCCTGTGGCAATGCCAATTGAGCGTAGCAGCTGCTTGAGGAAGAGCACCTCACGTGTTGCTTCCGTGGCTGCAATGAACTCTGCCTCGACAGCAGACAACGACACGCATTTTTGTGTCGCTGACTTCCAGGCTACTGGGTTCCCGTACACTAACGCCACTGACCCCGATGTGCTTCTTCTCTGTATGGTGGCATCGCTTGCCCAGTTTGCATCGCTGTGTGCAACCAGTGGCTCTTGCGACTCACTTGCCCTATAAACCAATCCAACCTGCCTTGTGCTTTCGAGGTAGCGTAAGACCCTTTGTGCTGCCTGATAATGCTCCTGCGATGGTTCACGCATGTGCCTAGCGAGAACACCCACGGTGAGACTAAGGTCAGGCCGGGTGCTGTTGGCAACCCAGAGCAGCTTGCCAACAATCACCGGATACTCCTTCTGTTGTGCTGCGCTTGCGACAAGGGTTCCCTCCGGTATGCTCTGCATTGGAACCATGGTTGGCTTCGTACGTTTGTCCAGGTGCTTTGCCAGCACTTGGTCGATGTACCCTGACTGACCAATCGTCATGGTGCGCATCGCACGGTCTCGACTGATTTTGATGCCCAAGAAGTGAGAGACCTCACCACTATCTTCCATCTTCCATCTCTGACCAATCTGCTTCTTAACCTCTAGGACCGTTTCCAGCCGTGGTGCTATGACTAATGTATCATCGACGTAGATGACCACAATGGCCATATCTTCACCCTGTCCCTTGGTGTAGATGCAGGGAGCGCACTCTACCTGGAAGAATCCCATGCGTCGCAAAGACCTGTCGAACTCCTGATTCCATTCTCGCCCAGACTGCTTTAGGCCATATAGGCCCTTGACTACCTTGTACACCTTGCCGGGTGCTACTCCTGATCCTTCTGGCGGCTTCATGTAGATTGCTTCCTTTAACGTGGAGTTCAAGTAAGCCATAGTGATGTCCAGAGCATGTACCTCCCAGTTGTTCTGCACTGCTAGTGCTAAGATGGCTCTGATCGCTCCGAGGGGTGCTACTGGAGAGAAGGTTTCTTGGTAGTCGATCCCCTCTCTCTGTGTGAAGCCCCTTGCAACCAGTCGTGCCTTGTGCTTAACAGGTACACCATCAGCATCAAGCTTCAGCCGAAGCACAACCTTAGAGTCCACAAGTGGTACTCCTGGCGGTTGGTGCACCACCTCCCAAGTCCCCATTGCCTCGAGTCCTTCTAGCTCCTTTCGTATTGCCTCCTTCCAGAGCTGGGCATCCTCACCATCAATTGCTTCCCTAAGTGTTGGGTCCAGGTTCAGTATTGCTGTGTTGGCGGCGCCTACTGTGCTGTCTTCGGCTGTTAGGAGATCCTCCACTGCAGCCTCTGATTTGGTCTCCTCCTCCACTATGGCTGGCGTGACACTCTCCTCCTCGACCTCCGCGGTCACCACAGGCCTGACTGCCTCTTGTTGGCGATCACTCCATCCTTTGTCCTCATGGAACGTTGCTGAGTTGCTCCATTGAATTGACGCAGGCTGGTCCGGGTTGCAAAACTTCCATGCTTTGTGTTCGTCGTCATACCCAATCATGATGGCTGGCTTTGCTCTAGCTCCGTGCTTGCCTTGCTGGTCCTTCTGTTGAACATGAACCCATGCCAAGCATCCGAAGACTCGCAGTTGCTGGGCCAGCTTGTGCGCAGTGGTTCCATAGAAGGCCTTGTGGGGAATGGTTTTGGTGGCTGACGGGGTAAGGTTCATCACGTGTGCTGCTGCTGTGATTGCGTACGGCCACAACTCTCTAGGGCAAGCTCGACCAATCAGCATCGAGCGCATCTTTTCTTGGACCGATCTGATTGCTCTCTCTGCCCGTCCATTTTGGACGCTGATCCCCGGGACGCTCTTTTGCCACTTAAAACCCTCTTGAGTTTGCCAGTCTTCGGCTGCTATGCTGCACCATTCTCCTCCATTGTCGCTGCGGAGTGTTTTGAGTTTCCTGTCCGTTGCCCGTTCCATCCTGGCTATCCACCTTCTCAGCGCCGTGAGTGCAGCACTCTTTGTGCAGAGTGGTTCCACGTAGATCAGAGAGGAGAAGTCGTCCACAGCAACTAGTGCATAGTGGTAGTTGGCATGTCCTTTGAAATCTGTCATCAGGTCTACGTGTACCAGCTCTAATGGTGCCTCCATTCTTTCCGACTCTGATTGGCTCATCCGTGCTCGAGTCTGTTTTCCTTGACTGCACGCATTGCAGTGCTTCGACTCATGTTCCATTTCCTCATCGGTACCTAGGTAATGGGCCCGGATTTGTCTCGTTTTGTCTCGTCCTGGGTGTCCGAACCTCTCATGCCATAGGTAGCTGTCTTGATGCTTCGTGTCCTTATTGCCCTCTGGGGCATTATCTAGTTTTCCTGTGTTCTGGTTGTCCTCTGGGACGCCATCTCGTGTTTCCTCCAGTTCCAAAGCCAGTGCTTGTCCTCGCACTTTGAAGTGGCCCTGTCTTCTGTCCCTTTTGAATTGTACTTGGGTACCATCGTTCTGCTTTATGGTAGTTCCAAACTCATCGAAGATTACTCGTGCACCATTCTCGATCAAGCCTTGTACGGACAATAAGTTAGCATTCAGTTTCGGTACATAAAGCACATCCAATAGTTGGATGGTGGCCTCACCGACCCGAAGGGAGGCATCTCCTATAGCCTTCACCTGAAGCTTTTCGTCCCCTGCCGTACTGATTTGGCCGACCTTGTTCGTTGAGGTGAGCAGCATTCTCTCATCATTTACCATATGATGGGTTGCACCTGAATCGATGATCCAGGTGTCGCATGCTGATCGCTCGCCCCTGTCGACTGCTAGAAAGGTGCACCCGAGTTCCTAGTGGTTCACCTCCTGTGTCGTACGAGCGACAGGTTCGCTTGTGCCTCGTGCGTTTGTGCAATTTCGAGCAATGTGATTTGGTCCTCCACAAGCATAGCACTTTGGAGGGGCCAAGGGATTGCGAGGATCGCGCCTTCCCCTGGGTCCTTGCTCCGCCTGGTTGGCACTCCCCTGTTCCGCGTTTGTGGCGACCCTTGCTGCTCCTCTAATACGACCAGTGATCTCACCATCCTGCTGTTTCTTGGCCAGTGCATGGTAGGCTTCGTCATACTTGCAGTCTGGTTTGGCCGTTTTCAGTGCATCGACGGTGTTGGCGTAGAACCAATCTTGAGCCGTGCAGCGATAGAGAGTTGATTTCTTGAGGTCCTCGTCGAAACGCTTTCCGAGGCGTGCCGCATCGTTCCAGATCGAATCAAGTTCCTTGCCTAGTCTGACGACGTCTCGATTGTACAAGCGCACTGTGTGGATACGATCCTGCAGTCCTGCTCGCTTTACAGCGTCGTTTAGTGTTAGTGCCTTCTTGAGTTTGGCATAGAGTGTGCTACCAAGTTGAACTTCTTCATCCACCCCTCTGACGGTGTAGGTGTCGATGCGGCTATCCGGGCTGTTATCGCAGCAGGCGTGGATGAGGCCCACGAGTGCCTTGTCTAGGTCTTCATCGTATTCCTCGCTCCCGGGTACAACGGTACCATACAGGATTTCCTTCGCGTTATGCACTCTCTGGAGGCAGTCGATAAAGGTGGGTTCCCAGGTGTGCCAATTGCTATCGCTGAGCTTCTTGATGTGAGCAATGGAGCTCGATACGTCCTTGGGGATCTTTTCGGTCTCCCCGCGTGGAGCTTGGTTGCTAATGTTGACCAGACCCATGGCCCGTACTATTGCTTCCTCTGCCGATAGTGCCGGGTTCGCCAGCTGGAGGATCCTGACTACCTGCGTGAGCCATCCTTCCTCCTGTCCATTGCTTGTGGTCGTTTGATCATCATCGCCCCTTCCCGTCTGTCCAGCTCTTGTCGATGGCGGCATTGCGTTGAGTGTCAGACTCTTAATCAGTTGAAGTCATTCGTCAGCGTCCTGGAGTCATTCGTCAGTGGTTGGGGTTGAGGTGTCTTTGTTGATGATGGTAGGAGAGAGAGAGAGCGAGAGAGCTAGGAGTCTATATATACAAAAGAAGAGCGGCGGACTGCGGAGCATAACAAAGCATTTGCCTTGAGTAGGTTGTGACACATGTGGTCCGTGCTAAGATGTTCAGGCCTTTTACTCGGCCGTAAGCACTACCTTCACTGTCTCCACGCTTTGTGCGGCTTTATCTACTTCAACTCAAGGTTGAGGTGCGGGAGAAGGGCTTGACGGGGTTTTGTGCACCCTTCGTCTTTGGAAGCCCAGGCGGGTTAAGACGCATTCAGAGTCGGGAGGCTCATTGAAAGGAAAACGTTTCTGCATCGATCTTGTTCGAAATTTGGGGAGGGGATTACCCTCGTCTGTCGGCGTTCAATGGTCCAGTTCTTTGTTCTGAGACCGGAGCAAAAATCCGAAAAAAGAGATGCCCCGGGTGGGACTCGAACCCACGATCTCGCGGTTACTTGATTAGAAGATTGCTCTCCTGCGAAGAAATAACCCCATGATCTCGAGAGGCTAATAAGCATCTGAGAAACATAAGCCACATGCCTTAATCCAACTTGGCCACCGGGGCGAACGTTTTCGGACGAGAAAGCTTTGTTGCCTACATGTATCCTCTCACCAGCTTGACAACGCTTGCTCAATATCAAGGTGCCGGCGCCAGAGCTGCACAAGGACTGCAGACAGAACCAAGCAAAGGCATAGGCCCTAGCAACACAGTCAGAGACGGCAATCACATGAATATGCAAGCACAGAGTCACGAAAAGCAGGGAATTTTGAAGCTTGGAGTGGAGCATTGGTTGCAAAAGAGGTCAAGACAGTGCATGTGTTACAAATGAGTCGTAGGCTCTCACGAAGCAATGCCTCGAGTGTGCAATGAACGTAAGCGATGGCATCGCATGGGCGAGATGGAATCTCAAAGTGGACGAGAGAGTGTGCGGTTTGCGATAGATTGGGCTAGGCGAACCGCTTTTAAACAAGGGAAGGGGTCGATTGTACTGTGCTTCTCGCTGCAGCTACACACTTCGAAATCACTCGGAGTTGTCCTGAGCACCAGAAAAAGGATCAGCCTTCTTCTCAGCGCGTGGACTCGAGCCGGAAAAGACGGGGGCAGGGCTCCAACCAGAAGTGAAGTTCTGCTTGGATGGTGTCGAGACAGGCTCCTTGGTGAGGGAAGCCGAAGTGTCGATGCTGGTCAACTTGGGCTCCCCGGTCGTTTCTGCGGCAGTGGCGGTCTCCTCTTCTTCGGCGGTAGCAGCGGAAGACTCGGGGCTCTCGGATGCTGTGGAGGCGGGGGCGTTAGGGGTGACCATGACGCCAGTCTCGTTTAGGCTGGTAGCGGAGAGGGTGTCCCACTCCTGGCTCGAGGTAGTGCCGCTGTCGGTGCCTTGCTGCTGTGCTGGCTTGGCGGATGTTGAAGCAGAAGCCTCCTTGCTCTCTGTCTTATCGTCGTCCTCCTCGTCGTCATCGTCTTCAGCCTGTGCCTTCTTGGCGGCAGCAGCAGCCGATGGCGACGGTCCATCATCGTCAACCTCGTCAAGGCCAGCAGCAGTCATACTCTCTTGACCTTCACCACCGGTAGCAATCTCCTTGCTGACGATACGCATGATAGTGTCGAACACCTCCTTAGGCACAGCCTTCTCGTAGATCATAATGAGCTCGATACTCTTAGGGTACACCTTCAATGCCTTATAGAAAGCAGCAGCTGCTTCGAGGTACTTGTCTGTTCCCATGGCGAAGAGCTGCTCTCCGAGCGAGACATACTTGAGGAAGTACTGCTCGCGCTCCTCAACACCAGCTGGGAAAATGCCGGGCGTGCGAACCTCTTGCAAGAGATCCTGAATGAAGCCATCCTCCTGTTGAGCACGCTTGGCGGCCTTCTCCTTCTCGACCTTGCTCAACTTTTTGCTCTCCTTTTTCAGACCTTTGCGGAATGCGGGGTCGGTCCGACGACGGTGGTCGAAGTAGATGGCATATCCCATACCGGCAACACCGAGAACGGAAAGCGATGTGAGGATGATTTGCGAAGTCTTCATTATGGGCTCAACCTTTCGTTCCAGTCGTAAGGATCTAGGATGAACAGTTGCAGAACGGACGTCGGTGGTCGTCCTGTTTTCGGATGATAGTGAGATGATGTTTGAGATGGAAAGAGTTGAGATGAATCAATTGGACACAAGGGCAATTCAGTTTGCTCCACAGGACCCGATGATGCGTTCATCTGCGTTATTATTCCTTTTTTTTTTTTTTTTTTTTGTTTTTGTTTTTTTGTTTTTTGTTTTTGTTTTTTTGTTTTTTGTTTTTGCTTTTTTGTTTTGTTTTTGTTTTGACATCTCCAGTAACCTCGCTCTGCCGCCTTCCCTTCTGCGTACGAGAAGATCGGGTCGACTAAGCCCAACTGCCGTCAGCTAGGTGCGCGGCTTCTCTGCCGAAGATTACGATCCAGTGAGACGCTAAAGGATGACACAGAGCCGATCTGATCAGAGATCGAGCATAACCGATTTCACTAGAGATCGGGTACAACCAAGTCCCACTCGTTGTCAGGCTGGATCATTAAGTATGGCAACTCACACATTTGGCATGTGCCACCCATATGTATATACAGCACACATGTAAACTGTCCCATAATTTTACATGTCACCATACATCACTCTAATGCTCAATAGCTATAAGTTGTATTGCCACACTGTCTGATATCATCTGAAAGCCCTGCTTCTTCTCTCCAAGACTGTGTAATTGATATTGACATTGACTAAAAAAATTGTGCTATGAAGAAGAGCCGAATTTTTTTATTATGGGACAGTTTATGGAGTGCTCCTCAAGAACACCTTAGTACTTCATATTCCCTCCTTTGGCCTTCAGAACTGCCTTGATGCAGTCTGGTGTGCTCTCTATTAGCATCCTACATGTCTCTGGAGTGATTGCTGTCCATTCAGCTTCACATCTCTTGAGCAGTTCATCCCTGGACTTTGCAATCATACTATACTGTGAAAGTCACATTTTGAGATGGTGCCAGAGGTGTTCAATCAGGTTTAAGTCTGGCAACTGCACTGGCCATTGCATAACCTTAATGCTATTGCTTTCCAACCATATTATTGTCTTCTTTGACATGTGTTTTGGGTCATTGTCTTGCTGAAACATGATGTTGGTGTATGCATGCTGAAGCTGCAAATCTGAGATTGTTTTCAAAAGCTTGTCATTCAAGATATCAATGTATTGGTCTGAATTCATTGAACCCAGCACCAAGCACATACCTCCCACCCCTTCCCATGTCATACAGCCCCAGATCATGATGGAGCCACTGCCAAACTTGACCATCAGCCTGACAAGCTTGCTGTTGAAGCTGGCATTCTTAATCCAACAGAACTGCTTACCATCTGGTCCAAAGAAGTTGATCTTCATCTCATCAGACCATACCACATTCTTCCAATCCTCAACAGTCATGTCCTTGTGCTCATTAGCAAATTTGAAATGGGCTTTGCAATGTCTCTTGAGTAGCTGCAGTTTTTTCACTAACCTTCATGCTTTGTAATGACAGTAATGAAGTGCTTTTCTTACTGTGGTTGGGCATGCTTTGATTTGAAACATCTCCTGCAGTGCATGACATGCTTTCCCAACTGTGGAGGTTGAATTGAGCTTGAAATAGTGATCCAGGAAGTGAACATGATGAGGCTGGAGTTTTCTTGGCTGGCCCCCCTTTGACTTTGGAACATCAGCAGAGGTGCTTTTGCTGATGCAATTCACTGTAGACTTGCTCATACCAAGTTGTTCTGCAATTGAATGGATAGATTCCCCATCTTGGATGTGAAAGAGTGCCAATTGGCACCTCTCTGGGGTGGGTTTTGGCATGATGGTATAGATATGATGGTGTCAGACTGGAAGTGCTGCCAGATTGCTCACAGTCATCTGATTGAGCTGAAACTTTCCACATCACTACTTTCGATGTGTATGAAGGTGCCCACCAAGTTACATTGCAAGTTTCATTGTAGTCAAAAGCCCACAAGGTCAGGAATGGAGTGGTGTTGCTAGTTGGGAGCATGCTCCATAAACTGTCCCACAATAAAAAAAATAAAAAATCAGCTCTTCTTCATAGCACAATTTTTTCAGTCAATGTCAATATCAATTACACAGTCTTGGAGAGAAGAAGCAGGGCTTTCAGATGATATCAGACAGTGTGGCAATACAACTTATAGCTATTGAGCATTGGAGTGATGTATGGTGACATGTAAAATTATGGGACAGTTTATGTGCATGCTGTATATCAAGCTGGGAGTGCTAGGCTCTCACCATGTTCACTCAACCAATTGAGTATACATGTTTTTGTCTTAAAGCAGCAGTAACATCGTAGTTAGACTCTCCCCGATCGCCAGTTATCGGGACCAAACGTCTTCACTTTTCAACATTCTCATCCGGTGACTTTCTCGATGTTGTGGAGCAGACTGAGCTGCAGTTGCATTTGTTTCAGAGCATCACAAGGCGTAAGAATTTTCTTCTAAAAATTTGAAAATTTGCGGGTGAGCGATCTAGCAGCTGCAGAAGTTGTTTCTGAGAGCGCCTGAATGTCAGTTGGACCCTGTCAGAAAGAAGAACTCAGAAAACATCCCAGGCCAGTTGCGTCCGATAACTCTTTCGTTTCATAGACTTCGGCTCTTCTTGGTGCCCCACCACAAGCACAAGACCCATATCCGAAGCACCATGTCACGAACGAAAGGAAAGAAGCCAGGTAGTGGCAAGGTCCAGGCTGTAGCTCCTGCTCCTGCCGCCGTAGCCCAAGCTGGTGATGCTGCATCCGCTGCTGCTGCTGCCCCTGTTGCCGAGGGTGGCGCTGACTTCGACTCACAAGCTGACGGTGGTGCAAAGAAGGGCAAGCTCATCCGACTACGAGGAAAGCGAGGTGGTGTCAAGCATCACAAGGGAAAGAACGCTGCTGGCAACAAGCAAGGCGGTGTCCAGAAAGCAGCTCTCAAAGAAGCTCGCAAGGTCAAAGGCGATGCTGTCAACAAGAAGGCCAACAAAGCTGACACAGAGAATGACACAGGTATCGCCGCTACACCTGTTCCACCAGCAGAGCATGCCGAAAAGATCGCCAAGTTCCACACTCTGCTCAAGCAGCTCGAACAGGCAAAGACCGCAGAGGAGAAGGACGAGATTCAGGCTGGCCTCGACTCCCTTGGGGGTCTCGCACAGTACCAAGCCTGGTCGTTGACAGGTTCCGCCAAGTCCGGTCAGACACCTACCAGCAAGTGGTGCATGGAGGCTCTCAACACCGTCTACCAGCATGACCGCAACCTTCCCAAGTTCCGCGTTCTCGACGTTGGTGCCATCACCGGCACTGCTTACTCCAAATACCGATGGGTTGACGCTATCTACATCGACCTTCACCCGCAAGGCGACAAAGTGCAGAAATACAGCTTCTTCGACTTCCCCGTTCCTGCCAAAGAAAAGGACAAGTACAACATGGTCGCACTCAGTCTCGTTGTCAACTTCGTGGGCGATGTCAGGAAGAGGGGAGAGATGTTGAGGCACGTACACAAGTACTTGCCCGAGAACGACGATGTTCCTGGCTTCTGCTTCTTGGTCCTGCCGTTGAGCTGTTTGACCAACTCGCGATACATGAACCAGTCTCACTTAAGGGCGATCCTCAGCTCGCTTGGCTTCAACGTTCTCAAGCAGTCCGATTCGGCCAAGCTTTCCAGGTGGTTGCTCCAGCGTAAGCCATTGGCTGAGCGAAGAGAGGCTGCGGCAGCTTCCGAGGCTCCTGGCGCATCCGACGATTGGGATGGAACCGTCTTCAAGAAGCGCGAGCTCAACCCAGGCAATGACCGAAACAACTTTGCTATTGTTGTCGACCCCAAGCCCGAGTAGGCCGAACAATCTCTCGTTTGCACACAAGCTTTTACAGTTCCGAATCTTACACTCTCATGTACTTTTAGACAATCTTAATGCACACTCCTTCTTCCAACTTCTCTGGTGTGATGATGCAATGCGTGATCTGATATGAAAGAATCAGAAGGACATGTGTGATAGTGGATGGATTCTTGTCATTAGGTCATCGAGTACTTGGGTCCTCCTCCGCCCTCAGGCACATCCCATCGAATACTCTGGTCAGGTGCCTTGATTGAGCAGGTGTAGCAGTGAATGCAATTCTGGCTGTTGATCACCAACTTCTTGCCCAATGCATCCTCCTGAGCAGGAGTGTCGGCCTCAACATACTCGTAGACACCAGCGGGGCAGCACCTTCCCAAAGGACCCTCGAAAGTACCCACGTTCCTCTCAACGTGTCCCTTGTAGTCGCCATCCTTGACTACCAAGTGAACAGGCTGGTCCTCGGCGTGGTTGGTACCTGTCCTGGAGACCGAAGTGAGGATATCGAACGAGAGCTTTCCGTCTGGCTTGGGGTACTCGATAGGCTCGCACTGAGCAGCAGGCTTGGTCTGAGCGTGGTCCTCACCAGGGTGGTGGAAGGTCCAAGGCACACGACCCTTGAGGATCATCGAGTCGAGACCCGAGTACGCGAGACCACCCCAGAAGCCAAGTGGACCGTGGAATGAAGGCCGCAAGTTGCGCACCTCGTAAAGCTCCTTCATGACGTAAGTGTCGTCCAGTCTGGTCTTGTAGTCGGCAAGGTCGATTGTCTCCTCAGAGCCGGACTCGGCACGCTTGGCCAGTGCGTCGACAAGAGACTCAGCAGCAACCATGCCCGACTTCATGGCGTTGTGTGTACCCTTGATCTTGGGGACGTTGAGGAAACCAGCTGCACAACCGACCAATGCACCTCCAGGGAAGTGGAGCTTAGGGATCGACTGGTATCCACCTTCGTTAAGCGTCCTTGCACCGTAAGCGAGACACTCACCACCCTCGAGAAGGTCTTTGAAGAAGGGGTGGTGCTTCATACGCTGAAACTCACGGAAGGGGCTGAGGTAAGGGTTCTGGTAGTCGAGACCAACGACGAGACCGAGCGAAACCATGTTGTCCTCCATGTGGTAGGTCCAACTTCCACCGTAGGTCCTGGTGTCAAGAGGCCAGCCCATGGTGTGGGTGACGAGACCAGCCTGGTGCTTCTCGGGTTTAACTCGCCACACCTCCTTAACACCAAGACCATACGTCTGTGGGTCAGCACCAACCTGCTCACGCAAGCCGAGCTGCCTGATCATCTTTTGAGTCATAGAGCCGTGAGCACCCTCAGCGAAGAGTGTGATGGGAGCGTGAAATTCCATACCTGGCTCGAAAGAGTCCTTGGGCTTGCGCGACTTGTCGAGACCAATCTCGTTGGTGATGACACCCTTGATGCCGATGGGCTTGCCACTGTCATCCATCTGCCAGAGAGGCTGTGCAGCAGCGAAACCTGGGTAGATCTCGACACCGGCGGCCTCAGCCTGCTCACCGAGCCATGCTACGACACGGGACAAGGAGACAATGTAGTTGCCCTTGTTGGACATCTGTGGTGGATGTGGCATTGGGAAGGATCCGTTAGGTGTAAGGAACCGCATCTGATCTTCGAGAGCAGGCTGGTTCAGAGGTGCGCCGAGCTCCTTCCAGTTGGGCAGAAGCTCGTCGAGAGCGTTGGTCTGAATGACGGCACCGGAAAGAATGTGGTTTCCAACTTCTGGACCTTTCTCGAGGACGACAACACGAATCTCCTCTCCACGCTCCTCGGCGAGCTGCTTGATCTTGATGGCGGCAGATAGACCTGCAGGGCCACCGCCGACGATGATGACGTCGACTTCATCCGCCACACGCTCTACTGTGTTGAGGTCAAAGGGTTCGCCATCGCCTTCCTCGATTGGTGTAGCTCTGCGAGCAGCTGGAGTCGTGGAGAAGGTACGTGCGATGGAAGAGGAGGCAACAGCGCTGGCTCGGCTGGGGATGTAGCTTCGAGTTGCGAGGGTAGAGAGCGAAGCCGAGGATCCAAAGGCAGAGGAGGTAGCGCGAAGCGATCGACCTGCCTGAGCGACTGTATTGCCACGGAGTGCGCTCGCCAGACGGGCTGGCGAGGCATGTGTTGCACGAGCGGCGAACATGGTATGTTGTTCCTTTGCGTTCTACACGAGGCCGAAGTGGGTAAGACGTCCGGAGGGATGTGTGTGGTGGCGATGGAAGGACGTACTACGCGACCGAATGGATGTAGAAAGGGCGCGCTTGGAAATATTTTTTGAACCACCGCGGCTCGTGGTCTAGTAGAGGCGTCTCGAGACGGATGGCGATGGTGGTGATGGGTGAGAAGGAGATTGTTCGGGGTCCCTTAGGTTGAAAGAGATAGGTGCGCTTGTCCTTAGAGCTTGCTGCTGTTGAGCGTGACGTAGCAATTCGATGGCGGACAATGAACCAAGTGCGGGGGTGAGCTAGAAGCGTGTGTCTGTGTGTGAGAAAGAAAGGGTCCGGTCCATGAGCTGTTGATCTCTTCCGGAAGCGGGCCTTTTCAACAGGAAATCCCGCCAAATCCATGCGATTCGCTGCGAAGCGCGCCATTTCTAAGCCTGCAAAAGCTCCAGGAAAAAGTAAAAGAAAAGGTCGTTGAAAACCCTCTTTCTCTCGCGCGCACCGGTCGCGAGTCACTTTGACTAAATTTCAGAGCCAATCGGAACGCGCTATTCGATCAGCGCATCGTTCAATCAGGCATTAGACTTAGCCCGATGCCTCGTCCCGCGCTAATCTACACCTCACTTGCAAAACACCCTGTTTCGTTCAGCAAAGATTGCGGATCGGTGCTGGCCAACATCATATGAGCAGAAGCGATCTGTACGAAATACGAGAAGGAAGAAAGTCAGGCAGAGCACAAGCAAGGAAGAAAGTATGGGATACTAGGCTGAACGCCTTTTTTTGTCCAATTCCGATAGTGGAGTGAGATCGAAGAACTTGCAAGCAAGCCTTCTTCTATATGTATTGCCCGTATACACGAATGGTCCCCCAAGCCCGGGGTGCCCTGATTGAACGGGCCCGCGAGGTAGCTGGTAGAAGACATCGGCGAGCATATAAATGTGTGGAAAGAGAGTGATAAGATACAAATACTAAAAGCCCATAATGCGCAGAGATACGAAGCAGAAGAGAAGTCTAAAGGGAAGATGGGGGGGGCTTAGGAGAGCTCCGATGCCTCACGGAGACATCGTGCCTACGACTATGCTTCTATAATCTAAACGAGAGGGGCAAGGAGAAATATAGATCAAAGCAGCGAGAGAGAGATGTGAATCCTAGAAGGAAGGATTTACATGCTCTGGCCGTCAATGAAGCCCCAGGTGATGGACTCGATGTTCTCGGGGTTCTCGTAGTTGTTGGCAATGTGGCGATAAGCCTCAGTAAGAGCGATGTCACCCTCGGAGCCAACGAAGCTGCCGACAACCTGGACGGAGATCTGCTTGCCGTTCTGGTTGTTCTTGACCTGGACCCACTTGCCGCAAGCGTCGTTGAGCTTGTCAGCGGCGAGGAGCTTGGAAGAGGAGATAGCGATGGGGAGCGAGGCGGGGCCGAGGTTGACACCGCAGTTGCTGTTGACTTCGGGGATGTCAGACCACCAGAGAGGGGTGGAGACAACGGTCTTGGTGTTAGAGGCAGAAGCGGGCTGGGGAGCGTACGAAGCGGTGGGGCTGGCAGCGGCGGCGGCGGGGGAGTAGGTAGCCTGAGCCGGGGTAGCAGTGGCGGAAGCCTCAACCGACTTGGTGTAGGTAGCCTCGGGGGTGTAGGTGGAGGAGGTCTTCTGCTGCTGCTGCTGCTGTTGATGCTGCTGCTGGTTGTTGTTGGAGGCAGCGGAGCCAGAGCCGAACGACCAGGAGATGGGGAAGACACCGTCGTCCATGTTGCCGTTGTTAAGGGCAGCGAAGAGGCTGGTCGACATGTCGAGAGAGCCGTAAGAGCAGCCCGGGCAAAGGTCAGCAATCTGAGCGGACTGGGTGTTGCCGTTCTTGTGGTTAGTGATGGTCACGGTCTGACCACAGCGAGATCCGCCAGCCCACTCGGGAGCGTTCATGGCGACGATGAAGTCAGAGCCAGAGTTGACCCAACCACAAGCACCGAGACCGGCGGCGTAATAGGTAGCCTGACCGCTCGATCGCTTGACGAGGGGAGCGGCGGCAGCACCAGCGACGGCGAGAGCGACAGCGAGGACGTTGGAAGCGATCATTGTGAAGGAATAGGAGAGGATATCCGATGAAGGAGTAGGGTAATGGGGATGGGATGGGTTAGGTCGGTTGATGAGAGAGGGGATGATGAGCGTCGGATGGTGTCTAGCTTATATGGATCCCGAGGGGTTGAGCGAGCGGTGCAACGGTCTATGCCGTAGCTTCAGGCTGTTTTGGCAGGAAGAGTGTTCCTAGCATTTGCCGAGCGGTCGGCGACATGGAAGGGCATTTGAACTGTGTATCGAGGGAGTTCAAGCGGCGGGCATTGGTGCTCAACGGCGAACAAAGGGTTCCAAACAAGGATGATTGAGGCGGATCAACAGTATCGGCGCCGTGGAACACGCTGATCCAAGAAATGCCCGTGACACTGGCTGATTTGGCCGTAGATGGGCGCAAAACGAGAGGAAGAATGGGAGAAGTTCATGCTCAATGCTCCTCAGTCGACACTCAACGCAGAAAGGGGTCTTGAGCGGTCGACCGAGCGAACGGTGTCGAGGGGCCAGCCAGGGGTGGCTCCGCATATAGTGCCGAAGAGCAGGAAGGGGGCAGGGGCGAACTAGGGGGTCGAATTCGGCATGGTCACAAAGGGCACAAGAACAGTAGGAACGAAATTTTTGATCAGATTGGAAAGGGGAACCCTAGAAAGGCGGAAGAGATTGAGGGGAGTGGTTGAAACCGAGCTGTCGAGACTATGGCGGAGGCCGGATTGGAGAGTGGTGTGAGTGGTGTCAGAAGCTGCTGCGGGGATGACGAGCAGAGAAGTTAGAAAGTAGCACCCCGAAATTTTTGAATGTTAGGGACCATCTTGGACGTCGACCAATCCTCCGACGGACCAGTGCGAGGCGAGGTGAGATGAGTTGAAGGGAGGTAAGATCAACAATCAACCGCAGCTCACCCTTACGGGCAACTAAACGACGCTTCTCTGCGAGCAAGGTCGGATGGAGGCATGACAAAATGCAGCCGAAGCCCACACAAACTGGCCCATCGTCCACAGGGCTGGGAACTGATCGGCAGCATGAAAACGGCAAAAGCGGCAGCTAACGGTGTGTAACTTGGCTTGGCCGCTGTCAACTACGGCGAGCAAGGGTGAGAATGTCACGCAAGGGCATCTCTGGTGTGTGTCTCAAGTTCTTCCAATACAGCACACGATACCCTCGAGACTGGAAAAAAAGGGGGTCCACAACTTGACCAAAAAGCCACGAGGGAATCATTCAAAAAGAAAAGAAAAAGGAAAAAGAAAAAAAGGGGGACCCCAGGCACTTGAACCTCCTGTCGCGTTAGGTCTCAGTTGAGTTCGCGTCAGTATTTGGCTCAACGGAATCGAGAAAAAAAATGGTGAAAATTTTGACAGATTCGTTTTGATTTTGCAATTGCCTCGCAAAAAGTGGCTTGCCGACCAGTCTATGAGATCACGTCTTTTGCCTTTTTCAAATGTTTTTTCAATTTTCAGAATCTTCGTTCACAAATTCGACCGAACTCCTGCCTTTTTGCGCTTTTGTGAAACTGACAATCAGCCACTTTTCACAGCTCGACCCCTCTCTCGCTGCAAGTGGTTCTCAGCTTATTCATTTTGTGCGAGCTCGCGATCCCATCAATCTGACAGCTTGGCTTTTGGCAAGATCGACTGGTGCGGCTTCGCTTAGAGTAGCCGGAGCAGCTCAATGGCGATTGCTGCGAAGCTTTCTTTCTTCCTGCCCTTTGTCTGCGCCCCCAACCCGAAAATAGGACTCGCCTGTAAAACCGAAGCTAGCCAGACAGCCTTCCTTGCTCCCTGCTCTCTTCCAAGCTTGTTTCTCTGGCTGAAGATCACGATCGACCCGACAGGCGCTCATGCCTTTCTCTTAATTTGTGGTGAGAAAGACGTGCCGGTTTTTGCATGCCAAAAAATGAGTGTACCTGTCAAACAGCTAGTCCCTTGGGTCTTTGCGCTCCTTTGATCAGTATGATTGCTCCGGTGATTGCTCGGCCGCTATCAGTGGCCATCGACTGAGTTAGAGTTATCAGAAGTATGATACGGCCTCGCACTTCCTGAAAGAGAGCCAGTCAGAAGCCTGTAATCGTGTTTCGAAAGTCGATTTAGGTTTGACTTGAAAGCGTGGGCGCAGAGCTGCAAAGGGCAACAGTCAAGCGATGATTAGGTCGAGAAAATGAAAAATCGGGAACTGAAAGCAGCCAAAGCCAGGAACAAAAGGCAGGAACAGTTTTGGCGCAGAAGAAGCACACACCAAAAAGTTGAGCCAGCCGATGGAATTTCCAAAAATGGGGCCTCTGCCACCTCTCTCTTTTTCATCACGGCAGGGCTTGCAGGTTAAATGTGGGAATTTTAGAAACTGAGCTGCAAGCTAGATTTTTCACTGAGCCGCCCACCTCGAAAAGAAGGCGCAGCAAGGAGGTTGCTTGTCAACAGCACAGCGCGATGTCTGCAACGCAAACGCCCCGCAAGGAGACGACGCCTGATTGTCGCTTTCTTTGACTGGTCAGACATCGAACGCTGCAGCCACACCCATTCACTCATTCACGCACGCAGTCAATCGAACTTGCCAAGCTGAGATTCCAAATCTGGGCTTATCCAAACCGCTTCAATTCGATTGGTGACTGCAGAATACTACATCCCTTTGTTCTTGTTCTTCTCTTGGCTGTTCCATATCGGGCGCAGGAACATGATCAGGAATGTGACAGTAGCCAACAAAGGGGCTCGTTGCTGCGGCGCGGTATTGACCGAGCTTAGCCCCTGTGAGCATGTCAAGAGTGAATCGTTGATACGGGTCTCACGAACCCCTACAAGGACCCGACAGCGCTGTCCGTCTTACACAACACACTTTGGCATGGCTCGACCCTGTCGATCGCTCAGCATGTGCCGATGTGACAGCCTTCTTTAGGGTCACGATTGCGCTGCTAAAACCGCAATCAACCTTCTCATTCTTGTCGAAGCTCCGATCGCAAGCATGGCCCTGATGCAAGAAGATTGTCCCGCAATCAATTTTCTTTATCGGATCACTGCCATGCGAACGGCACAGATAGCTTCTATCCCGACTGCGGTGGCGGTCAAGCGGTGGCGGAGTTGAGCGATGATCATGATCGGTTTTTTCCCACACTCGAGTCGCAATCCTCTTTCGGCCGGCGACGATGCATTTTGATCGATAGCACCCTCATTCTTTCTCTATCCGCTGTCGCCGCGTTCGGCAACCATCTTTCCGATTCCCACATCTTTGTGCTGTGGTAGTGTATGCCACCATGGATGTACCCCACGAGCCGCTTTTGCCATACATCCCACACAAGGGTTGAGGGTTAGCTTGCCGGACCGTTCGCTATCCGTTCTTCCACGAGGCTGTGATTAGCTCTGTCGTTTCTCGGTGATCTTTCATCGCACATCAACGTGGTGCTTTTTAAGTTTCGGCGAAATATGTTCAATTGTACCAGCCACTTCTCTTTCAACCTTCACGAACTGAGAGCTAGGAACATAGATCATGGTTCAAATTGACACAAAAGATGGACTGGGAAACAAACTTGGTGCCTGGAACGACGGCGTCTCTCGAATCGTGGCTTGCAAGAAGAAGGGATCGTCTCGGAGGAATTTCACAGCTTGAATGCCGTTCGTGTCTGAGCCAGGCTTTGAATTCAACTTGAATTTCAACCACGCTGCTCGACTGCCCGTTTCTGTGGGAAATGCATCAGAAACTCCTCTCGTGGTTGAGCCGTGCTTCCATGCCTAAGCGGTAGTCAAGCGAGCGAAAGCAAAGTGAGCTTAATTTTTGTATTGAGCGATTCTCGGGGTGCATTAATTTGATATCCTTGCATGTGTATTCATGTTTAAAAAGGGCAAGCAAACGCTTCCAGAATCCGTAACTGAGCGTGAGCATCGCCTCTCAAACCCCGCCGGGATCGGCCTCCTTCCTTCCTTTGGCCTTAATGCTGCGTGCCTGGCATAGCTCGATACCACTTTACAGCCGCCGACACTACTGCAAGTCTCGCTCACTACTGCTGCTGTTGCTGACTTTTGCGTACATCTCGCTTCAGATTGCCGAAAGTCGCACCGCACCGGCTCATCTCCGTCCATCGGAATGTTGGACCCCTGATTATCGCACTCTCGAGCTCAATCTTCGATCGATGGCCTCGTGTAGGTTCAAAGCATCGGACGCTTGACTCGCTTCCCGACAAAGATTCCGGATCCGAATCAAAGCTACATCATAGCTTTTCATTGACGCAGCAACACCATTGTGTGAGTTTCGCTCTTGAGTGCGGTTTAGGATGAAAGAAGGAGCCGACTGTCGCAAAGCGTTAAGGCGGCTTACGGTATCTGCCGGCCGTATCCAAGAGACCAACAAAGATCTAGTCTTTGCGACCAGCGGGCCATAAACGAAACGGGCAAACATTCCCAACTTGTTCGTGTAATGACACATTTCTCTCTCCAGTCAACATCCTTTCTTCCAGAGGCATTGATCGTCTGAGCCTTAGTAATGGTGGAGCCAATGTCTCAAATCCCGTGACAAAGCACGCAAACGCGGTCAACCTCTTTAAGCGCGGAGACTTTGTAAAGTGTTTACGGCTCAACCTGGTCCGCTTTCTGAAGCTGCAGCTGCTTCCACCGCAAACGGTGGTGAACCCACTCTATCGAATCGCGTAAAGTAGTAGCGTGTAGCGTTCATTGGGCAGAAAGAGGGGCTCAGAGAGATGGATCGATGGCGAATCACAATTTTCCAGGGGACAAGCTCTGTTTGTGATCTGCAAGTGACAATCAATTTGCGGCGGCGCAGCAATTACACTCCCTTTCTTCTCGATTCAAATTTCAGAAACCGAAATTGAAGGCCTCCGTTCCGGCTGCTTGACCAAAAGATTCGAGGGTACCCGCCGTCCAAAGGGACCTCAGATGCCACGAGGGACTGTAACAAAAGCAAAAGCTCGGTCAGCATTTCCAGCAGCCACCAACGCAGAGTCAAATGTAGTGGATCGAAGGACAAAGCCCGATCAAGTATTAAGGTTCAAACACATGAGACTTTCTCATGATCTAATCATTCTTACAAAGGTGCACGACTGTGTCAATATGATCTCCGCTCTGATCGTCTCCCCCACGCCAGGCCAAGCCAAGCCATCTTCTTCAACAATGCTTTTGTTCATGTAAAGAGAAGGTCTTAATACTGGCATTTGAATCGGAGATGGTGATGTGATTGGACCAGAGAGAGACGCTGATTTTGTGTTCCGGCAAGAGGAACGAATGCTGTAGACCATCGCCATTGCTTTGTCCCGAACAAACGAGTTTTGCCGTGAGTGAGTGACCTTCACTGTGGCGCAATACTTGAACATCTACTTGAGCAGTCTTGCATCTTCTCATCGAATCAAACGTTCGCTTTGAGGCAAAAGCTTCTCCGAGACGAGCCGAGCTCTATTGCTGGTGATATGAGAAAGGTAGAATGACAGGAATGATGCCGGAGAAGTCGATCTCGCAGGCTGCTTCTGTTCTTCCAGGCGAGCAGTTGAAGATACATTGGCATTCCAATCGGACTTAAAAGGTTTACCCGAGACACCGACAGAGCGAGGTCGTGAACAAACAATATGCATACAAAATGTATGAAAGGTTGTCATGGTAACCTCTCAGGAGTATTGCAGGAAGCACTTGACTCATCTCAGTATGGCGTGCTCAGAAGATAATGCTAAGGTATATATATGCTCAATGTAGTCACACTCATCCATAGAAATGATAAGCATTCAAGAAGTCATACGTTTGTGGTAAGGGAGCCTGATCGTGGCTCCAAGACAGCGTATTATACCTTGCTATCTTCAATTCGAGCAAGAGGAGGTCGATGTTGCTAACGTCGGCAAGCCTCATCATTTTGTTTGCCATTCCTAGCTACGTGGCTTCTCAATCGAAGGACTACAATCTATCCCCTTAATCAACAACAATCAGCTTTTAGCTCGCGTAGAAGCAACGCGATCAACGCACGTGTGTGTGTGTCTGTCTGTCTGTCTCAGGTCTTTGGACGAGCTGAGATTCCAGGGTCGGTCTATTTTCTGTTGAAAGTAAAGACGTTTTGGGTTCCGATAGCTGGCGATCGGGGATAGTCTAAGTACGACGTCACTACTCTGTTAAGGCAGAAACATATACTCAATTGACTGAATAGGTGTGGCGAGAGCCCTGTGAGATATATATACATCTGGATGGTACACGCCGGATGTGGGTGTATCCTCCTTCATGACGATGCCTGACAACGAGCGGGACCATGTTGTATCCGATCTCTGATGAGATCGGCTTCGCCCGATCCCTCCCGTATCGTCTCATGTTCCCTCACATCATCATGTTGGATTGCTAATTTTCAACATTTTCTTGTCGCTTCCCAACTTTCTTCGTGTTTGCACCCGAGGTTGGGGTGTTCCCGATGATACAGCGCACACCATTCATGCTCCCAATCCGCACGAAAAGGAAAAAGATGGAAAACTTAGAAGGCAAGCAATGGTGACTAAGCTTTTCTTATCCGATCCGAACCCAACCTTGAGAGCAGCCTCGGACTTGCTTAGGGGTGAGAACAGCATGCTCAGATCTCAAGGTCCAGACATGAAGTAACGATGAAAGAACAGATCGACGCATCTGCCGATCCCTCAACCTCGCGCTACCTTGCCCTCATGCTTATGCCCCTCACTCCTCGTACCGATGTCAAACAACGCCGTTGCCGCCGCCAGTGGTCGTCGTCATATCACACGAAAATTCTTTGGGCGTATGAAGGTCATGATCGCCGTCTTGTCTCACACGCTGATTGAGACCCTCTTCTTTCCCACGCAGCTTTACTTGCAAGATCGACGATAAGGAGCCGCGCATCACACGATCTTAGCCGCAATAGCGGACCGGAGTCATGGCGGCTCAAGATCGATCGAACGCACCGGATGCCGGTAAGATGCTCTATGTTATCATCTGACAGCTTTTCAATAGGGGCTTGCCGAGAGTTCAGCCGAAGAAGCGCAACCATGATCATGAGCCTGATCAGAGCTCATATTCTTACTTGAAACGGTTCAGTCGATAGCATGGCAAGGCATCAGATCTATTGCGAATTGCCGAAGAATAGAGGGATGGTTGTCCATTGCTTCATAAACAAAGCAGCTCTTGCGGCCGAGTACTAACGCCCATGACCCTTAACCACCAGCTTTCTCTGAATCCGCAGTATCTCCTTACAAAGATCCTCATGACTCTTCTTCAACGTCTTTGCGTCCTCAAACTTCCTCGCTTTTGCTGCGCTTTCCACGTAGTCTGCAACCAGCTTCTCCTGCTCTAACAGCACGTTGAGCTGCTCTCTGAGTTGAGCTGCGTCAGCATTTGCATCCGCTTCATCGTCCTCCTCCTCGTCAGGGTTGAGTTGTTCATCCAGTTCTGCCGCAGAGTTAGCTCGCAGACTGCTTCCGCCACTTCCACCGCCAAAAAGCGATCTGGATGATACAATTGAGCTCACTGATACCTTGTTGCTGTGCTGCGCACGACGCGGTCCCAACCTCGGCGATGCAGGCTGAGGAGACCCTGGAGCGCTACCTGTCGTGTCTGAACCTCCGTCACTCTTCTTACTCCCCAACCTGGGCAAACTTTGCAAGGGCAACATGTTCTGCTGCAAAAACAGATGAGCTCTCGTGAAGATGGCATATTGAATCCTCTCCTGCGCTGCATCACCTGCAGAGTCGGAAGGCAGCGCTCGAATTCGTTTCGCCAACTCATCATAAGTCGCAAAATTAGCTAAAAGTTGCTTCCTTGCCTGCACAGCATCTCTTTGCAGCTCGATGTTTGCTCTGATACTAGACCCTAGTGCTGCGGTCTGATCTTGCTTCTGCAACCCCAAAACCATCTCTTGAAACTCCGGAAGCGATTGTTCGATCTCCTTTTGAACTCGCATGAGCGCTTCATACAGCTTCATGAAGACAGGGAGCGGTTCATCGTCCATCATGTATTGACGCTTGCGTACGATCGATTTGCAGTCGCGGCAGACGCGAACGCCTTTCGACGAAGCAGGGTTGGAGGTGGACGAGGACGAGGATGAAGTGGTGCCTTCTTTAACTTCTTCTATCCGACCAGTGATAGGGTCAGCAACGATGTTGCCCGAGCACTTGCTTTCGAGTTCTGCCTTCTCCTCTGCGGTCAAAGTTTTGCCTGTTCCTGAACCCATCTGTTCTGCCCATGCCAAGCGTGTAAGGTGAGGCGAAGCGCATACGACCCGCCCACAGAGTCGACAGTGATGCTTGCGAACGGTAAAGCTGAAAGGAGTGGCGCAGATAGGACAAGCTTTCGCCTCTGAGTCGTCTTGCCAGTTGACAATGGTCTGCTCTGCTTGACGAATTGCTGGATCTTCACCACGACCACGAGCTCGGAACGACGTCCAAAGATCACTGCCTCCTTTCCTGATGAGACTGCTAGGATTTCGTTTGAACTCGTCAAGATCCAAGTCGATGAAAGAGGAGCCAAATGACTTCTTCGCTGCTGGACCGGCCGACGCTTTTTCCGTATCGCTGACAGGTTCGAAGTGTATCGCAATGAGCTTGGCTAGTCGACGATCCATACGTTGCTCTTCCATCTCTCCTTCGCTTCGGCCTTTACGTCGTAGTTCGGCAAATTCGCTTGTTCGGATGCGCAAGACACCTTTTGGTTGGAAGCCTGATCGATATGCTGTTGTTCTTCCATCAGAGGTTGGAAGCGCCATGGTTTGACCTGTTGCCGCCGGGTTTGCTCCCGCGGCTTGTGCCAGTGCTACACCTTGTGGGACTGGAATGGGACCCAGTCTGGACTGCGCTGCTAGCAGCGCAGCATAGGAGTTGACGTGAGCTGGTATAGAGGTTCCAGAAGCGCCAATGATGGGCGTCAAAGATCGACTGCCATGAGGACTGCCAACAGCCGATGAAGCTTTACTATATCCGGGAACACTAGACGCTGTACTCGAGGCAACAGAAGTGCTGCCGTTCGCGCTGCCGTTGCTAGTCGCACCGTTGCGGGTCGTGTTGTGAGTAGAATTTGCTGCGGCAGGCTTGCTTTGGATTCTGCTAGACGTCCGAGGTGAATCCGGCATCTTCTGAGGTGCAGGAGGCGAGTCGGTTGCACGAACTGTCGATGCCGAAGCATTGCTCTGAGTGCGGTCATGGCGCATCGACGCAGTTGAGTTCGAGGCCGACGTGCTAGAAGACGCCTGAGCTTGAGTGGACGATGAAACTACCTGCTTGGCATTAGCGGATGATGGTGTTGAGCTGTTAGATGCGAGTTTCGAAGCAACTCGCAATGGCGGTGGAGGCGCATCAAGGTCACGATGAGGCCGAACAAGCCCGACGCCCAATGGCGAGGCGACGGCTGGTTGGCCGAAGGAGGATGCTGTTCGGGATGGTGTGACTGGCTGACGAGTGGACGCCGAAGATGTAGTTCGGCGATGTGATGGCTCTCTGCCTTCCAGCCTGGCACTCGTAGATGGACTACCACTGCTCGTTTGCTTTCCAGCCGAAGATGATGCAGTTGAACGTATACTCTCTCCGCTTGGGCGATGTGAAGCTGACGCGGAGCTTGGAGAGGGCGTCGAAGATTCTGCCTCTGGAGGCGTTGCTGGTGTCTGAGATACGCTGGAGCCGTTTCGAAGGTGACCTTTGCGCTGATATGGGACATATGAGAGGCGCTTGGCGGAGGCTGAGGTGTCTGATGACGGACCCGCCGCTCCTTCCGCCGTCATGGCGGCCGGTTCTCGCTTGGTTGTCGAGGCAGAGCTGATGGACTCTTCGTCTTGTTTGTCGAACTGTCAGCGCTGAGGTAAGCTTGTGCTGAGCTAGGCGGTCATTAATTGCTAGGGTGTGATGCGGAGATTATTTAAGTCTCAAATGATGGACGAATGATCCGCTGTGATGCTACGCTCTGGGACTGGAGGTTTGGAAGCGCTTGAGTCGGCGCACACGTCCGTGTTGAGGTTGTTGCAGTCGTCAGTGCTGCGATTGGGTGAATAGTGACTGAGATAGCCCTGTTGCTGCCCGTGGACGGCGCAGCCAGCTGGTCGTCGACACTTGTTCGGACGTCAGCAGAAGCCCGGGGGGAATCAGTGGATGATGGTGTGGAGCGGATGTGAAGATGATGGATCTGAGTCGGAGATTGACAACAAGAAAGCGAAGCGATGCAGCTGCACAACATGCACCAGCCTGAGCTGCCCATGTGGAGTTCTGCAGTGCACAGATTTACACACTGACACACCACCTGATTTTGACATGCTCGGCTATCTGCTGCTCTAAGACCCTATTTTCGGAACTCTTCAGATCAGGGTTCGCTCTTTTCCTCAAAGACCCCAAGCTCCTGTCTGCTCGCAAAGGCATGCGGGCGAATCAGGTTCTGCTGCACAGATGGGAAGATGTGTATGTTGGAAGCCACCCAAGCTTCAGATAAATACCATTGAAGAGTGAAAAATGATTGATGCGAATGCAAGGACAAGAGAAAGATACATGTGACAAGTGAACCGTGACTAAACAGAGATCCCAGGAGAGAGCGGTGAGACATCGAGAGAGGAGTAGCTCAGGAGAGTGTTTGTTTTGGGGGGAAAAAGTTGGAGGACAATCTTTATGATACCGAGTAGACCATGGCGAGAAATAGTCAGGAATGGGTGGGCATTAGATACGGCGCAAGGCAACGATCTGAACTTCAAGTTCGCACTCAGCGATCGGGCATGGCTCCTGATCATCAATCCTGGACTGGAGCACATCCCACAGCGAGTCAAGCACGAACTCAACAGCACCTTTGCTGAGCTTGCCCTTCTCGCGCAAGATGGCACGGAAGTGTGACTCGTATAGGTTCTTGAAGAGCTGGATCATGTGCTCGGCAAATGCGACACGCGAAAGGGTGCCTGCTTGCAGTGCCTTCCACGCGGGGTGCGGCAATCGCAGAGGCTCAGCTTCGCTGACTAGAGCGGGGGGAGCATCAGTAGAGATAGGCTCATCGCCCAAGCCGCAGCTCCACTCGACCTTCCACAGGTGCTTGACCGACTTGAGCACGTTGCGTGTCTGGCGTGGAGTACGTGCATGCATAGGCAAGCTAAGCAGATGACGAGCGACATCGCTCTTGAGCATGCCACAGGAGACGAGTCGTTGAAGACAGGGGGCGAGTGTATTAGTGAGAGTGGACCAGATGTCAGAAGGTCGCTGGGGGGTGTCTGCTGGACAAGCGGTGCTTGCGAAGGAAGGCCGGTTGGGCGATGAATTGGAACGTCTTCGCTCCTTGCGCAGCAGTGGGATGCGCTGCGAACCTGCCTCAGCATCAACGCCGTTGCCGTTGCTGCGAGACTGGATACCATTCTCTGATGCAAGCGATACGGCCCCGCGCTCCACCTCAATCGAGCCGATGCTGTGAACGGTCGATCTCGGTCGATCAGGCAGGACAACGTTGCTGTCCTCCGATCGAGCAATGTAGGCCAACACGATGATACCGCCCTTGCGGAATTCGTGTGCCCTCGCCGTGAGGAATGCGGCGAGTTCGGCGTGTGCCGACGTCGAAAGCGATACGGTGGGGTTCCTCGGCGTATGCGACCAGTGCAAATCCATCAAGCTGATTCCAAGATGCAATGTGGAAGGAGGTGCGATGCGGGATGCAAAGGGTCGCGAGACAAAGCTTGGGAAGACGGCGTTGTGAAGAGGAGGCTCATGCATCGCCTGCCACTGTGGATGCAGATAAGATTCCGGGTTGGTTTCAAGCATCTGCGACAAGGGACGGAAGTCGGCCTGTGGCGAATCCTCGTGAATGATGGAGAAGCTGACTTTGCAGGGGTAATCAGCCGAGGCGTCGACGCCAAGAATGGATCGCAACGATGCTGCACCGTCCAAACCAGGGAAGTAGTCGATGGCATCTTCGCTCTTGCCTGTCTCCCTTCTCGGTGTGTCTGCGTGCGCCTTCTGCACGAAAGACGAGATGATGGGTTGCATGAGATTGATGGACCTCGTGTTCAGGCTTCCGTACTCAGCAATGGTGACGGTCTCGCCTTCCTCGCCCGATAATGGAATGCTCGAAACGAGATATGGTAGCACCTCCGAAACCTTTGCACGAACACCAGGACCAAAGTGACTTCCGCCTCCGAGGCCAAGCAAGGCGGCTTGCGTTGGGCCATGTCCGCCAGAAGCGAGACCTTGTCGGATGGACTTCCAGCCAGCAGGCTCGCCGTGATGCGTTGCATCTTGCACGGGGCTGGAGGAAGTGGTAATCGCGGCAAATGGGTTGCCGGAGAAGGGATGCTGAGAATCAGGCGAAAGCATGACTTTGTCGCCGAGCGAAGGCGTCTCGAGCTGTGTACTGCCGCCGAACGATGCGTGCGCCTGCGTGCTGCTTCGACCGCCCAAGGACGGCTCTGGCTCGACGCTGGTGGTTGCTGACAGTGGTGTGTCTGCATTGAAGCTACCGGGTAGACCTTGTGTTGAGATCTTGGCCTCGTTGCGAAGAGAGATGTAGTTGTTCTGATAGTACTGCTGCTTTTCAATCTCTGCAGTGATGGCAGGTGAGGCGGCAGCCGGAATGATGGGATCATGCGTGTCGGCACGGTGATGACGACCACGAATCATAGGCTCCATGCGATGCTTGGGTTGACGCGAGCCCGTCGTGCGCCGACGATGGAGATCTCCCTCGATGCCGTCGCCAACAAAGTCTGGGCTGGGCTGGTCACGACTTCTGTATGGGAGGCTGGTGGCGGCCGATGTGGTTCCTGGAGCGTCAAATTCGAGTCTAGACGCCGGTGACAGGTCCGAGTTGGGGCTTTCTTGTGCGGCCAAAGATGAAGGCTCGAAGCCGCTCTGATGCGGACGCGAATAGCGCGGCTCGGCAAGGCCCGAGAGAGCAGCTGCTCTGGCGCCAGAAACGTGGGTCAAGAGAGCAGAAGAAGCAAGGCTGACGCCGAGACCCATTTCGAGTCCTGTGGCGACTATACTGCTGACTTCTGTCGGACAAGTGCCGAGAGCGGAATGTGATGACATTGCTGGTGGAGTGAGACCCTCGACCATTCCAACCTGGTAGAGTGATGACTTGGAGAAGGCTGGAGCTGGACCCCTTTCAAGCATGGGTTCGAGCTCGGCAGCTGTGGTGGTAGACACCTTGTCGGAAGAAATGCGAGGCTTGGAGCTCATGTTGCCAGTCGGATGCTCGGGCCCTCGCCTCGCGCCAAGTGGCTGAGAGCGTTCTTGCATGTCGGCGAAGGTTTGAGCAGGTGCCGAGGGCGTGAGATCGTAGTCGACAGGACTGGTGGTCATGGCTGCATTGGTGGTGGCTGGCATGGGCAGCAGCACTTCCTACAGAATTAATCCTACAGGTGAATGAAGAGCGACTGTGGTACAGAGCCCTGCTGGTCCGATGAGAGACGGATCGAGGCTGGTTGATGGGGTGAGCCCGTTGAGCTGGGCACGTCGTGAGTCGATCAAGGACGAAGGCTGCGTGATGACATGGAAGGAGGCGGCTAATCAGTGGACCAGCTCCTTGGGCCAGCTGGTAGTACTACTGAGTCGAGCTTTATACGTCGAGGTGATGATTGAGGTGTAGCGTGATCGATCGCGCCGATCAAATGATGCTAGTCGGGGTTAGGGCACGAGGTTTGCAGCGAAAAAATTGAAGTGCAAGATGCTATGGAACTTTCCGTGCGGTACAGTCTAAGTTGGCTGAACAAGATGGCGAGATCTGATTGTCGAGACACGCTGAGGTACAGACGGTGGCGGGCAGAAGGGTGCTGAAGGTGTTCGGATGAAGTGCCCAAAGAGAAGAGGAGAGAAACACCAAGAAGAGAGAGTGCGGGGCAGCGAGATGAAGTGAGAATGGGCGTTGGGCGGGAAAGTGGAATCAAGGTGCTGATGAAGGGCGGCGCACAGTTCCAGATTCTGCGCCGGAGGCTGTCGAGTTGGAAGGTCCGTCCGCAGTTACACTATTGGATTGCTTGATTTGGAGATGGATTTGTGCCAGCGGACGAGGCCAGAGGAGGCGTCCTAGAGAGCGTGGTCGGGGTAATGCTGAATGTGAGCTGGAGTATTGGAGGGGGTTGGTGTGGGACCAGAAGCTGAGCTTGTCGGTGGTGGTGATGATGAGGAGGAGGAGGATGGGAATAGCCAAAAGCAAAGGACCAACAGCGGCGAATAGGCCAAGAGGAGGTTGAGTCGAGTTGAGGTGTAAATTAACTTTACGATCTGTGAGAAATAGAGAAGGCAGACGAGAGAGAAGCGTTCCGCGATGAGAAGCTGCCAAAAAGCTCAAAAGTCCATCACTTTGCGGCGGCCTCGTGCAGCGGCAAAAGAGGAGACAGAGAGACAAGGGCAGCTACGGTATCAAGGTCCGACGGCTATTCAAGGGGATATCAAACTTTACAGTTGTATGCTGCTCTGTGTTCACAATTCTTGTCGCATGTGACTGTGACTGCTGAGCAATCTAGCGTGTGCACGCCCAAGTGACACAGCGGAAGCGCAACAGCAGCGGTCGCACAGCGCGGATAAGGAAGGCCTTCGAAGCGAGACAAAAGTCAGAGAGAATTTTCCAGATTCCAGATTTCGAGGGTGTCGGTCAAAAAGAAATTCGGGGAAAATCCAAAGCAAAAATCGATCCTCTCTGCCATTTGAAGCGGCCTTCGGTGTTGTCATGGCTGCAGCCTCCCGTCCATAAAATTGCCGTGCACCAATTTGAGCCGTCACTGCCACGCAGCAAATGTAATTTAAGAAAAGGGCTCAATCAAATGCATAGCCCATCTCAACGTGGACCCTCGGCATTGTTACACCAGCTGCAAAGCGCTATGCAGCTGCGATGCTTCCTTCTTTTTATCCAAGTGGAGGAGAAGAGCGGAAAGGGGTTTGTCGGCCCCCCCAACCACCCCCTTTTTTTTTTTTTTTTTTTTTTTTTTTTTTTTTTTTTTTTTCCTTTTTTTGGCCGATCGCTCGTTGTTCAATTAAATATAGATAGGAATCAGTGACCTTGCAACCACATGGCTTGCGCCTCTCGTGTTGCTCTACTTTCTCGTATCTTAGAGGACGAGACATGTGTGAACAGTAAGACATGGCTGCCGTATTCATAATCTCCTCATGCTTTCCACTGCAGCGATATGAGTTGATGTGGGCCATCGGTAGCTGGAATTGACTTCCGGTGGGCGTTGAATCTGGTTGCATGCATACAAGTGACCGACAGTGACATAGAAAAATAAAAGGCGCCGAGACGCTTCTGGTCTCGCTCTCGCTTTCAGAGCCTCTTTTCTGGAAAATGCCAGGCCCTCTTCAATTCTCGCACCTCGCGTTGTGTAAGCGAGGAACAAGGCCAACGCCATAGACGCCCTCGAACCAAGGTTGGCGAGGACGAGATGCTCGGCTAAGGCTCTCCCATCCATGTCAAAAGGAATAAGCGGTCTCGGATCGACCAAAATCTCCTCACGGTTTCTTGTATATGTATCCCGCTAGCAGGAGGATTCGGCCCGTCCTTTCATGCTCTTCCTATACAGTCTTGCTGTGCATCCGCGACCAAATTTTGCTCCTTCTCTTCTGAGAGGCAGCGGCGGCTGTATGCGTCTCTAATCGCGCTTCCGAGGCGAGAGACCCTCAGACTGCCAGGCACATCTAAGAAATGTTCGATTACACACAAGGGCGATCAGAATATCATCCCCAAGTGATCCCATTATGTCGCGGGCCAAACCGAACAGAGCCGTGAAGAACTGGGGGCTTGCGTTCCAACTGTAGTACCACCCGTATGAATGATACTTGATCATCGCGCCCAACAGGATCCCCCGCATCTGCCAGTTGCAAACAACCATCATGCTCGAGTGACAAAAGTTAAGCTATGCGTGCATAAGAAGCTTGAGCGCCCATCTGCATCAAACTGCCTTGCTGGTCTGCAGCCAGACTCTCGACAAGCGTGCTTTTCGTTCTTCTTCCGGTACATGCAAGTTCGGATGGTGACACTACAACCCGCAATCGCACGGAAGAGTTTATTCCTAGCTACGACTTTGAACTTCGTGATCCCCACGAGCGTAGCGTAAATCGTATCGGCCAAGATGAGAAGGAGGATGCAAGCATAGATCAGGACCAAACACTCGCCGTTCGCGATGCGATGGAAGGCGATATCATTACCATCAGCCATTCACATTCGACTAGTATGAACACCTACAACGACTCGATCCCCCACTCTCGCTCCGCTTCTCAACCTGATACCTCTCGACATCACCAAAGACACAACCACTCTTTCTTACCTGCACGCCTCTCCACATCATGGCCATCTCTCTGGACACTCCGTCCAGAGGTAGCTTGGCATGATCAATTAACCAATACATACTGTGTGATGACACCAAGGTCTGGTGCTGATGATGTTGTTGATGCCAACACGAGTGTCCAGTGTGTTGACTGAGTGACTGAGTGATCCCCAGACTGCAGTGGATGACTGCCTTTGGTTTCTAATGATCGAGAGGGCCAGACCACAGTATGAACTGCCTTCAGTGTCAATCAATATCTGGACTGCAGTTAATACTGCCTTTGGATGATGTCAATGAGTGGTGATACAACACATGCACTATGATAGAAGCAATGTCTTGCAATTGCTACTGTTGACAAACTACTAATTATACTTATGTGAAAGTTATAGCTAGTATGATATGGTGTAGAGTGGATGGGGATCCACTCACTTGCTATGACGAGGAGCATGGTTATATAACCATTCCTGCAGCATTGCCTGCAACACTGCTCCTACTCTGGGAGGCCTCTTCGACACTGCTCCTTGTCAGGGGTCTCTTCAACTCTGCTCCTCCTCCTTGTCCTTCCTATCCTTCCCATCCACTGTGTGATGCTGCTCTCTGGCTCTGCTTCTCTCATGCCCTGTGGATGGATGGTCCTTGTGCCACTTCATCATAGTCAGGAGACATTCCCACTTCATATGGGTGGCAACTCACACCCCTTCATCTCCCTCCTGTCATCAGCACCCATCTGCTTGCACCAACTTCATTGTCATGTCAGGCCCCTACTTCATCCAGTGGCAACTGTCACCGGAATGGTTCCGTTCTCCGAGTCCGGAGCATTTGGGAGTGAAAATGCTTATACTTCAGTGTTGTGTGAATTGGGTACACCAGCTAAGGGACTAGCTGGTGTAGTGGTTTTGCTGCTCACTATGTTCGGTTTGGTTACCCGATTCCCGATCCCGTGACAGCAACCTCTCCTTTGTTTGTTTTCCTCCCCTTGCCATATTGGCAATAGAGGATTTCTCTCAAACTGATTTCTGTGAGGCCTGTTGTAGCAAGTGTGGTACTGCCAATTCTACTGACTCCTGTAGTAAGACCCATGTTCCTACCAATCTTGACAAGTTATGCCATAGAGCCATTGATCCTACCAATCTCACTGAACTCTGTCAGAACTCTACTTTTGCCCAATCCACAATTGTTGCACATGAGCTCTTCATATGAATCCATTTCTTCCTGCGCATCTATCCGGTCCTGTGACACAACAATAGAAGGCTTTTACCACAGATCTTGCCAAGATTCATAGTAGTTGCCTTTTACTACAGATTTCGGGTTTCAGGCAAGTGACCTCTGACAGATACCTGGGCTAAGATCTGCCTGCACAGCCAAAGAGGATGCCACTTCCCCAAGGACCATTGCAAGGCCATTTTGCAATTGCATACAACCAAGCTCAAAGCTGGTCACAAGTGGAGCATCCAGCTGGACCAATATGGCAATTGGTACTTCTTTCTTTGCTACAATGTGCCAACAACTGTTGTTCCACAAAAGCAATCTCTGAAGCAGGCCATTGTTGTCAAATCTGTTGATCCTGGCATCAGGACTCCATTTGCTATGTATTCCTCTGATGGCTGCATGCTTGATGTAGGCTCTCAAGACATTGGTATCTGCTTGGAACAACTCTGTTGCTGTAACAACAAGATCCAGCACTGTTGTCATTGGAGATGTCAACTGCACCATCAACAGCTGCTGCCACTGCTGCAAACCACTTCTGATCCTCAATCACCTCAGCAAGCCCAAGCTCAGCCACAGGAAGCCTGCCAACACCAACCAGCCCTGCCATTTGCCTTGTCATCTGTGCAATGCTGCAAGCTTCAAAAGCACTCAAAGAAGGTCCACAAAAAGCTGCAGCAGCTTATCAAGGATCTACATTGCCAGATGGCAAACTATCTAGCAACTGTCATGGGCCTGAATGCTCAAGAAGCAGGAGGGTCACTGGTTCATATGGAAGGAGCACAGGTATCGAAGATCTAGTCGATACCAGTGGAGAGCATGGTCATAGTGCAGTCTCCATGGAGACCATGGACTCCTATGGACTCACATGCAAAGGAGGACCAGGCCCATATGCGAGGAGGGCCAGGCACAGCCACAAGGAGGACCGAGCTCAAAGAAGCATACAGATGGTTACCACTCAGGGGCTCGAGAGACAAGAGCCAAAGGAACTGTCACTGGTCAAAGGAGGAGGAGCAGTGTCGAAGGAGTCGACACAGCTCAAGAGGCACAAGGGTGCCAAGCAAGCAGGATAGCTCAAGGAGGACAGGAGTGGTGCTAGAGGGCCCCCGCCTGTTCAGTACTCAATGAAGAGGGTACTCTCTGGAGAGAGAGCAGGAGCAGCATCGCTGGCGACACTGTGAAGAGGTATATAACCATACCTTCTCATTGTCATGGGCCTGGATGCTCAAGAAGCAGGAGGGTCACTGGTTCATATGGAAGGAGCACAGGTATCGAAGATCTAGTTGATACCAGTAGAGAGCATGGTCGTAGTGCAGTCTCCATGGAGACCATGGACTCCTACAGACTCACATGCAAAGGAGGACTGAGCCATATGCGAGGAGGGCCAGGCACAGCCACGAGGAGGACCAAGCTCAAGGAGCATGCAGATGGTTACCACTCAGGGGCTTGAGAGACAAGAGTCGAAGGATTCGACACCAGGTCATGAGGAGGAGGAGCAGTGTCGAAGGAGTCGACACAGCTCAAGAGGCACAGGGGTGCCAAGCAGGAGAGGCCCCTGAGCAGTACTCGATGAAGAAGGTACTCTCTGGAGAGAGAGAGCAGGAGCAGCATCGCTGGCAATGCTGGGAAGAGGTATATAACCATGCTTTCTCATCATCAAAGGTCGAGTGGATCCTCATCCACTCTACACACCCATCATAACTAGTTATCACTTCAGCATAAGTATATATTAGTTTCAGTCAGCATAGCAGCAATCTATCAAGGTTGCTCCTCATTGTAGTGTGTGTGTTGTATCACCACTCCCTGACATCCAAAGGTGCCCCATAGCAGGTTAGCAGTCTGGATCAAGATAGAACCGAAGGCAGTAGTCCACTGCGGTCTGGGGATCACTTCAAGCATCAAGTCAACACACTGGACACTCGTGTTGATGCCACCAACCTTATCACCAACACCATCAACCTCATCATCATCGACACTCACACCAGACCTTGGTGTCATCATAACCTATGCATTGATATTGATCATGCTGAGCTACCTCTGAACAGAGTGTCCACAGAGGTCAGCCAAAACCTATGATAGTATATACAATGAATGCCACCCACTGTCACTGCACAACTTGATAGTTGCTGAACAACTAGCTTGTTGAGACAGATACCGAGACAATAGCTGTTGCACAGTTTGATAGTCACCAAGTATCTTGACAGACCGACCTGGGTTTCAGGCACGAGACCCCTGACACTCATCATCAAAGGTCAAGTGGATCCTCATCCACTCTACACACACCATAACTAGTTATCACTTCAGCATAAGTATATATTAGTTCCAGTCAGCATAGTAGCAATCTATCAAGGTTGCTCCTCATTGTAGTGCATGTGTTGTATCACCACTACCTGATGTCCGAAGGCAGCCCATAGCAGGTCAGCAGTCCAGATATAGATAGAACCAAAGGCAGTAGTCCACTGTGGTCTGGAGATCACTTCAAGCATTAGTCAGCACACTGGACACTCGTGTTGATGCCACTGAACTACCACCAATGCCACCAACCTTATCACCAACACCATCAACCTCATCATCATCAACACTCACACCAGACCTTGGTGTCATCATAACCTATGCATTGATATTGATTGTGCCAAGCTACCCCTGAACAGAGTGTCCACAGAGGTCAGCTGAAACCTATGATAGTATATACAATGAATGCCACCCACTGTCATCGCGCAATTTGATAGTCACCGAGTATCTCGACAGACCGACCTGGGTTTCAGGCGCGAGACCCCTGACAGCAACCTCATCCAACATTGTGGTCATGCCAAGAATGGAGGTTTGCAAGATTATACAAAGGAAGAATGGGAACTTGCACCAAAACACCTGTTGGAGGCTGCTGGGTTGGGGACACTGCAACTTCATCAACCATTTGCTGGTCAAATGCCATGACATTGCTCATGATCCATGCTATCTGCACAAACATTGGCAGCCAACAGTGCTTCTTATACAACCAGAAGCATATACATCAAAGACCTGCTCTCAGTGTGGCAATCTCAACCAAAGACTAGGTGCAAGTAAACAATTCTGATGCCCAACCTGCCTCAGCAGATTGTGACCACAATGGCACTTTCAATATGCTTATCAAGGCTATCTGTAGGACTCCTCTATCTTCTCAGATGTAGCTTGCATAGCATTATCATGGGGTCCTGCCCCCTCTGAGGTTTAAGTGCAGGGCAGACATGTTTGGCATCTCTGATCTGAATCTCTGCGAAAATGCTGTATCTCTCGTTCGGAACTCGGAAGTGTGTCTGAGCCACGAAAAAATTCAAACCCTGGGAAGAAGAAAAGTGAGAAGTGTCAAGCCAGTAAGTACTGCATGCTTGCCATCAGCTTCTAGTCCGCACCTTTCTCATCACATAAGGATCGTAACACTCCACTCATAACCGAACACGACAAGGTTCTCTGCTTAGGAGAAAAGCAGATCTCCGACTCAGTGGTCTTCTCAGTCGTTCCAAGGTCTTCTTCCTGAGGAGCTGCACTGGTGGCGTCTTCACCAACCCAACTTGTTAAGATGAGGAAGCAGCTGGATCCGCGTATCCCAACCCTCATTCGCAACAATGTTGCACTCAACCACCGATCTTTCTTCGTGATCGTCGGTGACAAGGGCAAAGATCAAATCGTCAACCTCCATTTCCTTCTCTCCCAGTCTCGAGTGCAGTCCCGTCCTAATGTCCTCTGGTGCTACAAGAAAGACCTCGGCTTCACTACACATCGGAAGAAGCGCGAGCAGAAGATCAAGAATGATATCAAGCGAGGTATTCGTGACAAGGGCGAAGGCGACCCGTTCGAGCTCTTTGTCAGTCTCACCGACATCCGATACTGCTATTACAAAGATACTCCCAAGATTCTCGGTCAGACGTACGGTATGTTAATCCTGCAAGACTTTGAGGCGGTGACGCCCAACATGCTCGCAAGGACGATCGAGACAGTGGAGGGTGGAGGTGTGGTCATCTTGCTGCTCAAGACAATGTCGAGTTTGCGACAGCTCTACTCGCTCGGTATGGATGTTCACAGGAGTTACAGGTCGAACGCATCTGACGACGACCCGGTAGCACGATTCAACGAGCGTTTCTTGCTGTCCTTGGGCGCCAACCAGGACACACTCTTGCTCGATGACGAACTCAATGTCCTTCCGCTCAGCAAGGGTAAGGACATCAAGCCTCTTCCGGAAACAAGCACAGGCGCTGGCACCGGTGTCGGCTCCACAGTCCGCAAAGGCAAGGAGCGTGTAGAAGCAGAAGAAGAGCTTGCGGAGCTCAAGGATCAAGTTCGCGAAACAAAGGTCGTCGGCGAAGTCGTTCGACACGCAAAAACGCTCGACCAGGCCAAAGCAGTCCTCACCATCCTCGACATCCTCGCAAGTTCGTCCCTCTCCACCACCGTTGCGTTGACAGCAGCGCGTGGACGTGGTAAGTCGGCTGCACTTGGTCTTTGCATCGCCGCTGCTGTCGTACATGGATACAGCAATATCTTTGTCACATCGCCAAGTCCAGAGAACCTCAAAACGCTCTTCGAGTTCGTCTTCAAGGGTCTCGACGCTCTCGGATACGAGGAGGTTGCCGACTGGGACCTGCAAAGAGGTACTGGTGAATGGAAGGATGTTGTCGTTCGAGTCAACATCTTCCGTGGTCACCGTCAGACGATTCAGTACATCCAGCCACAAGACCACCAGGTGCTTGGTCAAGCCGAGCTCCTAGTCATCGACGAAGCTGCTGCCATCCCGTTGCCACTTGTCCGCAACCTCATGGGACCCTATCTAGTTTTCTTATCGTCCACCATCAACGGCTACGAAGGTACAGGACGCAGTCTCTCTCTCAAGCTCATCCAGCAGCTCCGTGACAACGCTCGAGGTGTTGTCGATGCTTCCAACGCTGAAGACTCGACTGCTTCTTCCAGCAAGTCGGTCCGCAAAGAAGGCAAGAGTGGTCTCAACACGGGTCGTGTTGCAGGCGCTGCGCTCGCTGCCCGCTCGCTCAAGGAAGTCGAGCTCAAAGAGCCCATTCGATACTCGCGTGGCGACAAGATTGAGTCATGGCTCCACCAGTTGCTCTGTCTCGATGCATCTCTCACACGACTCTCTTCTGCCGCGCTCAAGGCCAAGGGCTGCCCTCACCCCTCCTCATGCGATCTATACATGGTCAATCGAGATGCACTCTTTAGCTACCACCCTGCTTCGGAGGTCTTCCTGCAAAGGATGATGGCGCTCTACGTCGCAAGTCACTACAAGAACTCGCCTAACGACTTGCAGCTGATGAGTGACGCTCCTGGTCACCGCCTCTTCGTCCTTTTGGCACCACTCAAGGGCAACGGAGGTGGCTTGCCGGAACCTCTCTGTGTCGTTCAGGTAGCGCTCGAAGGTAACATCAGCCGTGGAGCCGTCCTTAACAGCCTGAGCCGTGGTACCCGAGAAGCAGGTGATCTCATTCCATGGCTTGTTGCTCAGCAGTTCCAGGATGCCGACTTCGCTTCGCTTTCCGGTGCTCGTGTTGTGCGCATTGCTGTCCACCCTGACTACGCTCGTATGGGCTACGGTGCTCGCGCATTGCAGGCACTCGAAGCTTTCTACAGTGGTCAGCTGCTCGACGTCGACAACGTCCGAGACGACCTGGATGATGGCGAGACCTTCGCCGCTGTCCGCGACAAGAAGATCTCAAAGGACGCCAACCTCCTCCAGGGCGACGAGATCCGTGTTCGAGACGCAGCACGCATGCCAGCATTGCTTCAGAGACTCTCGGAGCGTCGACCCGAGCAGCTTGATTGGTTGGGTGTATCGTACGGCTTGACACCACAGCTGTTCAAGTTCTGGAAGAAGGCTGGCTATACACCTCTCTGGGCCCGACAGATTGCTAACGATCTCACTGGAGAATACACCACAGTTCAACTCAAGGCGCTCGACACATCGACATCGACCACTGGTTCGGCTTGGCTGGGATCACTAGCAGCCGACTTCAGAAAGCGCTTCATCTCGTTGCTTTCGTACAGGTTCCGCGAGTTCTCCACCATCACTGCACTCACCGTTCTCGAGGCCGCAACACAAGGAGCTCGTCTCGCACATGCCGATGAAGACGTCTCCTCCACCTCTTCTACATCTGCCCCTCTCAGCGCCGCCGAACTACGCACCCTCCTCACATCCTTCGACATGAAGCGCCTCGACTCGTACTCGAATAACATGGTCGAAATGTCAGTCGTACTCGATCTCCTTCCCACCCTCGCAGCTCTTTACTTCAACAACCGCCTCCGTGCAGTCAGAGAAGATGAAGCTGCAGCATCCGTCATCGACGCTCCCGAGGAAGAGGAAGAGCTTCGCCTATCCGGTCTACAGTCCTCTCTCCTGCTCGCCATCGGTCTGCAGAGAAAGACACCAGATGATATTAGTGCCGAGTTGCGTTTGCCTTTGCAACAGGCCATGGCATTGTTCGTCAAGACAGTGCGTATGCTAGTCAAGTGTCTGCGAAAAGTCGAGAAGAAGGCTATTGCTCAGTCTATGCCTGAGCTTGGGTCGGGTCCCGATGCTCGTGCGCCATTGCGCAACAAGGCAAACGGTGCTGGTGCTGATGAAAGGGATGATTGGACTGCGCTTAAGGGCGACCTTCAGTCTGAGCTGAGAGATGCGGGTAAGGAGTTCTTGGCACACAACAAGCAGGGTCAGGCTCGTGGCGAGCTTGATTATGATGATGAAGACGACGGCGATGAGGACGAGGATGAAGATGAAGATGATGAGGAGGAGGAGGAGGAAGATGAAGAGGACGACGAGGATGAGGAGGATGGTGAAGAGCTTCGAGCAGCCAAGCAGAAGCTCATCGACTCGATGGACTTGGGCAAGTATGCTATCAAGGACGACGGTGCTGATGGTGCCAACTGGGGTCAAGCTGAAGCTGAGGTAGCTCTCATGCTGCGAAAGAACGGCGGTAAAGACTTGAAGGGTTTTAACACCACGATCTCGGTCAAGGGTGCAAAGCGTGAGGCTGAAGAGGCTGAAGCAAGCCCAAAGAAGGGGTCGGACAAGAAGAATGGCAAGACCAAGTCGAAGAAGCAGAAGCGCCGTTAGTCCAGGAATTGTGGCCCGCCGGTCCCCGTTTGCGTTAACACAACTCGGAAAAGCACTGGTTCCTCATCATCAGCATGTTCGTGGTGTATGTGCGAAATAAGTTCTGAATGATGAAGCTGCCTGGATCGAAACAGAGTTGAGCAGCAACTCTCGAAAGGTCTGTCATCATTGTCAGAATGGGCTCACGGTAGCAATACAAGACCTCGGGCTCTGTCGCAGCGAACAAGACCGTTGGAGCGGCAAAAGGCTCGGTCGCTTGCGACTCTATAGCCATGGCCACCGTATGTTCATTCTACTGAGAGGTCAGAAAATAAGGTATTGGTGTGAGAGATGCCGAGGCCAAGCGAGCCTGATGCTCGGCGGAGAAAGGTGCCAGACTGTGATGTAGACCGGGGTGCCGTGTGCAGATGCTATCTCGGCGTCAAGCAACTTTAGCGAGCCGTTGAACGAGTCTGCTGCTGCGTGTCGTGACGGAGATGAGTGAGACAAGAGAGAGCTATGGGGACATTGTGATGCTGCAGGACGTTGTCACAATCAATTGAACGTGATCGAAGAGAAAGGAGCACTTGCATTGACAAGCCGCTAACCAGAGCGTTATCTTGCGTCTGAACGGTTGGACCCTTGATCGGCACCAAATCTGACACATGCTTTTGCGCAGCCTCGCTTCATTCAGGTAGATGGGCTTCAACAATTCAAAAGTCAAATTGGCTCCTTTGCTCAGTGTGATGCTCGACAAGCAGAGCATCCCCAGAGGCTTGCGCAAAGGGTCGGTGCGCAGCCTGGAGCAAGGGTCTGTCTTCTCCTTGAAACAGAAGCACGAAGCACAAGCAGCAGCCTTCGATGCTGCTATGTTAGAGGTCGGGCTGAAGGACAGCTGCTGCATGTGACCCTTTTCTCAAGAAAATGCTTCTTTTTGTTTCGCTTCTTCTTTTTGGCTTTTTCGTCAAAAAGAAAGAAAGAAAGAAAGAAAGAAAGAAAGAGAGAGAGAGAGAGAGAGAGAGAGAGAGAGAAGGAAAGAAAAAAAGAAAGAAAAAAAGAAAGGAAAAAAGAAAGAAAAGAAAAAAAGAAAGAAAAGAAAAAAAAAAAAACTTGGAAAAAGAAAAAGAAAAGAAAAGAAAAAGAAAAGAAAAGAAAAGGAAAAAAAAAAAAAAAAAAAAAACTTGGAAAAAGAAAAAGAAAAGAAAAAGAAATGCTGGGACGGGATTTTGCCAAAATTGATCTGGAAGTCACACGCTGCTCTAGTGCCCTGTGGCCAAAAAAAAAGACGGGCCAGATTAGCATTCTTTTCAATTTTGGTCAGCCTCAGTGAAAAATTGGATATTCAAGTTCATTTTCGGCAGCCCTTTTTGGCTTTTCCCTTTTTGTTTCGATAAACTCGCCCTTTCCTGAGTCGAGGGTAATCCTCTCGCCCCACAATCGGCTGTCCACCCTCCATCCATCCATTCGTCCGCACACCATCCTCGTTGCCGCAGCAGCAACATCCTCGACGCTGTTAACGACGTTTTCGAGGTCATCTCTACGCTCAATACCCGTATCTGTACCCACACAGAGCACTTAATCGCGTTTGACAGGCTCTTTCTCCGAGTTCCGACCAATACCCACTCCCGACTACTTCTCCTACCGACTTGTACTCTCATTCGTGCGCACTTTGCGCCATCATACGCCGCGATAATATGCCATTTCGCATCGAGTATAGTCCTTCAGCTCGCGCTGGATGCAAAGGTCCAAAGCCTTGTGCTGGTACCAAGATAGCAAAGGGAGAGTTGCGTCTTGGAAGTCTCGTCGAGATTCAGGGAAACCAGTCTTTCCAATGGCGACACTGGGGTTGGTGAGTATTTCCTTTTTCAAAAAGCTGTCACACGCGCGCGTCCATTTCCGCACTTGGCAATGTCCTTTCCATTCACTATATAGAGCATCGACTGACACCTGTTGCTTGTTTCATCGTCGCCATCCTCCTTCTCTAGCACTACCCCCAAGATCATTCGCAACATCCAGGAGAAGGAGGGCATCACCGATCCTGCTGACCTTGTAAGTGCGCCACTGCCGGATTTTGGAAATGACGCGTTGATTCTGCAAAAGTGGGCCTTTCTTTTGGCTGACGTCTCCTTTCCGCATCGCTCACCATCTTGTGCTCGCCATCACACACAGGACGGATACGACGAGCTCCTCGACGAAGACAAGGCTCGAGTCGCTCGCGCTTTCATCGACGGCCATGTCGCAAGCGACGATATTCCAGAGTCCGCACGTATTGACCCCAAGGAGGCAGACAATGCGGACCAAGCCGCTGCTGCCGCAACCGTTCTCCCGTCCTCGGCATCTGCCGAGACTCAGCCCAAAATGAGAGGGTACGTATAACCATGACACCAAAACAGACACTAAGAGTTCTCATACTGACGATATTCTGTATCTTATTCTCTTCATCCCAGTCGTCCCTCGAAAGCCTCACTCCAAGCCTCTGCCGCTGGTGCACCACCTGCTACTCCTCCGAGTGTGCCTGCATCCAGCGTTCCCAACGGCCTAGCTGCCCCAGATGCTGCTGCCGGATCGACACCCAAGAGGAAGCCTGGTCGGCCTCCCAAGGACGCTGCTGCTGCTGCTGCTCCCGCCGCCGTTCCTACTCCCTCGCCTCTTCCTCCTGCTCTGACTCCGCCCGTGCCTCAGCCCGCTGTCGCCGATGTGTCTCCCACCAAGAAGAGAGGTCGTCCTGCCAATTCGCAGGCTGCCACGCCACCTCCACCTCCGCAGCCAGCAGCTCAGGCCCCCCTCGTACCTGTAGACACTCCTCAGCCTGTGCAGAAAAAGCGAGGACGACCTCCCAAGTCCGCTGTTCCTGCAGCCCCTGCCCTCGCGCCCGTCGCTCTCCCCGCATCCGTTGCTCCTCAAGAACACAGTCCTCCTCCTGCCAAGAAGCGGGGTCGTCCCAGTAAAGCATCTCTCGTTGCTGCAGCAGCTGAAGCCGCCACCGCCTTCCCAGCTCCATCGCAGATGCCCGTTGCAGGACAGGGTTTGCCTTTTGCCATCTTCGGAGACGCACCTTCACCTCAGCCCAAGAAGCGCGGTCGTCCGAAGAAGGAAGCTGCTGCTGCTGTTCAGCCAAGTCCCAGCGCTCAACACCCTATTCCTGGATCGCAGCCAGCATACATCTCACCCGTGGCTCCTGTTGATCCTAGCCCAGCTGCAGCTGCAGGCGCTCCTCCGGCTAAGAAGCGTGGCCGACCGAAGAAAGAGGTCGACCCTGTCGCTGCCAATGCGGCCAGTGCAGCCAGTCTTAACCGAGTGACGACACCTCCTCTTCCACGTGCTACCATTCCTCCTCAGCCTGCGGTTCAGACTTCTCCTTCGGCTCCGCCTAGCTCAGGCAAGAAGCGTGGCCGTCCTCCCAAGGAAAAGACTGAGGGTGAAGAGGCGGCCAAGCGTCCCCGAGGACGACCGAAGAAGGCTGATGCCGCCGCCGCTGCCGCACCCGCTCCTGTCCCGCAGCCTGTTGCGCCTCTCGCTCCGGTCCCTCAGGCAGCTGCTCCGGCTGCTTCGGTTTCTCCGGCAAAGAAGCCTACCGGTAGGCCGAAGAAGAACCCTCAGGACTGAGCTTTCCAAGAAGCGTTTCTTAAAATTAATTCTAACCGTTCTCGATGCGTGGTACGACTCGCCTCCGAAGTCTCGATCTGTATTTTCACCAATCTGTACTATCAGCTGTAATGTTCCCATGAATTTAGGTGCGTTCTCCAATATTCATGGCGACAGGTCGTTTGTGTCGTAGCGCCTGGTCACTGAAGTCTTGCTTCCTGCGTGAGAACAAGAGCGAGAAAGTCGCGGGTGAGGTTGTCGGTGGACAAGGCTTTGAAAGAATCAGTGCATACCCAAGAACGTTGTCATCGCCACCGAAGCATGGAGATGTTGAAGTTTGGGTCCCGATAACTGGCGATCGGGGAGAGTCTAAGTACGATGTCACTGCTGCTAAAAGACAGAAACATATATACTCAATTGACTGAAAGAACGTGGTGAGAGCCTAGTGCTGTCAGCTTGATATATATACATATGGGTGGCACATGCCGAATGTGCGAGTTGCTATACTTAATCATCCAGCCTGACAACGAGCGGGACTTGGTTGTACCCGATCTCTAGTGAAATCGGTTATCCTCAATCTCTGATCAGATCGGTTATCTAACCGGATCGGCTCTGCCTGATCTCCGATCAGATCGGCTCTGCGTCATCCTTTAGCGTCTCACTGGATCGTAATCTTCAGCACGCCAAGGCAAGGAAGTGCGATTGGGCAGAGAGGGAAAGGGAAGACCCTTCCTTCTTGATTTGACTTTTGGCACACGCTCACACACGATCTCGCACAGAGACAGACACGCAGTTCCGAATTGCGACGCAACACCCTTACGTGTACACGCAACAAGCTGCATCACTCTGCTTAGCAGTTCGAAGGTCTGCAAGGTCAGCCACCCAGCTTGTTCCCCACCCCCCCCCCCACTCAACCACACTCCTTTCCTCTTTCCTCATCTCCTTCTCATCATCACCTTTCTCACATCAAGGTTCGCCGCCCACCCGCTGCTGCGAACCAGAACTTTTGCACTTCTCTTGGTCCGCATTGGCTTGGTGCTCTTGTCCTTCTTTCGTACTCACCTTCGTTTCACCCAAATCTTTCGCCCTGAGCTACTTGGCCTGTCCCGACTCGCCCCACTCTCGCATCACCTAGCCTGGATCTTGACCGCTGTCTCCATCTCCTGTTCGGCATTGCTATAGACTGGCCATCATCCCTCTCCATTTCTCGACGGAAGCATCTTTCGTGACCACATCAGCTCCTCTCGCCGCTCGGTCCTTCTGCTCTTCGCTCTGAAACACACTCGGAAGCTCTCGTCGACCCTTCTTATCTATCCCAGGATTGTCCCTCAGTCTCTTCAGCTAATCGTCAGCATTTGCAAGTAGTCTAGCATCGTCTATATAACCTGATACATCGCCTCAACTCCTCAGCATTTACCCTCCACCTCAATCTCATACACGCACACTCATCAAGACACACAATCTCTCCTTTCACACCCTGTCTCTGCTCGTATCTGGGCTCTGAACTTTGGTTCTTCCAATAAAGTCCCTACAATCCCCTGTTTAACATCTCACATTATCACGATAGACCTTACACCACTCGACAATAGTAAGTGATTTCCGTTCTTCATTCAACTCACTGCCTGCGCACCCTACTGACAATGCTTCTCTCCTTCTTACCTCGCTTTTTTTCTCGAATCTTATTCAGCCTTAGCTATCAAGCTGATACAGTCTCTCCATCGAAGATTGATTGATTCACTGATCTCGCCATGAACCGTCAAGACAATCATCATGATCTCAATGCGGTGAGCAACCGTCTCGCTGCTCAGACCGACCATTTGCAGGGCCGCCTGCAGCAGCAGCTCAACCTCAGTGGTGTTGGCCAAGCTCGCAACATGTTCGCTTCTCGACCCGCTGGTCTAGCAAGTCTTGGTGAAGATGCCGAAAGCACCTCCGACGCCGCTCATTCGTTTCAGCCTCAGTCCACTTTCCCTCGTCAGGGTGGCCCTCGTTTTGCAGACAACGCAGCTTTCCAAAGCGCCATGGCTCGCCACTCCAACCAGCCCGGCAATGCAAACAATGCATCTTCGGCTGACTTCCGCGCCAACTTGTCGCATCAGCGTCAGTTGAGCCTTCAGAGTCGATTTGCCGATCTTGGCTACAATGTTGGTTCCGGTCTCGGAAACACTCCCAGTGAGGCCGATGACATGACCGACGATGGTGCCAGCTCCGTCGGTTACGGTGCATCGGCCTTCGATCCCACCCGAGGTCAGCGAGGACACGCTTCCGATTTCAGCTTCGGCTCTGCCGGCAACGGCTCTCATCGACGCACTGGCAGCGAAATGAGTGGCTTGCTCTCCAACAGGGATGGTCATCCACCTGCAGCTAGTGTTGATGGTAATGCCAACTCGCTCTCGGCCCAGAGTCAGATGCTGGCAGAGCAGCAGCTCGCACTGCAGCAGCAGATCGAGATGCTCCAGCTCCAACAGCAGCAACTCATGCAGACCGGTACCGGCAGCGCTGGTAGCCCTCTCAACGGCGCCCACCACGGCTTCGGTGGGCATCGCAGAATTCAGAGCCACGCTCCTCGCTCCGGTCCTATGGGTAGCTTCTCGACCGGCACCTCCTTCAACGGCGGTCTCAACAACTTTGCTACTCCTGCCCAGCCTGCTCCCCAGCCTTCCAATCTTCCTCGAGGCCACGGTCGCCGTCATTCGGTCAATGTGGTCAACAAAGCCAACCAGCAACAGCAGCAACAGCAGCAACAGCAACTTCAGCAGCACCGCCATTCGGATGCGCACCAAACCCTTCAGCAGCAACGCGAGTCTCCCAATTCAGACGCCATGCAATCTTCCGGTCCTGTCATGCAGTCCAACCCTGACTTCTCTTTCCCGAGCACTGCCAGCGCCCTGCGCACTGCACAGGCTGCCTATCAGCCCTCACAACCTACTGTCGGTCATTACAGTCGCCCCTCTGCTCAGCTAACCGACCTCTCTCCGGACTACCTTATGGCTGGAGGTGGTCTTGTCAGCTTGAACTCTCTTGGCATGGGTGGTTCCATGAACGATCTCGCCGATGGTTTCGGCGGTCATCGTAGTGGTCACGGTCGTGGCAACAGTATCCAGTGGCGAATGAACGGCGGCGCACAGGCTGCTCCTCAGCCCGTCGACCTTGCACAGGCTCAGGCTCATCTGGCCATGCTCCACCAGTTCCGTGAGTCAGCTGCCATGACTGGTCACTACCGTGCACCCTCCATCGGTGGCGCCTTCAATGCCATGGGTGGCTTTGGCGGCAATCAGTTTGGTGGCGGCATGGGCGGACCCGGTAGCGGACCTGGGGCTGTTCAGCGCAAGGCTCTCTTTGGCAACTACCTTCCTCAAGGCACCCTCCCTACACTACTTGCTCACGGCAAGATTGTCGTCGGCGTGCTTCGCATCAACAAGCGCAACAGGAGTGACGCCTACGTCACTACCGAGGTGCTTGACAGCGATATCTTCATCAGCGGTTCCAAGGACCGCAACCGTGCTCTTGAAGGTGATCTTGTCGCCGTCGAGCTGCTTGACCCTCTCGAGGTCTGGAATATCAAAAAGGAGAAGGAGGATAAGAAGAAGCGCAAGGAAGAGCAGAGCGGCCAGTCGTCTCGCAAGCCCGACAAGGCCAAGGATGACCTTGAGGTGGAAGGCGCTCAGCTTCGACTCATCGAAGACGAGGAAGAGACTGAGCAGAACCCACCTCAGCTTGCTGGTCACGTTGTCGCCATTGTTGAGCGCTCGCCTGGTCAGCTATTCTCGGGTACCTTGGCGATGCTTCGCCCTTCCTCTGCTGCTACCAAGGAGAAGCAGCAAGCCGAGCGCGTCCAGCGCGATGGCCCTGGCGCCCTTGCACCTGAAGTCAAGCCTCGTCCCAAGATCATCTGGTTCCGTCCCACCGACAAGCGTGTGCCGCTCATCGCCATCCCTGCTGACCAGGCTCCTGAGGACTTCTGGGCCGAGGAAGGCCAAGAAAGCTTCAACAGTCGTCTCTTTGTTGCTTGCATCAAGCGATGGCCAATCACTTCGCTCCACCCCTTCGGTGCTCTCGTCGAAGAGATCGGTGTCATCGGCAACGTCGAAGCCGAGACTCAAGCTCTTCTCAAGGACACCCTCAGCTCGGCCACTGAAGTTTTCTCCGAGGGCGCTCTCAAGTGCCTGCCCCCTATGCCGTGGAAAATTCCCGAGAGGGAGTACGAGACTCGCAGAGATTTCCGTTCGCTCCGCGTCTTCACCATTGATCCTGAGACGGCCAAAGACCTCGATGATGCCGTTCACGTTGTCCGTCTCGGTAACGGTCAGTATGAAGTCGGTGTTCACATTACCGATGTTTCCCACTTTGTCAAGCTGGGCTCTAGTCTCGATCGCGAGGCTCGCAAGCGCGGTACTTCAGTCTATCTCGTTCAGCGCGTCATTCCCATGCTTCCTCCCACCCTCAGCGAAGAGCTCTGCTCGTTGGTGCCTGGCGTAGAGCGACTCACCTTCTCCGCGGTGTTCACCATGAACAAGGACGCTCAGGTGATCAAGAGCTGGTTCGGCAAGTCGGTCATCAGGTCGTGCGCCCAGCTCGCCTATGCCGATGCACAGAAGGTCATCGAGGGCGGTGAGCTACCCAAGGACAAGATCAAGGAGCACAAGTCCAACGAGATCGCCGATGACATTCTCATTCTGCACAAGCTCGCTCAGAAGATGCGCGCTCGTCGCTTCGAAACTGGTGCTCTTCGTATCGACAACGTCAAGCTTAGCTTTAGGTTGGACGAGAACGGACTGCCCACCGACGCCAGCATTTATTCTAGCTATGACGCTCACAGGCTCATCGAAGAGTTCATGCTTCAGGCCAACATGGCTGTTGCTCAGCAGATTGCTGCTGGTCTTCCTGATCTTGCGCTGCTTCGTCGTCATGAGAAACCGCTTGACCGTCGTCTTGAGGGCTTCTTGAGCCGAGCCAAGTCGATGGGCTACGAGATCGACATTTCTTCTGGTGGTGCTCTCCATCGCAGCTTGAGGGAGATCAAAGATGACAACGCTCGACAGGCGCTGCAAGCCCTTGTGACCAATGCCATGATGAAGGCCAAGTACTTCTGCACTGGTATGGTCGACATTGCCAAATACCACCACTACGCACTCAACGTTCCTCTCTACACTCACTTCACCTCTCCCTCCCGTCGATACGCCGACTTGATGGTTCACCGTCAGCTCGAAGCTGTGCTTGCCGACCAAGACAAGTTCCCCTTCGATCGCGAGACCATGGCCAAGATCGCTCAGCAGTGCAACGTCAAGAAGGACGCCGCCAAGCTCGCCCAGGAGCAGAGCGCTCATCTCTTCCTTTGCTTGCTCATTCACGATCTTACCCTGCGCTACGGTCCTGTTGTTCGTCCGGCCACCGTTATGGGTGTGCTCGACGCTGCTTTCGACGTGATCGTCCCCGAGTTCGGTATCGAGAAGCGTGTTCACGTCGACCAAATGCCGATCGAGAACCACATCTACGACGATTCGCAGCACGCACTCAACATCTACTGGAAGGACAACGTCGATGTTATTGCTTGGCTTGCTGAGACGTCGGATGACGTTCACGTCAAGAAGCTGCAAGAGGTAGCTCAACAGCATGCTATGATGGAGTTGACTTCTCAATCTCAAACCGACGAAGCAGCTCTCTTCGATGATGAAGATGGAGAAGAGACCAGTACAGCTGAGTTGATTCGACAGCACAATGTTGAGGCAGCAAAGGAAAGCCAGCAGAGAGCAAAGAGTTTGCAGAAGTCAGCGTTGAAGTTTGACGGTGTAGATGAAAGTGGTAGGGGAGAGAGAAGGCAGAAGATTAAAGAGTTGATGCAGGTTCCGGTGATTGTTACTAGTGATATAAGCAAGTCTCCTCCTGTGTTGAAGGTCTTTTCGGTCAATCCCTTTGCTCAGGGGAGTCATGGTAACAGTTAGTAGCCTGCACAACTAGACAGAGCGATGGGATCTGATAAAAGGTCGCCCCCTCATACCTCGTCTAAACAACAAACACTGTATAAAGCATTTTCACGTTCCCACGTCACAACTACACAAGCAAAGCATACATCCTCCCCTTCACTCAGATACATCATCCATCACTCTTGTTCAGTATCGTTTTAGTTTGTTTTGCACATGATTCCAAGTTCAATGATCACGAAGTAGAGCCATCCTTAATCGTGTGCGAGTATCTCTGCTCGAACGAGGTTGTGGATGCCAGTGAAGATTGTGTCGAAGACTCGCCGCGATGCTCGATGACTTGCACCTGCCTGCGATGAAATGCGGACGCTCGAGAAGCTGGGGGGAGGCCGGCTCCGACCTGACCAGTCGAGCGCAGCCGGTTGCATCTTGGCTAGGACTGGCTTGAGTTCGTATGAGTCCAGTGCTGAGACCGTAGCTCATCATTCATTTTTGTCAGGCAGAACGTCCTTTCACACACAATCACGAAGTCACAAACAGGATGGTGATTTGGGGAAGGGGAATAGATATCAAGGTAGGTAGAGGACTACAGAAGAGGAAGGAATTCGATACATTGATCAAACACGATTTGCTCCTCCAAGACGCAAGGCCGAGTCAAACTGAAATTCTCCCCCATCTGGTCATCAAAGTTAGTGGAAGGAGACACCTAGTATTCAAGGTCCTCCTCACCAACATCGACCGAGTCAAGACCGACCTCCTCGTAGTCCTTCTCGAGAGCAGCCAGGTCCTCACGAGCCTCGCTGAACTCACCCTCCTCCATACCTTCACCGACGTACCAGTGAACGAAGGCACGCTTGGAGTAAAGCAAGTCGAACTTGTTGTCCAAACGACCCCAAGCGCCTGCAATAGCAGTGGTGTTGGCCAACATGCAAAGCGAACGAGAAACCTTGGCAAGGTCACCACCGGGAACAGTGGTAGGAGGTTCGTTGCAGATACCAATCTTGAAACCGGTAGGGCACCAGTCGACGAACTGGATGGTGCGCTTGGTCTTGATGGTAGCAACGGCCGAGTTGACGTCCTTGGGGACGACGTCGCCACGGTAGAGCAAGCAACAGGCCATGAACTTACCATCACGAGGGTCAGCCTTGACCATCTGGTTACCCTTCTCAAAGGAGGAGAAGGTCATCTCAGCAACCGAGTTCTGCTCGTGACCAGCTTTGGCAGCCGAAAGAATAGGAGCGTAGGTGGCGAGAGGGAAGTGGATACGAGGGAAAGGAACCAAGTTGACCTGGAACTCGTTAAGGTCGACGTTGAGCGAACCATCAAATCGGAGCGAGGCAGTGATGGACGAGACGACCTGGGCAATGAGCCTGTTGAGGTTGGTGAAACCGGGCGAGGCAATGCCGAGCTTGGTGCGGCAGATGTCGTAGATGGCCTCGTTGTCAACCATAAACGAACAGTCCGAGTTCTCAAGGGTGGTGTGGGTGGTGAGAACCGAGTTGTAAGGCTCAACGACCGAAGAGCTCATCTTAGGGGAAGGGTAGACGGAGAATTCCAACTTGGCCTTCTTACCGAAGTCCTGAGCAAGACGCTCAAGGAGGAGCGAACCGAAACCGGAACCGGTACCACCACCGAACGAATGGAAGACGAAGAAGCCCTGGAGACCGGAGCAGGCATCAGCGAGCTTGCGAACACGGTCGAGGGTCTGGTCGATAAGCTCCTTACCGACAGTGTAGTGACCACGGGCGTAGTTGTTGGCGGCATCCTCCTTACCAGTGACGAGGGTCTCGGGGTGGAAGAGAGAACGGAAGGTACCGGTGCGGACCTCGTCAACGACGTTGGGCTCCAAGTCGACGTAGATGGAACGGGGGACATACTTTCCGCTGCCGGTTTCGCTGAAGAAGGTGGAGAAACCGTCATCGTTCTCGGAAGGGCTGCCCTCGAGGATGCGACCATCAGGGCTGAGACCGTGCTCGGCAAGGTAAAGCTCCCAGCAGGCGTTACCGATCTGGATACCGGCCTGACCGACGTGAAGGGAAAGAACCTCACGCATGTTGTTGGAAGTTGTTTAGGGGCTGAGAGTGGTGCAGTTGAGGGGAACAAGGCGGAAAAGGCGATGATGAGCTACTGTGGGATGCGATCAAAGGCCTTGTGTTGTGGCTTCATCGGCGTCAGACAGCTCGAGCGAAGGCCACATTGTGCAAATGGTACTTACGATTAGGTGAAGGAGTCAAAGAGGAGGAATGTAGGTGCGCTCAGAAGTAACGTAGAGCGAAGATGTCTTGATGGTGGTGATGAGGATGAGATCGTCGTGGCGACGACGTTGAAGTGCGAGCGAGCACAGGCGGAGGCGCAGTGTGTGTGTGTTGGACTAGCAGACTTGCGAACGGTCTCTGTTTCTCTGCTGGTCTTTGCTGGGTGTTGCCCAGGCGAGCCTGCGTGTGTGTGAGTGCGCTTTTGCGAATTTCCAAGCTTTGAGTTGAGGCTTGTGTCTGTGTTTTCTCCTTCTCTACTCGGCGGCAGCGACCAACACCAATTCAAATTGCAGAGCAAATTCACCATTTTTGAATTCAGATTTCAGGGGTTGAAATTGTGACAGTGCGCGCTCCGTGTGACTTTGGAGAGGAAGACGGTGTTGGTCGCGAATTTGTTCAAATTTTGTGTGATCTTAGAGAATGCACGCGCGACAGTCACAGGCGCGTCATTCGCACGTACCAAAAGACAGTCGATGTTAGGCCGGTTACAAGCGTCACGTGCCTCGCCTCAAACCTTCTCAGCGCCTCCCGTCAAACAAGCCTCACCATCATACCTGTAAGACAGAGCACAGAGGAGGTCATTGTCAGCGGGATACTTGTTGCAATGAAGTTTATCAAGATGCATGCAAGCAGATTCAAGAAGGCAGAGGGCGAAGGGTGCCGGATAGCTTGTCACTCTGTGTGAGGGCACGAGCGCAAAATGCACCGCTTGTGGTTGGCTCACTACGGGAAGGAATTGTCGGTTAGGCAGCCCAGCCCAGATGGGAGACAATTAGGGGGTTTCAGTTATCCACAGAGTTTTGAAAACACATTACTTTGAAAATATGTTTGGGTCCAATTTTTAATGCCCCAAGAAACTGCAAAGGCCTGTAACACTTGCATCTTGAAGTTTCACTTGACTCAGCTGGTAAAGGCAATTGCCAATTCCCTACACCAGGTAAAGAACAAAGTGATCATATCAGACATTGTTGAGCACTATACTGAACATTGCCAAAACCTTTGATTGAAAAGCTAAAGCAAACAGCTTACATCACACCTGTTCTAATTGCTGTCTTCTGCAAGCCTCATGCCATCAGTCCTGTCTCTCCTGCCATTTGGTGAAGGCCAATGTTGTCATTCCCATCCTTTGAGATTCTGCTGTTTGCTGAAGAAAACGATCTGATAAGGCACGAAAGGTGATGTAAGTCGACATAGCGAGAGATCGATCAGATCGGGTAGAACAGATCTGATGATGAATCAGACAAAGACAATCTGATTGTAGATCATCTGGAGCCAATACAATCATTTTGAGCAAGAACATTCATAGAAGGCTTCTATGGCAGATTTCAGCAAGAATAACAACAGAAGGCTTTTACAACAGTTCTCGCCAAGATTAGTTGTAGTTGCCTTTTACCACAGATTTCGGGTTTCAGGTGCATGACTGCTGACACTATGTTCTGCCTTGACATGAATGTGGGAGAGGGATTAGTTGAAGTAATGGAGATTTCTGCTCTTTGCTACTGCAGTGTTGCTGTATGGTCCAACCATGTAGCTGGAGTAGCCATAACCAGCATCAACCTGTCACAGGGTCAGAAGGATAGTGCAAGAGAGTGCACCAAATTGATCAATGGCAGTCATGGGAATGTCGCGCAACAGAGCAGTATATGAAGGGTGTGCAATGGATCAATATATGAAGGGAGTGCCAGATTGATCAGCACCAAACCATTGGGGATCAACGAGATTAATCACACTGGCAGTGCATATGAATTACGAGATTGATCAAACCCTGGGTTCCAGATTAATCTCATCGGGGATTGGTCGGAATTGTAAGCGGTCGTGCACCAGAGACTAGTTTTGGGTTTTATTTGTTCAGTATAGATGAGGTTGATTGAGTAAGGTCTACTTGATATGTTTCACCTAAATGTAACCAAGCATCACCACCTGGTAAGTCTCGACTGACTGCCTTGAACACTCCATTCAGAGGTTGCATGGCATGAACATTGTTTGTTGGTGAGTGGGTGATACACCCTCTCCTACAGTACAAGTGTTTGTAGTACTGTTGATAATGCTCTTGGATGTCATCTGGACCACAATATGCTAATCACCTACAGAGGACAGGAGTTACTGGATCACAGGTGTGAATCACCACCTACAATAACTGACTGGACTGCTAGTGTTGAGCAACACCACCTACAGCAAGGGACTGGACTGCAAGTGTTGAAGAACACTGCCTACAGTTGTTGACTAACAGTGATACAACACACATGTTGAGAGTCATTGCAAGAGCACTGCTATTGCAATGGTACATAACTGAGTAAGTAAAGTAGATAGAGTAAGTAGTATAGTATAGAGTGGATGGGGATCCACTTGTATGCTATGGTAGAATGAGAGTATTTATGCATTCGATTGGTGTTGCCCACAACACCTATCCTGCTCCTCTTGAGGGGCCTTTGTCCCCTGTTTGACACTGTCTTGTCCTGCTGGCATCAATCCCATTGGTACTGTGCCCCTACCATTTGCACAGCATAAGGGTTATGCAACACTGCCCTCTTGCCTTCATGCTCTCCTTCTGCCTGATGATGTGTGATGCCCCCTTTCAACACAGCTCCTTCCCAACTTTATCTTGTGAATCCCTTTAGCCACTTGTTGAACCTCATGATCAAACCCCTTGGTCATGTGGTCACTTCGGCACAGCTCCTTCTTGACTTTGTCTTGTGAATCCCTTTAGCCACTTGTTGAACCTCATGACCAAACCCCTTGGTCATGTGGTCACTTCGATGCAGCTCCTAGTACTTGCTCGTATCGGCTGACTAGTTGAGAGCATGAAGGAAAGAGGGCAGTGTTGCATAACCCTTATGCCATGCAAATGGTAGGGGTGCAGTACCAATGGGATTGATGCCAGCAGGACAAGACAGTGTCAAACAGGGGACAAAGGCCCCTCAAGAGGAGCAGGATAGGTGTTGTGGGCAACACCAATCGAATGCATAAATACTCTCATTCTACCATAGCATACAAGTGGATCCCCATCCACTCTATACTATACTACTTACTCTATCTACTTTACTTACTCAGTTATGTACCATTGCAATAGCAGTGCTCTTGCAATGACTCTCAACATGTGTGTTGTATCACTGTTAGTCAACAACTGTAGGCAGTGTTCTTCAACACTAGTGGTCCAGTGCCCTTACTGTAGGTGGTGTTCTTCAACACTAGCAGTCCAGTGCCCTTGCTGTAGGTGGTGTTCTTCAACACTTGTGGTCCAGTCCCTTACTGTAGGTGGTGTTCTTCAACACTTGCAGTCCAGTCCCTTGCTGTAGGCAGTGTAGCTTGACACCTGCAGTCCAGTCAGTTATTGTAGGCAGTGACTCACACCTGTGGTCCAGTAACTCCTGTCCTCTGTAGGTGATTAGCATATCGTTGTCCAGATGACATCCAAGAGCATTATCAACAGTACTATGAACACTCATACTGTAGGAGAGAGTGTTTCACTCACTCACCAATGACCAGTGTCCATGCCATGCAACCTCTGAATGGAGTGTTCAAGGTGGTCAGTTGAGACTTACCAGGCAGTGATGTTTGGTTACATTTAGGTGAAACATACTGAGTAGACCTTACTCAATCAAACTCAATAGCACCCAAAACTAAGTCTCTGGCGCGCGACCGCTTACACAACCCAGACAAACTCACCTTCATCAAGATGCAAACAAGGCTTGGCAACAATACCACTGCCTGAAGCCCAGACTTGCACATCATGTGATGACCCAGGATGTCCAACCACTGACTTGACAATGTGCAAGGAATGAGGGAGGAAGACAAGGGCAATGTTGAATGTATAATCACCCTTGTATGGGTAGTGCTTGCAAGCATTGAGTGCTGGCTTCCAAGCAAGATTGATGTGTGTACCATCTACCACCAACCATCCTCTAGACCATTCCTTGACTCCACTCTTATCAGCAACCTATGCTTTTGCCTTAGCACACTTGTCTTTAGTTGCAAAGGTTACTACCTTGCTGTTCAGCTCATATATGCCTGCAATAGTCCTATCTGTCCACTTGTCATGACTCGGTCATGACCCCTTGTCACAGGGTCTGCGCAGAAGGTCCTGCGCAGAAAGAATCTAGGAAAAGCGAGCATCAGGTGGCAACGATCTGATCGGGCTAGTTGTGCACATACCCCATGAGATCAACCACAACATAAGTGTCACAGGGCCAGCACAGAGATCATAAGCAGCCATGCTGCCCAGCTGCCGAAATGAGCTTGGTGCACTGGAAGTGGAACTGGTTGAGACCCAGGGGCTCTGACCAATCTCACTGAGAATGGTCAGACAGTGAGCTGGGGGGAAACCTCATCAAGAATGGTTGAGACAGTGGGTACTGGGAAGTTTCACTGAGACTGGCCCAAGATGAAGTGGATCAACCAGTCCCACAATGAGATGAGGATGCCCCACCAAGATCGAAGGGCCAGCCACTGAGAGCAGGGAATGAGAGAACTTGCCACCTGATGAGGTGGGAGGAGACCCCTGAGCATGATGAAGTTGGCATAGGAGGATTGCCACCTCAGCAAGGGGAGTAAGGATAGGAAGGGTAGGATAGTAGTAGGAGCCAGATAGACTAGGGTGGATGGGGAGACCACACCCCTGTAAGGAGGGAGGCCATGGTGAGGTAGACACCATGGCACAAAGATATATATACACCCCTCTGTCATAGTGAATGAGTGGATCTGGCATCCACTCTATTCTTAACTAAACTATACTCTACTGTAATGTATACTTAGTTGTTCTGTCACAGTGCAATTGCAGGCCATTGCTACTAATCTGAGCAGGCATGTCTTATCACCTCTCACTGATGTTGTCTGTAGGCAGTAGTTACTGCAGTCCAGATAATCACCTCTCCAAAGGCAGTACTCATACTGTGGTCTGGGTTTCTCTCACCAATTTGCCATTTGCTCATTGACACCTCAAACACTCATGTTGAGTTGGCAGTTGTCACCATGTACACTAAGTGTTCTGCAGCAAGCAGGAGCTGATTGTGCTGCATTACCACTGAACTGAGTGTTCACAGCAGTTAGCTGAAACTCATCAAACAAACAACTCTTCAAGCAGTCTCAGTGAAAGTGGCCAACAGGTGCATACTCAAGAGCACTCACTGAAACTGGTTGAAATCACCCAAACCGGTAGCTTTCGGGTTCCAGGCACATGACCACTGACAATAAGGATTTAGTTAATCTCATTAGGATTGACTGGAACAAGCTTAGCCAGTAGGTTTCACCAAAACATGTGAACCAAAACCATTGGCACAGAATGGGTCATCTGTCACAAATAAGTAATGAAGGATTGGAAGAGGGGGGCCCAACACCAGAAGGTTAAGGAAGTATATGGGAATGATTGCATGTGGGAAGAGGACTGAGCTCAGGATCACATGGATGGTAACCACTCAGGGGGAATGTGCTCACCACCATGTAGAACCAGCAACAGGGGTGACCACATGATCAGGGAGCATGACAATAGAGTTTGGCATGCAATCATTGGCTTCACAAGATAAGGAGTTGGGAAGATGGTCACTGGTCAGGAGAGGGAGACCTGTGTCAAGGAGATTGGGGTCTTGACCCTAAGGCAGAAGAGCAGTGCCAAAAGGGGTTGGCATGCAGCACCAGGTGTAAGGGAGTATAGAGGTTGAGGGAGAGTGTCAAATAATCCAACACACTGTCCAGGCAGCAGAAGGGTAGCACTAGAGGAGCCAGCACACAGCCCAGGGAGAGTAGTGCCAGAAAGGGGCAATACCCCTTACTGAAGGAGCAGGAGAAGTGTCGCAGGCAACACTGAGCAAACACATAAATACTTTCATCTCACCATAGAGTATACAAGTGGATCTTCATCCACTCTACTCTTTATCTTACTTACTCTTTACTTGACTTGTATCATTGCAATAGCATAGCTTTGCAACAACATCTCGAACATGTGTGTTGTATCACCATGGGACGTCAAACTGTAGGCGGTGTTCCTCGACACCTGCGGTCCAGTACCTCCTGTCATCTGTAGGCAATAGTCTTATTGTGGTCCAGACAGCATCAAGGGCATCAAGCAGCAGCACTACGAACACTCGTGCTGTAGTAGGAGAGTTGTATCTGATACCACTCCACATCAATGTGTTACAGACATGCTGCATAGCCTCTGAACGGAGTGTTCAAGGCGGTCAGCCAGAAAGGCCAGAAAATTAATGCCCCCAAATGTAAGCTGTGTTTTTAGACCAAGAGTTAGGGTATTGTCAGCTGGAACATAAAGTGTTGGCCAGAAAATGAAGCAGTTCTGGAATCTGAACCACCTTGTAGCTCCACCATCTTTGACACTCTTGTCACACAAACAAAGTAGATACAGTCATTATTGACACTGTGGGTTCATGCAAAACAAGCTGTGCAGGAAAAGTGGAGGCATTTGCACAAGTAGATCACATGCAACAACATGTGCAATATCATGTGAGTGAAAACTCAGTTCCAATTTTAAAAATATTGCTACATGAGTATTGCTGAAGCAGTGTTTTCAAGAACTAGAGTATTTGTCAAAATGGCAGAGCTTATGTAAGTAATGAATATTCAACACAATTTAAAACTCAAAAATAACTTGAGTTTTCGAAAATAAAAAAAAATTGAAACCCTAGTGGACACACGACGTTGTGCCAGCCTTTGTGTGTCTGTGTCTGCGTTTTGCAACTGGCGGATTTTCAAGCCTTGACAACTCATCGTACATCCCACCTTCCCTCTCACACTATACTACACATCAACACTTCAAGAGGTTCGGGAAGACCAACATCGCTCTCATATAGCTCACAGTGCTCTCCTCTATATAAAGCTGCGTTCTCGGAGGGTAGAATTTAGGAAAGGACTGGACAGAGTAAACCCCCTTTTAGCACGGCGTTAGAAGGTGCTCGACTCAGCATGAACTCAGCCACTACTTCCTCCTCACAAGCGCCCGGCGCTGCCTCCAGCAGCAGGACTTCTGCTGGAGAAGCTGAACCACCAGAAGCATCGACATCATCTGCCACTTCTTCCAAATCGACCGAGTCCACCGCATCTACGTCCACCGCTACTGCCAGCAGTTCGTCCATTCCAGCCTTGGACTCACCTTCTCGACTTGGATCCAGCTTCTGGTCTTCATGGATCTCACCTTCCTCATCTTCCGCTGTAGCTGCATCCTCAGCCATGGAGAAGCGTACAAAACCTCGCCGACCCTCCTTTGAGGAGTTTCGTGCTGAGGAACCACCACAAGCTCGCCTTATTCGTCTTCGTGGCCTCTTCGACACCTTGCTAGATGAAGATGACGAGCAGGCTTTGGCGGGTGGTCGAGCCAGGGAAGAATGGATGAAGTCGGCTCGTCGTGCTCGCTTCGGTGCCGGTGGTAGTTTGGCTCGAGGCAGCTTGGCTCCCTCAGATATTCGCAACTCCACCGTCGGCTTCGAAGCTTGCACAATGTCACAATTATCGAACATCGCAAGCTCGTCTTCCGCTTCAGACACCTCATCACCATCATCATCACCATCCTCACCATCTTCAAAGAAAGATCCACAACTTCCTGCACCACCACCGCCGCCACGACAATCATATGCCAAAGAGCTACTCAACCAGTGTCGGAAATGCCGCGAAGAGATCGAAGCGAAACGTGCTCGACTTGCTGAAGAGCAAGCCAAACGCGATGCCAATCCCGGCTGGACCTCATCTCTGGGCCTGCCCACCTGGCTTGGAGGTGAAAAGGCCGAAGCTGTCAAAGAAAATGTCGCAGAGTCCTCAAAGGGCACCCTCACCGTAGTAAAAGACAAGATCCTCCCTCAAGCACTAATCGGCATCAGCACCACCGCCAAAGAGGGGGCAGAGACAGCTTCAGCCTCGGCATCATCTTCATCTTACCTTGGCTCTATCGGATCGTACCTTGGCTACAGCAAGAACTCAGATACAGAAGCACTCGAACATGGCCACAACCCTCCGGATATGGAACACGAAGCAGGATGGACCGGCAGTGGAGTCTGGGGTCTTTCGGCCGTTGGACATAAAAAACGTGCTGCCGACCGTGACCGTGACGAAAAGGTCCGCAAGGGTCACAAAGTCGACGATGATGGTGGTGCAAGACAACGTCAAATCGAATGGGAAGGATTCTTGGCATATGCGGAGAACAAAGAACGCGAACTCTACAAGATCTTTGTTGAGATGGACAAGAATGGCGACATGCGTCTGGACGTTCAAGAGATCCGTACTGCTCTCGATCGAGCTGGTATCGATGTTCCTCAGATCTCGCTCGATGATTTCGTCGCGAGTTTGACCAGCACTCGTACATCGGCTCATGCTAGTGGCAGAAAGACTTACGTCACCTTCCCGGAGTTCAGGGACTATCTTTTGCTGTTACCACGCAAGCCATCTGTACCCGAAATCTTCCGATTCTACCAAGTGCGCAAGGCGTTCGGGTTGTTCGGTATGGGAGGCATCTTTGCAGAACTAGCTGTGGGTTGGGGAAAGACAGAAAGGGGTGCAACGGCAGTCAACTTTGATGGAGATGTTAGTTTGGCTGGCGAAGAGAAGAAGCGTGAATCGCCCACCGTCAAGGAAGCGAAGCGAGTGGAGAAGCTCAAGAAAGGTCAAGAAGCTGCAGCAGCTGCTGCTACACAGGCTGTGGAAGAGAAAGCGGACGCTATCGATAGCTCGTCCCCCACCACATCGATCAGCAGTGGGGACGTGAGTGAAGCAAAGCAAAAAGCCGCTTCGGATGCAGCTGCAGCTGCGACAACAGCACAAGTAGAAGAGGAAGAGGACGAGGACAACGACATGATCCATGGTGCTGTGGCGCTCAAGTTTCTCGTTGCAGGTGGTATTGCAGGAGCAGTATCACGTACAGCCACTGCACCTTTCGATCGACTGAAGATTTATCTCATCACCACTGCTCGTGCGCCTGATGTTGCTGAAGCCGCGAAAGCTGCTGCTTCAGGTCAATCGGGTGCTACATCCAAAGCAGCAGGTCAAGGCATAGGCATCCTTCGAGAAGCCCTTTCCAGTCTCTACCGTGACGGGGGAGGATTGAGGGCATTTTGGGTCGGAAACGGCTTGAACTGTCTCAAGATCTTCCCTGAGAGCGCTATCAAGTTTTTGTCCTACGAAACAGCGAAACGCGCCTTTGCGAAGTATGTGGATAATGTTTCGGACTCGAGGGACATTTCGGGTACTTCGAGGTTTCTCTCGGGTGGATTTGGTGGTATTACTTCCCAACTTGCCATCTATCCGGTCGAGACGCTCAAGACGAGATTAATGTCGAGTCAAAACGTCAAGACTTCTCTGCAGGGCAACGCTCTCCTAGCCAAGACAGCGAAGGACATGTGGAACGCAGGTAAGTTGCGAACGTACTATAGAGGTTTGACAGCCGGTTTGATCGGCGTCTTTCCCTACTCTGCGATCGACATGTCCACGTTTGAAGGTATAAAGTTGTTCTATATCAAGTATACAGGAAAGGAGGAACCAGGAGTACTGGCGCTGTTGTCCTTCGGTTCAGTGTCTGGAAGTGTTGGTGCTACAACAGTCTATCCGCTCAATTTGATCAGGACAAGATTGCAAGCTGCCGGAACACCAGCTCACCCAACGACGTATGATGGGTTCTGGGATGCAGCGAAAAAGACTTATGTCAGAGAAGGTCTCGTTGGATTTTATAGAGGTCTCGTGCCCACGCTGGCGAAGGTTGTACCGGCTGTTAGCATTAGTTATGTGGTTTATGAACAGAGTAAGAAGCGGTTAGGTGTCCAGTAAATCACCATCGGAAGGATTGATTGGTAGGATGGGAGGCAAGGAGAAGGAAAGCATTCGTTGAGTTACTTGCAATAGATATTCACTAATTCACAAGCTCAGTTTCCTTGAGTGCGGTAAAAATGTGATTTCAGGATGTAAGGATGTGAGTACAGTCCCTTCCCGAAGTTTGGGGACAGGGTTTAATAGACAATCATTCAACTCATGCAGTAGCATACCTTCCATCTGCTTGGATGACTGATGTCTCATAAGTGTCAGGCTATACAAAACACACAGTGAGCAAGTCTCAAAGAAGGGCTTTTGATTGCAGTGAGTCTTGGAGCTGACTAATACTTGAGTGGACCTCCATGCTTAGTAAGCACCTGCTCCATTGACTCAACCACAGAGTTGATATGTTTGAGCATGATCTGTGTGTTCCACACTTCCTCTGCAGCTCTTGCAAGCTCATCCCAGGTTTTTGGTATCAGCAAGTGCTTACCAAGCAAGTTTTTGAAAACATACCATATGTTCTCAATAGGATTAAGGTCTGGCAAAGCCAGCAGGTGTTCCTGTGTCTTAATGTTGTGTTTGGCCCACCATTGCTTGCAGATAGCAGCCTGATGACAGCTGCTGCCATCTTTGACAACCAACAGGCTGTCAGGGTATGCACTAACAGCAGTTACAGCATCACAGAGCAGGCCACTGTTGATCTGATTGCAATACCTGACAGCTGTGAGGTTCTCAGTGGGATCCCATTGATTAGCCAACCCTGGTCACTTCTTCCTTGGAGCCAATGGGAGCACAACCAACAGTGTTTTAAGGTTGTATGCAATGCCAGCCCATATGTGGATGCTAAAATGGCTGGAACAGAATGTCAGAACCATGTTGTTGATGTCTTCTCAAGTGCTTTTCTGGTGGCTAACCCATGTGCACCTGGGTGAGTAGCCAACCTTGACAGCTGCCTTGTCTGTGAACAGCACACACTTCCAATCAGTGGAGCCTTTAGCCTTGGCCCAGTTGTAAGCAGTCTTGTGCCTGAAACCTGAATTTGACGATCCTGGTTGATCTCGGTGAGATCAATCAAGTAAGCCCTTTCCAAACTATTTTGGTGAAAAGAACCAGAAGGCTTATTCCTGGCAGGTTTTGACTGACCACCTTGAACACTCTGTTCAGAGGCTATGCAGCACATCCAAAGAACTTGCTTGGGAATGCTATATGATGCAGTCCCCCATATCAGCACAAGTGTTCATAGTGCTGCTTGTTGCTTGATGGTATCTGATGGTATCTGGACCACAATAAGGTTATCACCTGCAGATGAGAGAGGTACAGTCCCTGTGCATAAGTTTGGGGACAATCGGGTAATTTCCCGATTTAGTCAGTTACCCCACATTCTTGTTGTCATTGTCATTGAGCAATAGCACCACCATCATACTAATCAAGAACACTTCAAACACCAATATGGTCTGTGGCAATGAGCTCTCTCCAAGCAAGCATGCTTCAATCATTGCAATGCATGATACTGGGCTGCCAATTCAATGAATCATGGAGCTAAGCGGCATTTCCAAAACAGCAGTTCACAAGACCATCCATAACTTTAAGGAGCATGGTTCCTTCAAAACAAAAGCATGATCTGGCCATCTGCACTCCTGGACAGCTACCTTGGATCAATACCTTCAGCATGAGGTACTCAAAAACCCATTTCTATCATGGTGACAGCTGTCAGCATCGCTTGGCAGCATTCCAGTTATGCAGCTCCAGAAAGCAGCATACCAGGCTGGTATTAACTGCTGGATTGTGCTCCAAAAGCTGTTTCTGACAGCCAAAAACTGGCATAAATGTCTAGAATGGGCCAAGGCTAACAGAACCACTGATTGGAGGGGTGTGCTGTTCACAGACAAGGCAGCTGTCAAGGCTGGCTACTGGCCCAGATGCACATGGGTTAGTCACTGGAAAAACACTTGAGAAGACATCAACAACATGGTTCTGACATTCCATTCCAGCCATTTCAGCATCCAGGTATGGGCCAGCATTGCATACAACCTTAAAACCCCATTGATTGTGCTCCCATTGGCTCCAAGAAAAGCTGTCATCAGGCTGCTATCTGCAAGCAATGGTGGGCCAAACACAATATTAAGACACAGGAACACCTGCTGGCTTTGCCAGACCTTAATCCTATTGAGTGTCAGGGGTCTCGCGCCTGAAACCCAGGTCGGTCTGTCGAGATACTCGGTGACTATCAAACTGTGCAACAGCTATTGTCTCAGTAACGGTGACTATCAAGTTGCACAGTGACAGCAGGTGGTGTTCGTTGTATATACTATCATAGGTTTTGGCTGACCTCTGTGGACACTCTGTTCAGGGGTAGCTTGGCATGATCAATATCAATGCTTCGGTTATGATGACACCAAGGTCTGGTGTGAGTGTTGATGATGATGAGGTTGATGATGTTGGTGATAAGGTTGGTGAGTGTTGATGATAATGAGGTTGATGGTGTTGGTGATAAGGTTGGTGGTGTCAACATGAGTGTCCAGTGTGTTGACTTTGACACTTGAAGTGATCCCCAGATTGCAGTGGACTACTGCCTTTGGTTCTATCTATATCCAGACCACTAACCTGCTATGGGGCGCCTACAGATGTCAGGTAGTGGTGATACAACACACACACTATGATGAGGAGCAACCTTGATAGATTGCTGCTATGCTGACTGAAACTAATATATACTTATGCTGAAGTGATAACTAGTTATGGTGAGTAGAGTGGATGAGGATCCACTCGACCTATGATGATGAGAAAGCATGGTTATATACCTCTTCACAGCATCGCCAGCGATGCTGCTCCTGCTCTCTCTCCAGAGAGTACCTTCTTCATCGAGTACTGCTCAGGGGCCTCTCCTGCTTGGCACCCCTGTGCCTCTTGAGTGGTGTCGACTCCTTCAACACTGCTCCTCCTCCTCATGACCTGGTGTCAACTCCTTCGACACTGCTCCTCTTCCTCAGGACCTGCCTGCTAGTGTCCTATACACTGCTCCTTCTCCTTTGACCGGTGACAGTTCCTTTGACTCTTGTTTCTCAAGCCCCTGAGTGGTAACCATCTGCATGCTCCTTGAGCTTGGTCCTCCTCATGGCTTTGCCTGGCCCTCCTCGCATGTGGCTCGTGTCCTCCTTTGCATGTGAGTCCATAGGAGTCCATGGTCTCCATGGAGACTGCACTACGACCATGCTCTCTGCTGGTATCGACTAGATCTTTGATACCTGTGCTCCTTCCATATGAACCAGTGACCCTCCTGCTTCTTGAGCATCCAGGCCCATGACATTGAGAACATATGGTATGTTTTCAAAAACTTGCTTGGTAAGCACTTGCTGATACCAAAAACCTGGGATGAGCTTGCAAGAGCTGCAGAGGAAGTGTGGAACACACAGATCATGCTCAAACATATCAACTCTGTGATCAAGTTGATGGAGCATCATGTGGAGCAAGTGCTTACTAAGCATGGAGGTCCACTCAAGTATTATTCAGCTCCAAGACTCACTGCAATCAAAAGCCCTTCATCCAAACTTGCCCACTGTGTGTTTTGTATAGCCTGACACTTATGAGAGATCACTCCTCCAAGCAGATGGAAGGTATGCTATCAGATGGTTGATTTATTGTCTATTGGACCCTGTCCCCAAACTTTGGACAGGGACTGTACTGGACCGCAAGTGTTAAAGAACATCGCCTACAGTGAGAGACTGGACCACACATGTTGAGGAACACTGTGTCATGGGCCTGATTGCGCAGGAAGCAGGAAGACCCATTAGTTCATATGAAGGGAGTGCAGGAATCGAGGAATCGGGCAGATCGTGGAATTTACAGCAGAATTCATTGAGATTGGTAGTAGGAACAGTTCTATGACAGATCCCATTGAGATCTGCATGAACAAGGATGTTATAATGAATCCTGCTGAGATCAGTAGTAGAGGAGGTCATATAGCAGATTCCACAGAGATCAGTGACAAGGATGTTCATACAACAAATTCACATGCAAGGAGGACCAAGCTCTGCCAAGACAGGGACTGAGCTCAGGAACATGCAGCTGGTTACCACTCAGGGGCTCACAAGATAAGAGTTGGGAGAACAGTCGCCAGTTAGGAGGAAGGTGTCACGGGCCTAAGCTGCGCAGAGCGAGGGAAGGCCGAAATGATATGAAGGTAGCGCAGGAATCGTGGAATCGGGTAGATCGTAGGAGCTGTGACAGAGTTCACCAAGATCGGCAGTAGAACCAGCTCTATGGCAGATCGCAGCGAAATCGGCATGAGCATCATCGATATCACGAATCCCACCAGAATCTGCAGCAAGCGAGAACATGTGGCAGATTCTGCAGAGATTGGTAGTAAGGATGTCCATATGACGATTCACATGCGAGAGGGACCAAGCTTGGTGACACACGGTCAGTTACCACTCAGGGGCCCACAGGACAGGAGGAGAAGAGAACCATCACTGGTCAAAGGAAGGGGATCTGTGTAAAGGACACTGGTGAAAGGGACATGAAGAGAAGGAGCAGTGTCGATGAAGTTGACACAGCTCAGGAAAGACAGGAGGGACAAGGCTTGATATGGAGGAGGTGCCTTCTTGGAGACCCCTGTACAGTACTCGATGAAGGGGGTACTCTCTGGAGAGAGGGAGTAGGAGCAGTGTCGCTGGCGATGCTGTGAAGAGGTATATAGTCCTATCTCCTCATCACAAATGGTCGAGTGGAGTCTCATCCACTCTACACTCATCAAGCAACTAGTATTACTTCAAGCAATAAGTAACGTTAGTTCACAGTCAGCATAGTAGTAATCAACAGATTGCTCCTCATCGAAGCGCGTGTGTTGTATCACTGTTTCCTGATGTCTGAAGGCGGTTCATAGCAACCAGCAGTCCGGATAACCATAGAACCGAAGGCAGACATCCACTGCGGCCTGGGGATCACTTCAAGCATTAGTTGACACACTGGACACTCATGTCAGTGTCAACAATCCATACTTACACCAGACCATTGGTGTCAATATCAAGCTCACTTAGAGTCATATTATAGTTTGATCGTGCTGAGCTACCTCTGGACAGAGTGTCCACAGTGGTTAGTCGAAATCTGTCATAACGATAATACAACTACAGATTCTAAATGAGAAAGGTGACAGAGAAGGCTCTGTTGCATATTTCACTAAGAATCGAAATACCATTAGCGCTGTCACATAATTTGACAGAATTGGTGATAGTACTGATACTACTACTGATCTCAGGTTTCAGGCGCACAACTGCTGACATTAGAGTGGATCATTCAAGCAGCACCCCACAATCACGATGATGGACCAAGGCCTCAATGATAAGCTCGACTGGCTTCTAGCACTATTGGAAGCCCAACTCGAGCTCACCAGGCAAGGCCAACAAGAAGAGTGACTTCGCTGTGCTCACCTAAGCAGAGAAGAGACGATTGAGTTCTCGCAATCAGAAGATCAAGCAGGAGGAGATGAATCCATGCTAGGAGACCCTCAGACTCCTACACCAGCATCACAACCAAGACGATCAGTCTTGTTTGCTGCCGTAGATGAGCAAGACGATGTTAATTACAAAAAGTATGCATTGCCCACTGGGCCAAGGTACTACAAACCCAGGGAGGATCCATATAGTAGGACTAGGACAGAACCTTATGCCCCATACTTGGAGGAGGATACTAGTGTATTGGTGGACCTCTCTCAATCAAAGCCAATCACCACACCCTTTCCTAAGTTTAACCCGCGAGATGTGGAGATATTCATTCTCGAAGCCAAAGCCTGGTTTAAGTTTAACCAGGTATATGAGCAAACAAGAATGATCAACCACATGGGCTCTCAATTGGAAGGGAATGCATGGGAGTGGTGGACCTCCAAGCTCCGAATTGACAGGGCATGGGAAGGAAGGTTATTCAATGACTGGCACTACTTTACAGAGTGGCTGTCAGAACAATTCAATCCCCAGAATGCTAGAATGGAAGCCTACAACAAGCTGTTGGCTCTCAAACTCACTAGCGATGCACCTGGTGCTGCCACATGCCATGTGGAATGTTTCAGAGACCTGGAAGGACAAGTCAATCTGGATGATAACAAACTCATCATTGACTTGTTCAGAGGCAGTCTCACATGTAGTCTGCAAGAAAAGTTTGAGCGTAACCCACCTGCAAAGAGGTGGGGATGGTACCAAGAGGTTGAAGATATCGACTGACAGAGGATGCTGCTACAGCAGTCCTCTGCTAGGCACCCAAGCACTGCCCCTCCACGATTGAACCCAGGAATCTGACCAATGCCACCTGCTCAGAGTTCACTCCCCATTCGGCAACTGGCACAAAGAAACTCTGCTTGTATGCTGGCACCAATAACAGCAGGAAGCCCAAGCAGACCAACCAATCAGCTGCTACCTCAGCAGTATGTACCGGGTCTGAAACAAGGAGGCCCCACAGTACCAGGCAATAGCACTTGCCATATCTGCAAAGGCATCAGACATTGGGCCAGAGACTGTCCAAACAAGAAGGCAGACCCTCTGGGCCCACAGCCTTTGGGCCCAAGAGTCATGGTAACCACAGAAGACCCCTTTGAAGAAGGGGCCACCAACTCAGGGGATGGGCATACAGGCAGTGCTGAAATGAGCAACCCTGATGACCTAGACTTCAGTCAATACCAAGTTCCTAATGACACTAATCATGAGGAACCTCAAGATGACAATGACGAGGGAAACGACAGTGGGGCGATGCACTGATGGTGTGCATGGCTCTACAAACCTCCTCACCATCATTGTGTATATATCAAGATTGCCAAATATGTTTCTCCACCAGCAAAGGAAAAGCAGTATTAGAGCTTACAGGAATGGTCCAAGACCATCCTGCTCGCATACTTGCCGACACCAGCACTGGCTTGTCCATAGTTTCAGATTCCTTTATCAGTAAGTACTTAATACCAACAAAACCCTCAAAAACAAGATCAATTCATGGTGTCACTGGACACCAGCTTGTTAACAATAGCACCACGACTGTACAGGTGGTTATTGGTGAGCACAGCCTAGGAGTAGTCAAAGTATTGGTAGCTGATACTGCTGACTATGACCTTATATTGGGATTCACCGAGCTTAGAAGGCTCAAGCCCACCATACAATGGGACACAGGCCAACTAGAGTTCAAGTCCCAGGACTGGAAACGACCCCCTGAAGCCGCCACAACTAGGGGCTTACAATCAAAAGCGTCAAAATCGGTCATAGTAGCGGAACTGTCACAGAATTCAATGAAAGCCGCCGCAACAGGCAAGCAAAAACAGGAGCTTGCCATAAGAGATAGCTTATCACCGATTTCAACGAAATCTGTGGTAATGGGCTCCTACGAAGAAGAATTGGCATGACCAACCATGCATGGAAACGAGTTCATCTCAGCAAAGCGCTTACTTCAGGCAGCTTTGGAGGATGGACCCATAGGGTTCATGTTATTGGAAGTACCACCCTCATCACTCCCGGCCTTCGGTTTCGTTCCTACCAGTGCCGATAAAGGAGTAGAGATGGAGGTTGAGATCAAAAAGAAGGTGATGGTGGTGGATATACCAAACCCATACCAACACCTTCATGATGTGTTTGACGAGGTGGAAGCAGACAGGTGTCATGGGCCTGGATGCTCAAGAAGCAGGAGGGTCATGGGTTCATATGGAAGGAGCACAGGTATCGAAGACCTAGTCGACACCAGTAGAGAGCATGGTCGTAGTGCAGTCTCCATGGAGACCATGGACTCCTATGGACTCACATGCAAAGGAGGGCCAAGCACAGCCACGAGGAGGACCAAGCTCAAGGAGCAGGCACAGCCACGAGGAGGACCAAGCTCAAGGAGCAGGCACAGCCACGAAGAGGACCAAGCTCAAGGAGCATGCAGATGGTTACCACTCAGGGGCTCGAGAGACAAGAGCCAAAGGAACTGTCACTGATCAAAGGAGGAGGAGCAGTGTCGAAGGAGTCGACACCAGGTCATGAGGAGGAGGAGCAGTGTCGAAGGAGTCGACACAGCTCAAGAGGCACAGGGGTGCCAAGCAGGAGAGGCCCCTGAGCAGTACTCGATGAAGAAGGTACTCTCTGGAGAGAGAGCAGGAGCAGCATCGCTGGCGATGCTGAGAAGAGGTATATAACCATGCTTTCTCATCAATAGGTCGAGTGGATCCTCATCCACTCTACTCACCATACAACTAGTCAATACTTTAGAAACACAAGTACTCATTAGTTACAGTCAGCATAGCAGCAATCTATCAAGGTTGCTCCTCATCGTAGTGTGTGTGTTGTATCACCACTACCTGACGTCCGAAGGCGCCCATAGCAGGTTAGCGGTCCGGATATAGATAGAACCGAAGGCAGTAGTCCACTGCGGTCCGGGGATCACTTCAAAGCATCAAGTCAACACACTGGACACTCGTGTTGACGCCACCAACCTTATCACCAACACCATCAACCTCATTATCATTGACATCACCAATCTTATCATCAACACCATCAACCTCATTATCATCGACATCACCAATCTCATCACCAACACCATCAACCTCATCATCATCAACACCCACACCAGACCTTGGTGTCATCATAACATTGATATTGATCGTGCCGAGCTACCCCTGAACGGAGTGTCCACAGAGGTCAGCCGAAACCTACGATAGTATATACAACGAACGCCACCTGCTGTCACTGCACAACTTGATAGTCACCGATACCGAGACAATAGCTGTCACACAGTTTAATAGTCACCGAGTATCTCGACAGACCGACCTGGGTTTCAGGCGTGAGACCCCTGACAACAGGCTTCCCCAGCATACCAAACATGATCTCCACCTTGAACTAATAGAAGGAAGTCGACTGCCTCAAGGCCCATTGTATCTCAAGGGGCCTAAAGAAATGTCTGAATTGAGGAAGTATCTGGATGAGAACCTCGCGAAGGGGTTCATACAACTGTCAAAGAGTCCAGCAAGGTCACCTGTGCTATTCGTACCTAAGAAAGATGGAGGTCTCAGGCTTTGTGTGGACTATCGGGGACTCAATGAGATTACCATCAAGAACAGGGCTCCGTTGCCCCTCATCGAGGAGCAACTGTTCCTGCTCTGAAAGGCAAAGATCTATTCCAAGCTAGATCTCCAAGCAGCATACAACCTCATTTGCATCACGAAAGGAGATGAATGGAAAACAGTGTTTGGTACACAATTGGGACTATATGAGTACCTTGTGATGCCATTCGGGCTAGCAAATGCACCAGCTCATTTCCAATTGTTCATCAATGTCATCTTCTGAGACATTATTGGAGTATATGTTGTTGTATACTTGGATGACTTCCTCATCTTCAGTGACATGGAGGAAGCACACATATGACATGTCACTGAAGTTCTCACCCATTTGAGAAACAATCAGCTGTTTGCTAAACTGTCGAAGTGTGAGTTCCACACCATGACAGTAGAGTTTCTAGGGTATATCATCAAACCCACAGGGGTAGAGATGGATCCTGAGAAAGTATGGACAGTCAAGGAGTGGCCAATGCCAGAATCAATCCATGATATCCAAAGATTCCTTGGCTTTGCCAACTTCTACAGGCGATTCATTGCTCACTTCGCTTGAATCACCAAGCCACTAACATCACTGGTGAAACTGACAGAATGTTTCAAGAAGTTTGAGTTGCCAGAAGAAGCTCAACAAGCTTTCCACAAACTCATCCAAGCATTCACGACAGCCAGAGTACTACAACACTTCAATTACCACCTTCCTACAAGGCTGGAAACAGATGCAAGCAATTTTGCCATCACTGGAGTGCTCAAACAAGAGCATGAAGGATGTTGGCACCCAGTAGCATTTTATTCAAGGAAGATTTTGTCAGCTGAGAAAAACTACAAGATCCACAACAAGGAGCTCCTAGCAGTGGTCGCCTGCCTCACTCAGTGGCGACACATGCTAGCAGGACTACCGAGTCAGTTAGTCATTCTCACAGATCATGAAGCACTCAAGTACTTTAAGTTGCAACATTGTATCACTGGCAGACAAGCAAGATGGGTGGTATTGTTAGCAGATTTCAACTTTGTGCTACAATACCAACCAGGAGACAAGGGTGGCGAACCCGATGCTCTCACCAGACGAGCTGACATGCAGCCAGTCAGCGAAGAGCAGGAGCACAATGTTCGACAACTACTGCCTCCCCAGGTGTTTGAACAAGTCGAAAACGAAATCACAACAGGGAACAAGTTGCAGCAGATTTCAGCTGAAAATGTAATAGCAAGCATGATACTACCGATTTCAGTGGAATCGGTTCTAACTGCATGCTCAGGCGACGATTCCGTATTAGTGGCTCCCATCCTCACGATGGAGTCTATAGCCACGAAAGGAATCAAAGATCTGGCCAGAATCTTCCAGCCTCTGGATCCAGAGCTTCAGGGGATTCATCTAAGGAAGCCATTCGAGATCAGAGACAGCTTATGGTATAGTGGCGGGCGGTTGGTTATCCCCAAGGTAACGATGCCAGGGAGAACCAATGACCATCGTTCATGAAGTGCCAAAGAAGTTGATGGACAGTCATTGTCTGTAGAACACTTGCGATTCATGGTCATGTCTCAATGTCATGATGGTGTCACAGCTGGACATGTGGGGCAAGATGCTACCATTAAGTCAGCCCAATGACACTATTGGTGGCCAAACATGTCAGCCTGGATTGCTGATTATGTCGCAAGTTGCCAAGTGTGTGCCAGATACAAGGCTCCTCGCCATCGCCCATATGGCTTGCTGCAGCCACTTGCTACTCCAGACAGACCATGGGGCTCTATATCCTTGGATTTCATTGAAGGATTACCACCCTCAAAGGGATATGATTCAATCCTGGTCATCGTTGACAGATTGACCAAGTTTGCTATTCTGGCTCCTACATACAAAATGGTCACAGCGAAACAGACTGCTGTGCTACTATGGCATTATCTGGTTCAACACTTCGGTTATCCAGATCACATGGTCTTGGACCGAGGCAGGCAGTTCATCTCAGGAGCATGGAAAGCATTTGCCGATCAAATGGGTATGAAACATTCGCTCAGCACTGCTTATCATCCTCAAACGCATGGGCAAATGGAAAGGGTCAATCAAGTAGTAGAGCAGTACCTTCGCATGTACTGCAACTATGAACAGAATGACTGGGCCGGCTTACTCGACACTGCAGCTTTTGTGTACAACAATACCATACACAATAGCATCGGTGTCTCACCATTCTTTGCATGTTATGGATGGAACCCGAAAGCCCATCCTGACATTCCTCAACACCTAGGAGTGAACAACCCCAAACGTTCTGAATACTTGCTTGATGGTAAAGAGCACTGCAAGTATCTTCAAGGACAGATCAGGGAAGCACAGCGTCATACTGTCAATCACTATAACCGGAGACACAAGGACATAGAATTCAAGGTTGGCGACATGGTCTACATCAATCACAAGAATTGGAAAACCAGGTGACCCACACCAAAGCTGGACACCAGGTTTGCAGGACCTTATCCGGTATGAGAAAGGGTGGGCTGACGAGCCTATAGAATCACATTGCCAGCAACCCTCAGAGTTCATGATGTGTTCCATGTGTCTTTGCTTGAACCAGCAAGGAATAGTTCTATTCCTCAATGATCGACACAACCAATTGTACCATTGCTACCAGATGAGGAACTTGACTTCGAAGTTGAAGCCATTGTTGGCAAGCATTCACACAATGGGACGATAGAATACAAGGTCCTCTGGAGGGGGTATCCAGAGGAGGCTGCCTCTTGGGAACCATTGTTGAATCTCAACTGTCCTGACCTCATCTGGGAGTATGAGGTTTCAGTGGGGGGACAAGGCTAAAAAAGCACGAGGAGAAGGAGAAATTGGTAAGAAGGGTGTTAGAACTGATTTGAGCGAAAAATGTGAGAGTAGAGGTGCTATTACGAACTACATGGAAATCTGTCACAGTACTGGTGGTATGGCAGATTTCAGGGAGAGGACCCAAAATACTACTCTCACCATACAAGAAGTGGGTAAAGAGCATGGTACTCAACAGCCAGGCTCATAATCAATGTCACAGGAGTCAGGCCACAGACTCAATTCAAGAAACAAGGGCATCGACATTACAGAAGGAGACCTGTCACTACATGTCGACATATGAAGAAGGAGCAGGAGGAGGAGCAAGGGAGGACTGGATCACTAGTTCCTCCTCAGTAGGAGCCACCCACTCATGAAGGAAGTCTGGGGGACCACCAGACTCCATCACAGACTCGTGAGGTTGATGCTCCGAGTACAGTCAGTTGTGACATTCAACATAAAGTTGAAGTGTATGGAGTATAGAACTCACCAATTCTGGCTGACAAAAGTGCCACACAACTTGCATTGTGGTCACCCAGCTGCAAGTCATTACTGGATCAATGGTGTGCTCCTTGGACCAAACCAAGCCAGGACCATATCCATCCACCACAGTCAAGTGTGCATGTTCTACCTGATGAGACCCACAAGGTTGTAGACTCGGAGTCCCATCACTGGTATAGTCCATGCCTGGAAGAGCAGGAATGTCATGTTCACAATGCCCCAGCCCAGCTAGGTAGCAATGCACACACACACATGGAATTCGAGTCCTTTCACCAAACGGGTTGGTGAATGCGGAAGCAAAACAGCTGAGAAAAAGAGAGGGACTAGAAATGTCAGTATCATTTGGAATCAAGGATGGGGTTCAAGAAATATCACTTATGGTATGCCTAGGTTGAAGCAGTGGCAGCATTGCCAACTTGGCCATGGCATGCAACCCTCAGTGAGATGAAGCATCACCAAGCGGTGAAGCCTCTTCGCCGCTAGAGAGCCAGCAGGCACTTCCCAGTCAAGGGGATAATGTCCATCCATGACTCGGGTTAGGAGGTCAGCCATAACATACCCCTTGGCCCAGCCAGCAATCTCCCGATTGGAGGGGAGATGACAATCCGGTGGGGGTGGGGGTGGTGTTCAGTGCCCAACCCAATGAGGAGGAGGGGTCAGAGGTTGTACCTCTGGCTGATAGACAGGGGTCCCTGCTCTGGAAGCAGCCAGGACCACATCAACTATCTCATCAGCAGTAGGAGGGGGAGTTGGGGACCTAGCCAACTCCACCTCCCAAGCTGCTTGGCCTTCCGGAGTAGTCATCTCCACTGCAGAACATCTAGCATTGACCTCATACAGGTCGACCATGGGGGAGGTAGGAGAAAAGTCATTCCCCACAGGGTCGGGAATGACAGGAACGAGGTAAGGAGAGGGAAGGGGACTGGGGATGACGATGTCGTCATCCATCCCCAGGAAAAGGGGCTCCAGTGGCAAATGAACCACTGGAACAGCAGGAAGATCAGCCACAGGGGCTGAGGTTGGAGGTACAGAAGAGCCTGCCTCTACAGTAGGCTCTTCACGAGCCCAGAGTCACAGTACTACTTGGCGACGACGAGAAGGTGTTGTCGCCACCTCAGCAGGAGGCACTCGGGCAGTGGTTTTGGATCAGGTGAGGTAGGGTGACATTGTGGGAAGAGTTGGTAAGGAGATGATGGTAGGATCCAAACAGGGCACAGGACATGCCTCGACGGAGCTCAGCTCTTAAGAGGGGGGTAATGTCATGGGCCTGGGTGTGCAGAACGAGGAAAGACTGAAGTTCATATGAAGGTAGCGCAGGAATCGTGGAATTGGGTAGATCGTTGGGGCTGCAACAGAGTTCACCAAGATCAGCAGTAGAATCAACTCTATGGCAGACCACAGCGAAATCAGCACGAGCATCGTCAATATCACGAATCCCACCAGAATCTGCAGCAAGTGAGAACATGTGGCAGATTCCGTGGAGATCGGTAGTAAGGATGTCCATACGACGATTCACATGCGAGAGGGACCAAGCTCAGTGACATGTGGTCGGTTACCACTCAGGGGCCCACAGGACAGGAGGAGAAGAGAACCATCGCTGGTCAAAGGAAGGAGATCTGTGTAAAGGACACTGGTGAAAGGGACATGAAGAGAAGGAGCAGTGTCGATGAAGTTGACACAGCTCAGGAAAGACAGGAGGGACAAGGCTTGATATGGAGGAGGTGCCTTCTTGGAGACCCCTGTACAGTACTCGACGAAGGGGGTACTCTCTGGAGAGAGGGAGTAGGAGCAGTGTCGCTGGTGATGCTGTGAAGAGGTATATAGTCCTATCTCCTCATCACAAATGGTCGAGTGGAGTCTCATCCACTCTACACTCATCAAGCAACTAGTATTACTTCAAGCAATAAGTAACGTTAGTTCACAGTCAGCATAGTAGTAATCAACAGATTGCTCCTCATCGAAGCGCGTGTGTTGTATCACTGTTTCTTGATGTCTGAAGGCGGTTCATAGCAACCAGCGGTCCGGATAACCATAGAACCGAAGGCAGACATCCACTGCGGCCTGGGGATCACTTCAAGCATTAGTTGACACACTGGACACTCATGTCAGTGTCAACAATCCATACTCACACCAGACCATTGGTGTCAATATCAAGCTCACTTAGAGTCATATTATAGTTTGATCATGCTGAGCTACCTCTGGACGGAGTGTCCACAGTGGTTAGTCGAAATCTGTCATAACGATAATACAACTACAGATTCTAAATGAGAAAGGTGACAGAGAAGGCTCTGTTGCATATTTCACTAAGAATCGAAATACCATTAGCGCTGTCACATAATTTGACAGAATCAGTGATAGTACTGATACTACTACTGATCTCAGGTTTCAGGCGCGCAACCGCTGACACCCCAGCTGTCCTTGCCACTACTCTGTTTATCGTGTGATCCTCCTTGCCATTGATCTCTGTGGAATATGTCCTATGATCTTGTGTACTGCAGATTCTGGTGGGATTCACAATACCATTATGGCTCATGCCAATCTAGCTGGGATCTGCCCTAGAACCATTCCTTCTACAGATCTTGGTGAACTCTACTGCAAGTTCCACGATCTGCCCAATTCCTTGATTCCTGCACTCCCTTCATATGACTTGCTGGATCTTCCTGCTTTCTGCGCATCCAGGCCCATGACACACCCCTCCATCATAGTGAATGAGTGGATACAGCATCCACTCTATTCTCAACTAAACTATACTCTACAGTAATGTATACTTAGTTGTTCTGTCACATAGTGCAATTGCAGGCTGTTGCTACTAATCCAAGCAGGTGTGTTGTACCACCCCTCACTGATGTTGTCTGTAGGCAGTAGTTACTGCAGTCCAGATAACTATCTCACCAAAGGCAGTACTCATACTGTGGTCCAGGCTTCTCTCACTGATTTGCCATCTGATCATTGACACCTTGAACACTCATGTTGAGTCGACGGTTGTCACCACATACACTAAGTGTTCTGCAGCAAGCAGGAGCTGACTGTGCTGTGTTACCACTGAACTGAGTGTTCACAGCAGTTAGCCAAAACTTGTTGAACAAACAACCCTTCAAGCAGTCTCAGTGAAAGTGGCTGACAGGTGCATACTCAAGAGCACTCACTGAAACTGGTTGAAATCAATCAAGCCAGTAGATTTTGGGTTCCAGGCACATGACCGCTGACAGAAAGCACTGCAATATTGTCGCTACAAAGCATGGAGGTTGGTGAAAAAACCAAAGCTACTCAAGAGACACCACAAAGCCCATCACAAATTTGCCAATGAGCACAAGGATATGACTGTTGAGGATTGGAAGAAGGTGGTATGGTTGGATGAGACAAAGATCAACTTCTTTGGACCAGATGGTATGCAGTTCTGTTGGATTAAGAATGCTGGCTTCAACAGCAAGCTTGTCAGGCTGACAGTCAAGTTTGGCAGCTGCACCATCATGATCTGGGGCTGTATGACATGGGAAGGGGTGGGAGGTATGTGCTTGGTGCTGGGTACAATGAATTCAGACCAGTACATTGATATCTTGAATGACAAGCTTGTGAAAACAATCTCAGATTTGCAGCTTTAGCATGGATATACTGGCATCACTTTTCAGCAAGACAATGAATCAAAACACATGTCCAAGAAGACAACAACATGGTTGAAAAGCAATAGCATTAAGGTTATGGAATGGTTGGCACAGTTGCCTGACTTAAACCCAATTGAACATCTCTGGCACCATCTCAAAATGTGACTTTCACCATATAGTACAATTGCAAAGTCCAGGGATGAACTGCTCAAGAGATGTGAAGCTGAATGGACAGCAATCACTCCAGAGACATGTAGGAACCTAATAGAGAGTATGCCACACCACATTGAGGTGGTTCTGAAGGCAAAAAAGGAGGGAATACAAAGTACTAAGGTGTTGTAGAGGAGTGCTCCATAAACTGTCCCACAATAAAAAAAATTCTCAGCTCTTTTTGATGCACAATTTTTGCATGTAATGTCAATATCAATTACACAGTCTTGGAGAGAAGAAGCAGAGCTTTCAGATGATATCAGACAGTGTGGCAATCAGACATATGGCTATTGAGCATTGGAGTGATGTGTGGTGACATCTAAAATCATGGGACAGTTTATGTGCGAGCTGTATATACCTTGGCATCATCTCTAGGAATGTTAGATTGCCCCATACCAATTGTGTGTCTTCTGTCAAGCCCTTCGGTTGTCTTCTTATGTATAGCTCCTGAGTCGTTGCCATGTCAACCAACATGCATTTCACATGCATGTTGCTTATTCACGATCCTCGCACTGTCTACATCTCGGGTTAACCTTTGGAATTCCGACGTATCTTCAACTAAATCTCTACTCTAAACCTAAACTCTTCCTCGCCTCATCCAATCTCGGTCTAACCCAAACCGAACCACTCATCTCGATCGCAGCATCTACCGCCTTCCTACCCAAATCCAATACTTCTCCTTTTTCCTTCTCTACCCAGTCCGCAAGCTGCAACCCTTCTTGTTCGGCTTCTGCAATGTTCCTCTGCTGAACCGCTTCGACTATGCAGCGGGTTAGCACCCAAACTAGAAGTTCCGGTGCGGAATGTGCGAAGCGGTACAACAGTCTTGCTGGGGTTGGGAGTGGAGTGTCCATTCCGTTCACTGTAGCAGTGAGGGGTGAGGGGTTTGTGGGGGGATGAGTAGCTTTCGGCGAAACTTGACCAGATGAAGGACCAACAGAACTTTCCGGAGTCGCAGTTGTAGCATTGCCCGAACTGAAGGTGCTACCTGCGTAAGAACCCGAGCAGGAGGAAGACCCGTCGCGGTGGTGGGGAGACGCAGATCCGGGCATTGACCATTGTTGAGATTGTGACAAGCCGCAATCTTCTTCCGCTGCAGTATCGTTGAGAATAAGTTCTAGGTCGACGTGGTGTGCGAAGATATCCCATGGCATACCTGCCACTCCCCCTCCCTTTTCTCCAACAGCAGCACTGACACTCTTCGGTGCAAAGTAATCGTCTCCAGGCTTATCCGCCCCTTCTCTCTCCTTTTTGGTGATCGACTTGGCCATCCTCTCCAAAAACTTTTTCTGACCTTTACCCAATAGTACCTCCCTCACCAACACGTCTTCGATTCCATCCCTCAATGCATACGCCCTAATCAAATTACACCCCAACGCCCAAAAATCACCACTCGGACCCATCCTCCTTCCCTTCGGTCCCGGCGATGCTTCAGGTGGAATCCAATCATAACTCACCAACTGCACCTGTCCATCCCCCCCGGGAATCCCTCGATACGGATTCGCATTTTCATAATCAATCACCACTAGTGCCCCGTTCTCATCAAACATCAAATTTTCCAACTTGACATCTCCGTGCATCCATCCGCTCTTGTGGAACCTAGCCAGAGACCTTATCGCTTGGGTGAAGATGTTAAGAATCACTCCGTTCAACTCGGACTCTTCGCAACCAGCGATAACAAAAAACGCTTCCTCCGGATAATCCTCCTCGAGCCGAATATACCGATCGTCTTCGGTTTTCAAGATCTTCGCCACGGCCTCAGACCGGGTTGGATTGAGCGTTTGCGCCTTCTGAGCTTCATCCAGGATATCATCGAGATAGGTCTCTTCGAGTTCCTTCGCAAGTTCGCGTGTCACCCTACCAGCCGAAGGATCGGCAGCACGAAGCTTGGCTTCAATAGACTTGATCTCCATTGCGGCGTAAAAGTTTCCAGCTGTATCCATTGCCCATCTACGCAACTTGGCTGCCGAGGAAACTCGGTTATCCGGTGTAGTAATCAAATAAACCTGGTTACTATCGTCCACCGCAGACTCGGGCTCGGTTGTGAAAGTAGGATCGTTCTCGCTGAACGAAGAACGCGGGGATGATCGTCGTTCCATTCCGGAGCTATTGGATCTTCGACGTGCGGTAGACATATAAATTGTGTCATCGTCTGGATCACCATGGTCAAAGCTGCTACTTGAACCTCTTCGTCCCCAAGACTTAGTCACTGGATGTTCGCTATTCGACAAATCCGCATCTTCAAAAGAACTCGTACGAGGTTCTTGGATCGCAGAGAAGAGTCGAACGCTCAACCCATCTGTTACTGCTCCTTCGCGGTATGGACCTGTCTTGTCGTAGAGCGTACCTTCGACTGTTTGCGGCTGCTGACGTTTAGCAAGTTTCAACGGAGGCGCATCTTTCGATGCACTCCTAGGAAAGGGTGAGCGGGGAGTTGCAGGTAACAGCGCACGCAAATCTTGAGCGCTTAGCGGACCTTTCCCTTCCAAAGCTGCATCCGAGAGCGAAGCTTGCAAGCCTACGGCGTCTTCAAGCACTTCTTCTGCCTCTCCATCTTCTTCGACTGGTGTTGGTTCGGTTGAGGCTGCGGCAGCAGCAGCTGCTTGTTCGAGATTGGACCTCAATCGGCGGAGGCGTGGCCTAGCAGCATCGTCAAGGTCAAGCATGCCGTGAGGTTTGAAATTGGGTTTTGGTGCCTCTTTCGTGCGTGATCTAGTTGGGTGCGATTTGCTGCTGGGCTTCTTGTCCTTCTTCTTTGAGGTGCGATCTTCGGTTGAATGCTTGACTTTCTTTGGTTGATTCTGTGTTTCTGCTGCTGTAGCTTCACTGCTACCGGCCTTGGAACCAGGCTCAGGCACGTCAACAGCACTAGCTTGTCCACTAGGCGGTCTGATCTGAGCTAGAGGTCTCAAGAAAGGCAGCGTATCGCTCGAAGCAGAAGATCTCCTCCTTGGTGTATGAATCCCAATCACCGTCTCGTGTCTTAAAAACGCCGCCTCAGGCCCGTTCGTCGAAAACCGTCTCGGCCTGGTCGTTGGGTCGGTCGAATCAAACGGCGTCATTGGAGGAGTAATCACCTCCGACGGCCTCCTACTTCTCGATCCACCACTATACCTACTCGACCTATACGAAGTCCCACTATCACTATGTTCATCATCCGATCCAGAGCTATACGAAGAGAAAGCACCTCTACTTCCCCTATGTCCACTCCTACTACTGATGGCACTTGCAATTCTCTCCCATCCGAACAAACCGGAGAATCGTTCTAGATCGTACTGCCTCCATCGTTCGTGGTCTTTACCCAGGAAGAAGGTTGCTGCTCTGGGAGCGTTGAATCCGGGACGACCGGAGGGTCGGATGACGATAGGTGCGCGAGCGGCTAATCCGGAGGGGATGAAGGGCGTGGATTGGCCGGATTGTGGGTCGAGATCGAGTTGTTTGGGTGGATAGTAGTTTTGGAGGACGCGGGTGGAGCTGGTGCCTGCTGGATGGCCTTTTCGACGCGCGTGGGGGACTGGGGCGACAGTGGAGGAGTGTGGGGCGACGTTGTCGAGCGAATCGACGGACGAAGAATTAGGTGCAGTCATTTTGGGATGTGCGGGAGTGTCGGCGGGTGGTATGGCCATGGCTCACTCTGGCGGTTCGAGGTGCGGCGGTGGTGCGAGGGTAGCAATACAGGATGGCCTTGGTTCTGCTATGCGTCTGATGTTGCGATGATGGCTGTATGCGGGGTGTAGCTGCAAGTTTGACATCAGTTTTGTTTCGATACGAAGCGGCTGCAACTCGTACGATGGAGGATGAAGGAGTGGATATGGTGGTCCGAGGACAAGGCAATGTTGCTGGGACGTTGTCGAGCAGAAGAGTTCAAGATTCGTCGGAGTATCTCCAGAGTTTAACCAATTGCCGAGGCTCGTGAAAGCACATGGCGCTTATTCACGAGCTGACTCAGATAATGTGAAACGCACGAAGGATGACATAACAACGGCCCAGAAACTCTGCATAGGAAACGACTAAAGGAGCTTTGCAGGAGAAGACACATGACTCACTCAAGACAGCTCAACGTCTACAGAGATGGTCTCAATGCGTATATATACACTCATGTTTGTAGTCTCAACTCATCGAAGTAATGTAAGCATTTTAGTTAGCATATACCTGCGCGAAGGGAGCTTGATCGTAGCCCCGACAAAGTGGTGTTCTCTTCAACTAGAAGACTTTGAGAATAATGACGGAAGTGCGGCGCCACAATAAGATCTCTCTGACACCTTCTGTGCCCAAAATAATTCAGACTCGGTTGATGCAAGGCGCGAGATAAAGGGTGGTGTGGAGACTCGGCAATGCTTTTGATGTCGCTTCGGTACTCTTGTCGATGCGCTGTGAGATTGTTTGACCAGGGCAGGGGGTGTTGCTGTGATGGAATCAAGATGATGGAGATGAAAGAGGAAGAGGATGGTGTTTTAGTGAATGTGAAAGAGGGGTTGCCGGGAGAATGCGGTCCGGAAAGCGTTGCACCGGATTCTGGCTGTCGCGTTCTAACTTGTTGCTCAGAGACCAAGGCAGAAAATGAAGTTGAAGAGCGTCATCGAGATCAATTGGAAGTGCGTCGAAGTCAATGATCACAAGTGTCGATTGCGATAATGAATCATTCCTAAGTACATGATGAATCAAGTGTTTATATATGCCTCAATCCTCTTCATGTGCATGTGTGATACTAAAGGCCAATAGGGCAGGGACACAAGGGAGTGAATGAGAGGTTGAGGAAGAAAACACCAGCTGCCTGGTGACTGGCATCTTGGGGTTTGGCAATTGGCCCAGGCAATGCACTGAGTCCGAGTGAGTGAAGTTGTTGATTGGATGTGTGGGCTTGGCGAAGGTTGCATTTGCTTGCATCAATCACCGAGGTATCACATACTTCAACTAATGATAAAACGTGAAGAAGATGGGTCCCGATGATCAATGATTGGTGATAGTCGGTGTCATGGGCCTGAATGCTCAAGAAGCAGGAGGGTCACTGGTTCATATGGAAGGAGCACAGGTATCAGAGATCTAGTCAATACCAGTAGAGAGCATGGTCATAGTGCAGTCTCCATGGAGACCATGGACTCACATGCAAAGGAGGACTGGGCCCATATGCGAGGAGGGCCAGGCACAGCCACAAAGAGGACCAAGTTCAAGGAGCATGCAGACAGTTACCACTCAGGGGCTCGAGAGACAAGAGTCAAAGGAACTGTCACCAGTCAAAGGAGAAGGAGCAGTGTATAAGGAACCAGCAAGCAGGTCCTGAGGAGGAGGAGCAGTGTCGAAGGAGTTGACACAACTCAAGAGGCACAAGGGTGCCAAGCAAGCAGGATAGCTCAAGGAGGACAGGAGTGGTGCTAGAGGGGCCCCCTGTACAGTACTTGATGAAGAAGGTACTCTCTGGAGAGAGAGAGCAGGAGCAGCATCACTGGCAATGCTGTGAAGAGGTATATAACCATACTTTCTCATCATCAAAGGTCAAGTGGATCCTCATCCACTCTACACACATCATAACTAGTTATCACTTCAGCATAAGTATATATTAGTTCCAGTCAGCATAGTAGCAATCTATCAAGGTTGCTCCTCATTGTAGTGCATGTGTTGTATCACCACTACCTGACATCTGAAGGTGGCCCATAGCAGGTCAGCAGTCCGGATATAGATAGAACCGAAGGCAGTAGTCCACTGCAGTCTGGGGATCACCTCAAGCATCAGTCAATGCACTTGACACTCATGTTGACACCACCAACCTTATCACCAGCACCATCAACCTCATTATCATCAACACTCACCAACCTTATCACCAACACCATCAACCTCATCATCATCAACACTCACACCAGACCTTGGTGTCATCATAACCTACATATTGATATTGATCATGCCGAGCTACCCCTGAATGGAGTGTCCACAGAGGTCAGCTGAAACCTATGATAGTATATACAACAAACACCACCTGCTGTCATTGTGCAACTTGATAGTCGCCAAGCGACTAACTCGTTGAGACCAATACTGAGACAATAGCTGTTGCACAGTTTGATAGTCACTGAGTATCTTGACAGACTGACCTGGGTTTCAGGCGCGAGACCCCTGACATTAGAGTGGATTGTTCAAGCAGCTCCTCATGATCACTATGACAGACCCAGACCTCAACAATAAGCTTGATAGACTACTCACTCTATTGGAAGCCCAGTTAGAGCTTACCAGGCAGGGTCAACAGGAGGAATGACTACAACGAGCTCATCTGAGCAGGGAGGAGACGATTGACCTCTCTCACTCAGAGGACCAAGCAGGAGGAGGAGATGAGTCTATGATAGGAGACCCACATACTCCTACTGCAGCTCCACGACCAAGATGATCAGTCTCATTCAACCTGGATGAGCAAGATGATGTCAACTACGAGAAGTATGCTTCACCCACTGGGCCAAGATATGTCAAGTCCAGGGTGGATCCATACAACAAGAGCAGGATAGAACCCTATGCTCTTGATCAAGAGGAGGACTCTAGCATCATGGCAGAGCTTAACTGGTCAAAGCCCATCACCACCCCCTTTCCAAAGTTCAATCCCTGAGATGTGGAGATCTTCATTCTAGAAGCCAAAGCATGGTTTAAGTTCAACCAGGTGTATGAGCAGTCTAGGATGATCAATCACATGGGTGCTCAACTGGAAGGGACAACAAGAGAGTGGTGGACCTCCAAGCTCCATATTGATAGAGCTAGAGAAGGAAGGTTGTTCAATGATTGGCACTACTTCACAGAGTGACTGTCAGAGCAGTTCAACCCATGCAATGCTAGGATGGAGGCATACAACAAGCTGTTGGCTCTCAGACTCACAAGTGATGCTCCTGGTGCCACCACACATCATGTAGAGCAGTTCAGAGACTTGGAGGGACAGGTCAACCTAGATGACAATGAGCTAGTGATTGATCTCTTCAGAGGAAGTCTCACTCACAGCATACAGGAGACGTTCAAGAGGAACCCACCTGGGAAGAGATGGGAGTGGTATTGAGAGGTTGAGGAGATTGATCGACAGAGGATGCTACTACAGCAGTCCTCGGCTAGACACTCACTCCCAAATGCCACATCACCTCCACTAAGAACTGGGTCTCAGCCAAATCAAAGTTCAATCCCCATACATCAACCCACTCAACCTTATCCAGCTCGATCACCAGCACAAGCAACTACACAAGCAACTACACAAGCAACTATGCTAAATCGACCAACTAATCGACCCCTTCCTCATCAACCCACCCAAACCTCGAAGCAAGGAAGCCCTGCTCCATCAGGTACCAACACCTGTCATGTATGCAAGGGTATCAGCCACTGGGCCAGAGACTGCCCTAGCAGGAGGGTAGACCCTCTTAGCTCTTGACCCATGGGACCAAAGGTCATGGTCACCACAGCAGACCCCTTTGAGGAGGCCACCAATTCAGGAGATGGCAACACAGGCAGCACTGAGATGGGTGACCCTGAGGCCATGGACCTCAGCTCATACCAGCAATCCATGGACCCCAATCATGAAGAGGAGGAGCATGATGATGGTGACGATGAGGGAAATGTCAGTGGGGTGATGCACTGATGGCATGCATTGCTCTACAAACCTCCTCGCCATCACTCTGTATATATCAAGATTGCCAAGTATGTTTCTCTACCAGTGGAGGCAAAGCAGTACTGGAGCTCTCTGGAATGGTTCAAGACCATCCTGCTCAGATACTAGCTGATACCAGTGCTGGTTTGTCCATAGTCTCAGATTCTTTCATTAGTAAGTACCAAATACCCACAAAACCCATAAAAACAAGATTGATCCATGGTGTCACTGGACACCAACTCTCCATCAATAGTTCTGTGAGCATGCAGGTATCTATTGGTACACACAATCTGGGTGTGGTCGAAGCTTCAGTGGCCAACACTGCTGACTATGACCTCATCCTGGGGTTCACTGAGCTACAGAGGCTCAAACCCACCATACAATGGGATATGGGCCAGCTGGAGTTCAAGACTCAGGAGCAGGACCGACCCCCGAGGAGACCCCCTGAAGCAGCAAGAGCAGAGGACCTAACCATGAGGAGACCAACCCTTCATGGAAATGAGTTTGTCTCAGCAGAGCACATACTACAAGCAGCTCTGGAAGATGGACCCATAGGGTTCATGCTGTTGGAGGAGCCACCATCATCACTCCCAGCCTTTGGTTTTGTACCTACAGGCGCAGACAAAGGAGTAGAGATGGAGGTAGAGGTGGACAAGGTGGTGATGGCCGCAGACAAAGGAGTAGAGATGGAGGTAGAGGTGGACAAGGTGGTGATGGCCACAGACATACCAAAGCCATACCAACACCTGCGAGATGTGTTCGATGAAGTGGAAGCAGACAAGCTGCCCCATCATACCAAGCATGATCTCCACCTCAAGTTGATAGAAGGAGGAAAACCACCTCAAGGGCCCCTGTACCTTAAGGGACCCAAGGAGATGTCCGAGTTGAGGAGGTACTTGGATGAGAACCTCGAGAAGGGGTTCATAAGACCATTGAAGAACCCAGTGTCAGGGGTCTCGCGCCTGAAACCCAGGTCGGTCCGTCGAGATACTTGGTGACTATCAAACTGTGCAACAGCTATTGTCTCGGTATCTGTCTCAATGAGCTAGTCATTCAGTGACTATCAAGTTGCGCAGTGACAGTGGGTGGCATTCTTTGTATATACTATCATAGGTTTTGGCTGACCTCTGTGAACACTCCGTTCAGGGGTAGCTCGGCACGATCAATATCAATGCGTAGGTTATGATGACACCAAGGTCTGGTGTGAGTGTTGATGATGATGAGGTTGATGGTGTGGTGATATGGTTGGTGGCATCAACATGAGTATCCAGTGTGTTGACTGATGCTTGAGGTGATCCCCAGACCACAGTGGACTACTGCCTTTGGTTCTATCTATATCTGGACCACTAACCTGCTATGGGGCGCCTTCGGACATCAGGTAGTGGTGATACAACACACACACTACAATGAGGAGCAACCTTGATAGATTGCTGCTATGCTGACTGAAACTAATATATACTTATGCTGAAGTGATAACTAGTTATATGGTGAGTGTAGAGTGGATGAGGATCCACTTGTCCTTTGATGATGAGAAAGCATGGTTATATACCTCTTCTCAGCATCGCCAGTGATGCTGCTCCTGCTCTCTCTCTCCAGAGAGTACCTTCTTCATCGAGTACTGTTCAGGAGGCCTCTCCTCTTGCTTGGCACCCCTGTGTCTCTTGAGCTGTGTCGACTCCTTTGACACTGCTCCTCCTCCTTGCTATCCTGCTGCTTGTTTGGCACCCCTGTGCCTCCTGAGTGGTGTCGATTCCTTCGACACTGCTCCTCCTCCTCAGGACCTGCTTGCCGGTGTCCTATACACTGCTCCTTCTCCTTTGACTGGTGACAGTTCCTTTGACTCTTGTCTCTCGAGCCCCTGAGTGGTAACCATCTGAGCTTGGTCCTCTTCATGGCTGTGCCTGCTCCTTGAGCTTGGTCCTCCTCGTGGCTGTGCCTGACCCTCCTCGCATATGGCTCGGTCCTCCTTTGCATGTGAGTCCATAGGAGTCCATGGTCTCCATGGAGACTGCACTATGACAATGCTCTCTACTGGTATCGACTAGATCTTCGATACCTGTGCTCCTTCCATATGAACCAGTGACCCTCCTGCTTCCTGAGCATTTAGGCCCATGACAACTGCCAAGCAATGCTGACAGCTCTTGCCATGAAAGAAACAGGTTTTTGAGTACCTCACACTGAAGATAGTGGTCCCAGGTAGCTGTCCAGGAGTGTGGATGGCCAGATAGTGCTTTTGTTTTGAAGGAACCACACTCCTTAAAGTTATGGATGGTCTTGTGAACTGCTGTCTTGGATACACTGCTTAGCTTTGCAATTTGTTGAATTGGCAGCCCAGTATCATGCATTGCAACAATTGAAGCATGCTGCATTGGAGAGAGCTCATTGTCATGGACTATGTCAGTGTTTGAAGTGTTCTTGCTTAGTATGATGGTAGTGCTATTGCTCAATGACAATGACAACCCAAATGAGGGGTATCCAGCTAAATTGGGAAATTACCCGATTGTCCTCAAACTTACGCACAGGGACTGTACATAAACTATGTTATCGAGAGTGTGCAAGGGTCAAGAGGGGCCATGCAGTCCGTTGAGATGGGAGCCGGTGAGCGAACTGGCAGCGATGCCATCAAGATGTTGAAGTCGTTTGTCAGTAGTTGGTGATCACTTGTGTCTATTGCAATGATGAATCACTCCTAAGTACATGAGGAGATGAGTGCTTATATATGTGTTGATGTTCTCTAGATGCTTGTGTGATTCTAGGAGCTGATTGGGCAGGAGCATGGATGAACAACCAAGGGGTAGAGGAACACACTGGCTGCCTGATGACTGGTGTCTTGAGGTTTGGCAGTTGGCCCAGGCAATGCATTAAGTCTGAGTCAAGCGAGGTTGGTGATTGGATGTGGTCTTGGCAAAGGCTGCATTTGCATGCTTTGATTGCCAAGACATCACATGCTTTAACTCCCCCCCTTGCCAACTGAGTGACTAATCCACCCAACATTAATCATTCCAAGTCATTTTTGCATTTGGGCCAGGAGTTTTTGAGGAACAGGTTTAGTCAGGAAATTGGCAATGTTTTCACCTGTGTTAACATGTTTGATATTGATATCACCTTTTTGCATGTGGTCACAGATGAGATGGTACTTTGTATCAACATGTTTCAGTTTTGAGTGCATGGCTGGATCCTTCGCCACCTGAATACAACCAGTGTTATCTGTTAGCACAATCAGGGTATGCTTGCCAAAACTGAGACTTCGAAGAAGCTGCTTGTGGAACAGCGCCTCCCTGGCAGCAGCTGAAGCCACAATATACTCTGCCTCCACCATGGAGCTGGTGACACATTTCTGGACATGGGAATTCCAGGTGACAATGCTACTGAATAGTTTGATGATTGATCCTGAAGTACTCTTCCAATCTGAGTTTGGATCAGATGCCCAGTTGGCATCAATGTATGTCTCAATAGCATTTTCTCCTACTTGTTGGTTGCTGATTCGTAACACTTTGTTGCACATTTGATTCAGGTACTTGATGATGTGTAGTGCTGCTTGCATTGCCTCTTCCATTGGTCTGGACATATGCCATGCAAGGGTGTTGACAGAATAGCAGATGTCAGGTTGGACCATGTTCAATACCCAAAGTAGTTTACCCACCAGTATGGGATATTTACATGTGATATCTTTGGGGGCAATTGTATCAGTAGATGCTTTAGTGGGCATCATAGTCATTGGGGTCCATGTCTTCTCATTTGGTCAAATCCACTCATCAATGATTTCCTTGATATAAGCTCATTGATCCAGATCGATTGTTCTGTCCTTTTGATTGTGCATGATCTTGATCTTTAAGAATTCCATTACAGGGCCATTGTCTTCGATTTGCCATTTCTTGATGATCACTTGTTTCACTGCATTGATTTGATGTTGCCTTGGTGCTGCAATGAGCATGTCATCAACATATACAGTGATTATCACTTGATCATCACCTGTCCCCTTGAGGTAAACACAAGGTACTGCTTGAGAAGGGAAGAACCCTAAGTACCAGAGGTGCGAATCCAGCTCCTTGTGCCATTTGCATTTGGACTGCTTCAGTCCATATAGGCTCTTGAGTAGCTTGTATACCTTGCCTGGTGCAATGTTCACACCCTCTGGGGCCTTGAGGTAAATGTCATGGCTGAGGCTTGCATTTAAGTAAGCCTGTTTGATGTCAATGGTATCAATCTCCCAATTGAACTTGGCAGCAATCACAAGTACTGTATGGATGGTGTCATGAGGGACTATGGGTGCAAATATCTCCATGTAGTCCACCCCCTCCCTCTGTGAGAAGCCTTGTGCACAGGATTGGGCCTTGAACTTGTAGGGAACTCCATTGGCATCCATCTTGACATTGAGAACCAGTTTCAAATCCACCAAGTGTGCATTTGTTGGCATGTCAACTACTTTCCATATGTTCATGCTTTCTAATCCTTCCATCTCAGTGCAGATAGCCTTGTGCCAGTGAGTTTGATCTGGTCCATTTAAGGCTTCTCTTACTGTTGGTTTGAGATTGCCAATGGTGATCATGTTCGCACTCGCATTCTTTTGAGGTGGTGGGGGGGGGGGGGGGGTTGTGTGAGCCTTCCTTGGCAGAGGAGTTTCTCTTGAAACCTGTATAGCACCCTGGACTGGGGTAGTTGATTGTTATAGATCTGTAATGACTTGGTGATCATCATTGGGTGCAGTCCTGGTTTCAATTTCTAGATCCTTGTGATCTCGATATCATCTTCATTAATCTCATCCATTGTAAAGGTGGTTCATGATTTGTCATAGTCTGGGCTATGAGTGATGTCATTTCGCTCAGACCCCATATTCTGCTCCTTGCATGGTTGATATGCATCATCAATTACTTCTTGAAGGTCTTCATCATGAATGTCCTCATCTGTGTAACCCAGGTATTCGATGTTGGATGGGTCTTCATATTGTATCTTGTCCATGTTTCAGGTTGGGGTTGTGTCCATTCAATCGCTCCAGGACTGGTGTGTCATGGGCCCGGAGGCGCAGAGTGAAGGAAGACCGGAGTTCATATGAAGGTAGCGCAAGAATCGTGGGATCGGGTAGATCGTAGGAGGTGCGACAGAGTTCACCAAGATCGGTAGTAGAATCAGCTCTATGGCAGATCTCAACAAAATCAGCACGAGCATCGTCGATACCACGAATCCCGCCAGAACCTGTAGCAAGCGAGATCGTATGACAGATCCCACAGAGACCAGTGGCAAGGATGATGGTGTGGCGAAGCTTCACATGCAGGTAGTGGGACCAAGCGCCGCCAAGAGGGGACTGAGCTCAGGAGCATGCAGCTAGTTACCACTCAGGGGCACACAAGATAGGAATGAAGGGGGACTGTCACCAGTCAAAGGGAGGAGAGCAGTGTAAGAGAAACTGGCGAGGAAGACATAAAGAGGAGGGGCAGTGTTGATGGAGTCGGCACAGCTCAGGAAAGACAGATGAACAGTGCAATGAGGAGGAGGAGCCTCATTGGAGACTCCTGTGAGGTGCCCAACACAGAAGGTACTCTCTGGAGAGAGAGCAGGAGCAGTGGCGCTGGCGACACTGCGAAGGGGTATAAAGCCATACCTTCTTGTCACTAGTGGTCGAGTGGATCCTCATCCACTCTACACTCACCATAAACTAGTTATCACTTTCAAAGCAAGTATACATTAGTTTCAGTCAGCAAGCAGTAATCAATAGATTGCTCCTCTTCGAAGTGCATGTGTTGTATCACCATTTCCTGATGTCCGAAGGCAGTTCTTAGCAAACCAGCAGTCTGGATATTGATAGAACCGAAGGCAGTCGTCCACTGCAGTCCAGGGATCACCTCAAGCATTAGTCAACACAACTGGACACTTGTGTCGATGCCACCAAACCATATTCACCAGACCTTTGGTGTCATCTGCAAGCTCACCTAGTTATTGATCGTGCTGAGCTACCTCTGGACAGAGTGTCCAACAGTGGTCAGTCGAAATCTGCAATAGCATTAACACAACTACAGATTCGAGCGAGAAAAGTAATAGAGATGGCTCTACTGCATATCTCGTGAAGAATCGCAATACCACAAGTGCTGTTGCATAACTCAACAGAATCGGTAATAGTATTGATACAACTACCGATCTCAGGTTTCAGGTGTGCGACCTCTGACATGGTGTTCTAGGAATCTTGCTGTGTTCAACCAAAAGATCAGTGGTTTGTGGTTTGGGGAGGCGAATTTCCATCCCTTGTGCTCCTTGTCATACCCAACAAAGATTGTGGGGATGGTGGTGTTGTCCAGCTTCCTCCTCTTTGCCTTGGGTATGTGTACCCAAGTGAGACATCTGAAGGTTCAGAGTAGATCAAATGGCTTCTGTGGGTCTTGTCCATAGAACACATTGTAAGGGATTTGTTTGTCAACATTTGGCAGGATGTTTTTGGTGAATGCTGCTGCTTCAGCAGCAAGTGGCCAGAAGGTTTGTGGTAGGTTATTGTCATGGGCCTGGATGCTCAAGAAGCAGGAGGGTCACGGGTTCATATGGAAGGAGCACAGGTATCGAAGATCTAGTCAAGATCAGTAGAGAGCATGGTCGTAGTGCAGTCTCCATGGAGACCATGGACTCCTATGGACTCACATGCAGAGGAGGGCCAAGCACAGCCACGAGGAGGACCAAGCTCAAGGAGCAGGCACAGCCATGAAGAGGACCAAGCTCAAGGAGCATGCAGATGGTTACCACTCAGGGGCTCGAGAGACAAGAGCCAAAGGAACTGTCACTGATCAAAGGAGAAGGAGCAGTGTCGAAGGAGTCGACACCAGGTCATGAGGAGGAGGAGCAGTGTCGAAGGAGTCGACACAGCTCAAGAGGCACAGGGGTGCCAAGCAGGAGAGGCCCCTGAGCAGTACTCGATGAAGAAGGTACTCTCTGGAGAGAGAGCAGGAGCAGCATCGCTGGCGATGCTGAGAAGAGGTATATAACCATGCTTTCTCATCATCATAGGTCAAGTGGATCCTCATCCACTCTACTCACCATACAACTAGTCAATACTTTAGAAACATAAGTACTCATTAGTTACAGTCAGCATAGCAGCAATCTATCAAGGTTGCTCCTCATTGTAGTGTGTGTGTTGTATCACCACTACCTGACATCCGAAGGTGCCCATAGCAGGTTAGCAGTCCAGATCAAGATAGAACCAAAGGCAGTAGTCCACTGCAGTCTGGGGGTCACTTCAAGCATCAAGTCAACACACTGGACACTTTTGTTGACGCCACCAACCTTATCATCAACACTCACCAACCTTATCACCAGCACCATCAACCTCCTTATCATCAACACTCACCAACCTTATCACCAACGACATCAACCTCACCATCATCAACACTCACACCAGACCTTGGTGTCATCATAACCGAAGCATTGATATTGATCGTGCCGAGCTACCCCTGAATGGAGTGTCCACAGAGGTCAGCTGAAACCTATGATAGTGTATACAACGAATGCCACCTGCTGTCACTGTGCAACTTGATAGTCACCGATACCGAGACAATAGCTGTCGCACAGTTTGATAGTCACCGAGTATCTCGACAGACCGACCTGGGTTTCAGGCGCGAGACCCCTGACAGTTATGCATTCACAACATTGTCATGATCATGTTCTTGATGGTCCTAATGGTTCATTTGGCCTTTCCATTCTGCTCACTATTATATGCTGATGTTTTCTGCCACCAGAATCTGGCATCATTTTGCCATGCAGTTGCTGCGGTGGAGGTCCATTCCCTGCCATTATCCAACTGGAGAGTTTTCAGTTTATGGCTGGTCTGAGTCTTGGCATAGTTCACCCACTCCTGTAGTATTTGTAAGGCATCCAATTTCATTTGCATTGGTTTGACATATGTGAAACTTGATGCATCATCCACTACTACCAACAAACATGAGAATTTTGCCTTTGTCGAGAAGTGGGTGGCTAAGTTGATGTGCACTAGTTTGAGGGGTGATTTGGCATGTTCCCTACTACCTCATTTCATTATTGCTTTTGTCAACTTGGTTACAATACAATCTTGACATTTGCAAGGTTTGATCTGGATCCTGTAGATCTTCTTGATGGTTTGGGTCTTGTCTCACCCAGGATGGCCACATCATTCATGAATGAAGTTGTTGCTGAACTTGCATGGCTTTGGCTCCATTTTGGGGTCGAATTGATCTGGTAGGTGTCAGGGGTCTCGCGCCTGAAACCCAGGTCGGACTGTCGAGGTACTCGGTGACTATCAAACTGTGCAACAGCTATTGTCTCGGTATCTGTCTTGATGAGCTAGTTGTTTGGCAACTATCAAGTTGCGCAGTGACAGCAGGTGGCGTTCATTGTATATACTATCGTAGGTTCCGGCTGACCTCTGTGGACACTCTGTTCAGGGGTAGCTCGGCACGATCAATATCAATGCATAGATTATGATGACACCAAGGTCTGGTGTGAGTGTTGATGATGATGAGGTTGATGGTGTTGGTGATAAGGTTGGTGAATGTCGATGATAATGAGGTTGATGGTGTTGGTGATGAGGTTGATGGTGTCAACATGAGTGTCCAGTGTGTTGACTTGATGCTTGAAGTGATCCCCGGACTGCAGTGGACTACTGCCTTCGGTTCTATCTTGATCTGGACTGCTAACCTGCTGTGGGCGCCTTCGGACGTCAGGTAGTGGTGATACAACACACACACTATGATGAGGAGCAACCTTGATAGATTGCTGCTATGCTGACTGAAACTAATATATACTTATGCTGAAGTGATAACTAGTTATGATGATGTGTAGAGTGGATGAGGATCCACTCAACCTTTGATGATGAGAAAGCATGGTTATATACCTCTTCACAGCATCGCCAGCGATGCTGCTCCTGCTCTCTCTCCAGAGAGTACCTTCTTCATCGAGTACTGTTCAGGAGGCCTCTCCTGCTTGTTTGGCACCCTTGTGCCTCCTGAGTGGTGTCGACTCCTTCGACACTGCTCCTCCTCCTCATGACCTGGTGTCGACTCCTTCGACCCTTGTCTCTCGAGCCCCTGAGTGGTAACCATCTGAGCTTGGTCCTCTTCGTGGCTGTGCCTGCTCCTTGAGCTTGGTCCTCCTCATGGCTGTGCCTGGCCCTCCTCGCATATGGCTCGATCCTCCTTTGCATGTGAGTCCATAGGAGTCCATGGTCTCCATGGAGACTGCACTACGACCATGCTCTCTACTGGTATCAACTAGATCTTCGATACCTGTGCTCCTTCCATATGAACCAGTGACCCTCCTGCTTCTTGAGCATCCAGGCCCATGACAGTAGGCTGGCAATTTCATCATCAAACATTGTCGTGAGAGCCACTGACTTGTCTGGGATGACTTCCCAATGCCTAGTATGGGGGGTTGGCATACCCAGATATGTGGCCATTGGGCCATTCAATACATGCTTTGTCAGATTTGAAAGTCACACATGTGCCATCATTTGCTAAGGCCCATACTGACATCAGGTTTATATTGGCATCTGGAATGTAGAGTACATTTGACAAATGCACCTCACATCTGTCAACATTAATATTAACTTGACCTCTTGCTGCAATACAAATCATCATCCCACCAGCAGTCTTCACAAAACCAATGCACAGGATGGGGGAAATGAGAATCACATTATCATTTGTTATGTGGTCAGTTGCACCTGAGTCTATGATCCACATGTTGGATCATTCATCTAGTGATGGGCAATAAGCAGAGGCAATGGCACACCAGACATCCTAGGTGGATGTTGGGTTACTGTTGGTGGTGATAGTGGAGTTGGCATTATTGGGTGGCAAGGGCTCACTATTAAGGTTCTTGGGACAAAAGTGGCTGATATGGTTTTCCCCCTGGCAGTAATAGCATCTTCTGTGTCCATTGGGGCCAGGCTTCCCAATGCTATAGGCATCTTGATTCATGAATTGGCCACTAATGGCAAATGCTTGAGGTGCTTTATTGCCATCCACTCTGTGGCTGGGTTTCATGATCATGTCATCTTGGCACTTGAAGAGGGCCACACAGATTGCTTTGTAGTCTGTGGCTCAGCTGTTGTCCTGGAGGTTTGTGATGCAATTTTGGTACATTCTGATGAATTTTGTTTGGTCAATGAGTGTTTTGATCTTGAGGACCCAGGTTAGGTTATACTCCATTGATTTGGCTTTGGCCCAATGTTCATTGATATTGGCAATGAGTTTGCAGACGTCTGCATTGAACATCCAAATCCTACCAGCTTTGTTGAGGAGGGTCAACTTGGCAATATGCTCCATCTTGGTAAGGTCTTTCTTGAGGCAAGTGTATAGTTTGTGTAGTTTCCATGGTTTGGCCTTTGTGGGTTGGATGAAGAGGTAGTTGATGTTGTCAGTCCCTGTGAGTTTGGCATGACTTTGGAGGATCATGCAGAGGTTTCTGTCTAGTTTTTGATCAAACTTTTTGTCTCCTGGCTTGGTGATACCATTGAGGTGCTTTAGAGCAGGTGGCCAGTTGGATAGGATGTTTTGGAGGCAAGGGTTCCAAGCATACCAGTTCTTCATAGTTAGCTTGGGTGTTTCCTTCATGGTGTCATTGATTCGGGAAAGCTCATGATGGAAAGTGGGGTGGCAAGAGGGCTTCTTGTAGGATGCAGATGTTTCAGCTCATTTATGGAGAGTGAGTTCTATAAGTTTGTTTTGAAGGGTGGTAATGTTTAGCTTATTGATGTCATTGAGGTCAAGTAGGGGTTTGCTTGGTTCATTTTCATCACTATCTGATTCATTGGAGGAGATAGTGTCATGCTCAGTTATTGTCTGGTGTCCATGTAATGCAGGGATTGTTTTGCCCTGGTTGTCAGATGACTCTTCAGGCAATGGGTCATTTGGGTGTGAAGGCATGGTGTCATATTCAAAATGGTGATGGCATTGGTCCTGTGGCAAGAGCATTCAGACTCTTAATCTGTTGAAGTCATTTGTCAGTAGTTGGTGATCACTTGTGTCTATTGCAATGATGAATCACTCCTAAGTACATGATGAGATGAGTGCTTATATATGTGTTGATGTTCTCTAGATGCTTGTGTGATTCTAGGAGCTGATTGGGCAGGAGCATGGATGAACAACCAAGGGGTAAAGGAATGCACTGGCTGCCTGATGACTGGTGTCTTGAGGTTTGGCAGTCAGCCCAGGCAATGCATTAAGTCTGAGTCGAGCGAGGTTGGTGATTGGATGTGGTCTCGGCGAAGGCTGCATTTGCATGCTTCGATCACCGAGACATCACATGCTTTAACTCAAGAAAGTCATCTGCACTCCGATGATCTTGTTAGGCCGGTTGCCATGGTATCCTACATTTGGCAAGGTTGGGGAAAGTAGAAAGCATGCTCTTTTGCGATGTGCGAGGTGCGATGAACGAGAGGCTGACTGAGCCGACTTTCTCATCTCTTCAAGCCACACATCCCAGGAAAAAGCGAGCCAAATCGTTCATCAGCAACAGCTTGCCTTTTTTTTTTTTTTTTTTTTTTTTTTTTTTTTTTTTTTTTTTTTTTTTTTTTTTTTTTTTTTTTTTTTAGTCGTCGATCGGGGCGATTTACGATCTCTCCTTGCTCGACCCTGCTTGATTAATTGAAGCGTGCTCCAGGACCAGCACACATTCTCCACGCGCTCCGAGGCATTTCTCTCCAAGCGCCTCTTTCTCATTTTTTAAAATTCATCCAACACCAACGAGAATGCAATTTTGGCTTCCATAGACATTCAAGCAGATGCAGTTTGTATTTTTTCCAAGCGATGGATCGAAAGGGTCTCAATAAAGATGAATACAAAAAAAAAAAAAAAAAAAAAACATAGTATTTACTTCCGTTCGCGAGAGCGAGTGTTGTTGTTTTCGCTCTCTGCTTTGCTATGCCTTAACTCTTCTTGTATACCGAGCCTGTCCTGTGGTTCGAAGCGAGTGCGGAGAAGGAGCCAATCTTGACAACACGCCCACAGCAGCATCAAATTGTCAACTCCCAGCCGGTTAGCCGTCGTTCCCTCTGCTCTGGTTGAAGCTCAGCTCGCCTGTTCGGAGACATGACACTCCTTTCCACCATTCACGATTTAGCTCCACAAATCACATTATCTTGAAGGCATATCTACAAAGGCGGCTCTCATCGACACGGCTTGGTCATCCTTCCGGACTTCACTGATACCTTGAAAGCCACACCATCGATTACAGCATTTCCCATACCGACCTCTCTGCATCATACCCACAATGTCAAGTCTATCCGCCGGCGTAGTTGGCGTCCGTCAACAAGGCTCATCCGCCAACAGTCCAATCTATCAAGTTCCCTTTGGCACGGTTCAGCTCGCCTCCTCCAGCAAAGACAGTGACGGCAACTTCGACCTCGCAGCCGGCTTCTCCGCCCCCGCCGACTTTGAGAACCAAGAAGAGCAAGACGATGAGGAAGGCGACGACGACGACGACGACGACGACGGCGACTCCGAAGATGGCGGCAAGGGTAAAGGCAAGAAGGGCAAACGCTCACACACCGAAGCCAAGGGAGAACGCGATCTCAAGACTGGTCGCCGCAAGATCAAGATCGAATTCATCCAAGGCGATGCCCGCAGGCATATCACTTTCAGCAAGCGTAAAGCTGGTATCATGAAGAAGGCTTACGAACTTGCTACGCTTACAGGAACCCAAGTTTTGCTCTTGGTCGTCTCGCAGACCGGCCTTGTTTACACTTTCACAACGCCCAAGTTGCAAGCGCTTGTGACGCAGGCTGAGGGAAGGAACCTCATTCAGGCCTGTTTGAACGCTCCTGATCCGCCCAACGGTGCTGGGGAGAGCGGTGGTGAACAACTTTCTGGTGAGGAGGCGAGTGATGGTGACGGTGGTCTTTCGCCTTCCGGATCGCAGGCTAGCTCCAACAAGCGCGCTGCTCAGAACCGAAAGCGTCCTCGTACCAACTCCACTGGCAACTCTTCCAAGGCTTCTGCTTCCGCTGTTGTTGCCGAGGACGATGCCACTGCTGCTTCTGGCTCTCAACTCGGTACTGCTAAGCGTGGTCGTGGTAGGCCCAGAAAGAACACTGCCGGTCGTGCAGCTAGCTACGCCGACAACGCTGCCAACACTGCCCCAGCTACTGACGCAACCCTCCCTATGCCCCCACCTCCCATGCATCAAAGCTACAGCGACGATGCAGTCCACCATCACCATCAGCCGCAATACATCCACGTGCCCTCGGCAGAGTTTAACGGCTACAATGCTGGTGGATTCTACGGTGACACGTCCGCAGCTGCTGGCAACCACGACCTTAACTTTGGTCAACAGCAGGCACACACCGCAAACGGACTTACGGTCGACGCAAACCAAGCAGCGTGGAATCAGACCATGTCGCCCTCAACAAACACGCAGAATATGTTCTCCAACGATCCGCACCAGCAACATCATCATCATCAACAGCAACAACAACAACAGCCACCATCCGTCTTCAATTACGGTTCGGCAGCAGCCAATTTCGGCCATTTCAATCCACAGCAGTTGGCGTCGATGCAAGCACGGGAGATTCAGGCTCCGAGACCTGCCTGGTGATTCTTGCCGCCGCCGACCTTTTGATGTTCCGGAACCTCTTATATACCCACTGGATACTGTTTGTTGCAACTTTATACTCGCTTAACTCCTATTCTCCATAGTCCTTATTCCTTCCTTTGCTCAATTCTATCACGCTCTTTTACGGAAACCATCGAAATTTTGGCCGAACAGCGCTGTGAATGATCCTTGATTATCTTGTATGAATGCTCGTGTCCGCATCTATCACAAAGCTTTGTACCCTCAACCGACGAAAGCACCTTCATCCAGCTCCACGCCAAATTCGTCCCTTGCCATCTGCCTCATACTCTGTTCCAGATCATCCTCGAACCCACCTCTCTTTGGATCGCTCTTCCCCATCAACGCTGAAACCGGCGCTCTGAACAAATACCTCAACCAATGAGACAGTCCACTTCCAACAAATGCCAGATCCAGCACAAGTAGAGTCGTACGGAACCTGACAAAGTCCAATCTGTCTTGAATCCATGTTGAGAACCTTCCACCCAGCGTCGAGTTGACTGCTTTGCTGCGAATAGGCTTGAAGACGCGATAGAGGCTCGGGGTTTCCGTGTTTGCGATGAGTGCAGCGGCTGCGTGTTTAGCGAGGATGTTGAGTCGATTGACTGGTGAACCGAGGACTTGGTTATTCGCTTGGATAATGCGCATTGATCGACCCACAAATAGGAGTTCTTTGGGAAGAAGTTCGGTATGGACTAGGAAGCTTTTGAGTTTTTCCTTCATTTCTCGTTGCAGTTCCAAGTTGGTCTTCTTAGCATGTGCACCTTCAGCGCCACCTTGTTTCTTATCTTTGGGTTTGCTCCATGGTCGTAAAAGCGTAGCGGAGGCGAAGAGTTCGGAAGAGCCTTCTCCCATACCCCAACCAACCGTAATCTCGTCCAGAGTCTTGAGATCAAGTGTAAAGATCGCCTTCCATAGTTGAGCGTATTTGCGTCTGAAATCCTCGCTAAGCTCAACATACAACCCATGATCAATGAGCACTACCTGATGTTGTCCCTTCTTCCCATTCGGATGCTTCCTTACGAGAACATTACTCGGGTGTCCATCAGCCTGTACGAAACCATGCTGGAAAATTTGACTGGCAAAGGCTTCACAAACCGACTTGGAAACTTGTTTTGCTGACAACCCCCACTCTTCCAACTTCTCTCTATCTGTCATACGACACGTGTTACCGATCCATTCCATCACCAATACCCTTTGCGTACATAGATCCTTGTGGAATTTGGGCACGTAGCAAGTTTTCCTAACCAGTGCTTCTGGATCCGTCTCGATCGCCTGTTTTGCTCGGAGTGAATTGGCCAATTCTTGCTGGAAGAAAGTTTCTTGTTCGATCTGATCCGAAATGTACTGCCCACTGAACGCCAATGGTAGCTCGAAAATCCTCTCGTACAGCCTCAACAGGATGCGGAAAGACCAGAGGTCCCATTTTGCATACTTCCTGATATTCGGTCTTTGAACTTTCACCGCCACCTCCTGCCCCAATGTTCCCTCAGGACTTCCTTCTACAGGCTTCAACCTCGCCTTATGAACCTGCGCAACACTAGCTGCTGCAACAGGAAGCTCGTTAAATTCCGCAAAAACCTCTTTTGGGTCCGCACCCAATTCCGCCACGAGCACCTTCCTTACTTCCTCATAAGGCAACCTCTCCGCATTATCGAACAGCTTCGTCAACTGATGATAAGGCTTTGGCAGGATTGCAGCCTGGCAACCAATCGCTTGACCCAACTTAATGTAGAGACCTTGGTTCTTCTCGCAAACATACATGAGTTTATCTGCACATCGCTCGTGAAGGGCGTTGATGGATTCGAGCGAGTTTCGGTCGAAATTGAGTTTGTAGTCAAGAGCAATTTGAAGGCCGGCGTAGGCGGTAAGGAGGTTACGTTGGGCTGTGCGGGCGTTGAAGTATTCATCGATGATGTAGGCTGTGGCGAAGGAGGTGATTAGGAGAGTTGTTCGACGCGGCCATTTCGAAGTTTTCTTGGGGTCGTTGGGGGTAGGGGAGGAGTTGGAGGCGGTGATTGTGGAAGAGGAAGAGACGGCTCGTTTGGAGCTGAGTGAAGTGCGGAAGCATGATCGTCGAGCTGGTGGTTCCGAGCGTACGATGCGGGAGAGTGAGTCGGGAAGAGGTGCACGAAGGCCATGTGCTTTAGCTGCGTTGGCGAGGATGTCGGAGATTGCGATTTCGGGTTGTGTTGCTGAGCTGCCAATACGGATTGTTCGGATGGTGCTGACACTCGATGCTGCTTGAGCCAAGCTGCGAATGATTCCAGATCGAACAGCAAAAGGACCTGCCAGCTGCCTCAAAGGCAGAGGCGAAATTTTCGAGGCCATCATCTTCTCACTAACCTAGCGGTGTAGGTACTGCTTCGATCCTTGTACGAGCCGGTGGTCTAGAAAGTTGTATGGATTCCTGAACGGACCCTTGCGTCACGAGAAACTTGTGCAATGCTAGCAAGTTTGATCCATGAGCATTGTTCGAAGTCCTTGACGAAGGGTAGGCATTCCTGATGATCAGCATCGATAAATGATTTGCATCCGCGAAGGATTAGCTGATAACGCAGAGTATCTATCACTGTACCTCCACACTCTGTCACAACGGCCTTCGGTTAGATGACATGTTGACGGCATACTAATTTTGGCTCGTTTGCAGCTGTGTCAGGTCGTGTAAACAGACACATTGAGAAAAAGCAGCTGCGGAAGTCGGACGTGAAACCCGGGTTTTGGTAGTTAAGCTTGCGTTCTTTTGGGTCTTTGGCTCTTTCGTGTTCATGGCAAAGGCGAGGCTTGAACGAGGGCTCCATTCGTACTATCACCAACTGAAACACGACATGAAAGCCAAGCAAGCAGCCATGGCAGAGCAGAGCCAGAACAAAGGACTCGCTCGTCTTCACGGAGAATTTACCCGCCAGACCCATGAGAAAGAGAAAGCGTGGCTTGTGAATCTATGTGTGTGGGTGTGTGGGTGTGGGTGTGTGTGTGACGTGCTGATACAGTAGCTGCTGGGCGTCAAAGCGAAACCCAGAGACGACGCGTCAAATCTGAAATTGGTCCAAGCTCCCCTGGTACAAGGCAAGCGCCTCTCACGACCCAGGATCGATTCGATTGTGCAGATTTTGGCCTCAGTGCGACTCCATCTTTAAGCTCTCACCATCCTTCTCACAAGATCCTCTTTGTTCAATCACCTATACCAACTTCGACAACGAGCATCGTAGCGCGAGACACTGACCTACGTGCTCACCAATACCCGACACGACTTCTTGGCCCGACAACTACGATCTCTCTTTATCTTCTTCGACTAGTTGACTAAACCCGCAACTCGACGCGTTGTCATCCGCTTCACTACAGCAGGACTTCAGCTTGTCTTGTGCATCAAGCTCCTGAGTCATCTACACTCGCAAACCCTTCGTGCTGCATCGAGTCTGACCACCATCGACGCGACGCAAGGAACGATTAGCTGTCGACGGAATAGCCGGGCTCACTTCCTCCCAATCGAACACGGATGCTTTGAGCACACAACACATCCCCACACCCCGCGACTGACTGATGCAAGGCTCTGTCTTTCTTGCACGTCTCAGCCACCACTTCTCTTCGCTCGAGCGCGTTCTTTTTGGCCAGAGCTCAAGTCAGCAAAGTACCGATAGAGACACTCTAGTCTGCTGGTAGAAGATCGTGAACGGATAGATCCAGCGCAGAGCTTTCCTTGCCATCATGTCGCGCCTCTCAAGACAGGACTACCATGGCTACCCACAGCAAACACATGCTCGATGGTCACCCTCACCGCCTCTCAACCGTCTCTCGGCAGCGATGGACCCACGCCTCGCCCCTCGTCTCAGCAATGCAGCACAACAGGAGCTGCAACCGCCTTCGCAAGCAACACAGCTCACGTCTTCCCAACTTACTCCATCTTCCTCATCGATACCTTCCAATGTCGAGGTGGTCCAAGCGGTTAACTCCATGAGCTCTCAGATCACCAATCAGCTTTCCGTCATGGGGACGCAGCTCGCATCGCTGGTCTCACTCACCTCGAGACTCATCGAGATCTCCCAGATGCAGCTCGCTGCGACCGACACGGCAGGCAGAGCAACGAGTGCCGCACCCGGCTCGGGCGTTCCAGGGCAACCTCTCGGCTCACAAGACCTACGAGCAGATGTCAGTCCGGCCAACGGCAACGTCGATCTCAATCGTGCACGTGTCAATGGCACCCAAAACTCCTCCTTTCCCAACAGCAACCTCTCGACCGCCACATCAACAAATACAGGGCGACCTGATACACGGCAAGGCCAATTCTACCAAAATGCTGCTTCCAACAACTTCCGCACCACACTCGACTCTGCAAGCTCGACACTGGACAGAACGTTTGGCAGCACATTGCGAGGGGCTTCACCCACCCCAACCTCTGCATTGAACCACAGCTTGTCTGCCGCTACAGGGCGGGCGACACAGCAAACGACGCAGCAGCAACCACAACAGATGCAGCAGCCCCAGCAGCAACATCATATTCAATCACAGCCACAAAACTTGCAGCAGCAGCAACATTCGCAACAGCAACAGCCAGATCAATCCCAAGATGCGAATGATCTGCTTAAGAGTCGCTTGCCGAGCCCAGTCTTCCCAGATGACCCGATGGACATGTCAGCCGAAGTCTCCACTTCGGGTCATCAGACTCCAGCCCAACTCAAACGTCTTTCCACAGCAGGTCAGGGAGCGAACGACAGCGCACGCAAAGCTGCCAACAATTCAGAAGCTTCGTTGGGCGATTGGAAAGGTTGGCTCAATCGCACTTGGCATCCACCTCCTGGTCATCAGTCACGTTCGATCAAGTATCGTACCATGCAACAAGCTCGTCGGGCTCATCGGGATCAGACGAAGCGTTCCATGGCCACTCTCGGTCGTTTACCGCTGAAAGAATTCCTGGAGATCCGACCAGAGCAGTATCTAAGCGTACGTAAGACCGGTCGTAAGCTGTACCAAGAATGGCTGCTGCAAGAAGTTCGATTGGCCAAGCAACCTGAGGATCGAGTCAAAGCGGCTATCAATCGGCTCGAGAATGACCATCCAGAGCTTGGGGATTGTGAAGATCATTGGAAAGCGAGACAGTTGCTGCAGCAGATCATTGATAATGCTATCGATGAGGCGAATCTGCATCGCAAAAAGGAGGCGAGGGCGAGCAATGCGCATCAAGAGCCGACCGAAAGTACGCCGAGGGAAATGGAGAATGCACGAAGCACAGGTATGTTAGGTATGAGTGCTAGCAGTTCGTCTTCGGCGTTGGCAGATGCTGATCGAAGTTTGAGAGGAGATACGTCTGGACGGAAGGGGTCTACTGCTGGAGGTGCAGGTGCGAATAAAGGTGCAAAAGGGGGTGTTCAGAGGCGAAAAGCGGATCAAGCTGAACTGGATGATACACCGACACGGTTCCGACAACCGCCAAACCAACGCAATTCGATGTTGGGACCTGGTGGGAATGATGATCCTGCATCGTCGTTACAGACGCAGCAAGGGTCATTGTCGTCTTCCGGTCTGGAAGCAGCGCATAGTGGTCGTAATGTTCCACTCTCGGAGTATGCTGGCACATACAACAACGACTCTTCCACCATCGCCTCCGCTCCTTCCTCCGATGCTATGCAAGCTTCACGACATCACCATTTGCAACCGCAACCGCAGCAACACCATAACGCGCATCAACCTGATCAAACGCATAATGCTTGGGCTTCTCAAACTGCTGCTACTGGTCCATCGCTGTTCGGACAGTCGCAGTATACAAATACAGCACAGACTCTGTCTCATCAGCAGCAGCAGTATGGACATCATAGCCACCATCATAATTCAGGGTACCTGTCGTCGGATCCTGGTCAGACTGGTGGGCTGAGCGCGTCGAATTCAGGCTTGCTGGATGAGAGGGGTCATCAGTCGCATCTGAGTCCACTGGTGAATGGAGGGAGTGTGAGGATGCATCAGCCTCATCAACAGCATCAACAGCATCAACAGCATCAACAGCATCATCAGCATCATCAGCAACAGCCGCAAGCGCATGGAAATTTCTTTGATAATAGGGGGTATCAGTGATGCTATTTAGCCGCGCGGTATCAAATTTTTAGCGTTTTTAGAAACTGTAGCATGCATTTGGTCAAGGGTCTGGTGACAGCAGATCTTCCGGACGAGAACCACTACAGAAATTCGAATTGGCGTCAAGAAAGCATACAAATTTGTAGTCTTTTCTCCGTAGTCGCGTGCTTGACTAGGAATACAAATTCCTCTTACCTTTGCTTTGTTCTGCTTCGAAAAAGTGTTGTTACACGACAGGCTGGAGCGCGAAGAAGAGCGAAAAAGCACGTCTGAGAGTTGAGTTCAAGTTTCGCTCTGCGGGCCTGCCACCTTCCTCGAGCCTCAGCAGAGCGCGACTTTTTGCCTACTTCTTGGTCACTACTGACAAGCTTTTTGGCGTACGAGATGCAGCTTTTGCTGGCTGTGTGAATTGCACCCTTTTCCAGCTCCCTCGTCCTGATTACCATCACCCACCACGACATCCAAAGCACAGCTTCTTTTGATCCCCAAAGAAGCTCTGCCGATTCTGTCCAACTCTACACCTATCATGGCTACCGCCCCATCTCAGCAGGCCCAGAGCGGCTCTGCATTCAACCCGGCCCAGCAGCAGCGTCAACTCTTCGGCGGTGAAGAAGAGTTTGGTGACGAAGAAGAGCTTGGAGATGATGTCGATCTCGTCGTAGGAGACTACGGTTCTGCTCCCTTCGCCGGCGAAGCAGGTGCCGAAGTTGACGAAGCCCAAGCTGCAGCTCTCGCCGCCGCACACGCCCAAGCTCAACAACAAGCCCAACAAGCTGCTCTCGCCGCAGTCCCCGACCAAATCCGCAAGTACATCGTCCTCTTCAACCAAGCCGTTCAGAACAACGACGTCCAAGACATCTCCAACGCTTACGAGGGTACTTGGAATCGTCTCACCGACAAATTCTACGCTCGTTCCGAATGGCCCGAAGCCGAAACTATCGCCCCTCTGGTCAATGACGATCAGAAGTTCTTAACTCTTTACAGGGAGCTTTGGTACCGACACGTCTACTCGAGGTTGAGTCCGGACGGCGAGGATAGGTTCCACTCGTATGATAACTATTGCGACCTTTTCAACTTTGTTTTGAACAGCGATGGTCCTGTGGAACTCGAGTTGCCTGCTCAGTGGCTTTGGGATATCATTGATGAGTTCATCTACCAGTTCCAGAGCTTTTCGCAGTGGAGGAACAAGGCTGGTAACAAGGCTGAGGACGAGATTGCACTCTTGCAGGACGGTGGTGTTTGGAGCAGTTACTCTGTTCTCAACGTTCTCTACTCTTTGATCCAGAAGTCTCGCATCACGGAACAGCTCGTTGCCGCATCCAAGGGTATGGACCCGGACGAGGTTGCAGGCGAATTCGGTACCAAACCACTCTACCGCATGCTTGGCTACTTTTCCATCATCGGTCTTCTCCGCGTCCATGTCCTCCTCGGCGATTACACTCTCGCATTGAAGATGCTCGACCACATCGAACTCAACAAAAAATCCGGCCTCATCAACCGAGTTACAGCTTGCCACGTAACTGCATACTACTACGTCGGCTTCGCCTACCTCATGCTCCGTCGTTATCCGGATGCGATCAAATCCTTCACCCACATTTTGGTCTTTATCATGCGTCTTCGTCAGTACCACACTCGATCGTACCAGTACGATCAGATCAACAAAACCGCAGATCGAATGTACGCTCTTCTTTCCACCGCTTGCGCTCTCTGCCCTACTCGTCTTGACGAAAACATCCAGACTCAGATGCAGGAGAAGTATGGTGATCAGTTCAACAAGATGACCAAACGCGGAGCGGAAGGTTTGGCTGCATTCGAAGAGCTTTTCTTGTATGCTTGTCCCAAGTTCATCACCGGTAACAGCCCCCCTTACCACGATGAGGAGGCACTGGCGGAGTACAAGGAGAACAAAACGGGGTTCCCTGACCCAACCCAACATCAGCTTCGAGTTTTCCTCTCCGATGTCAAGACTCAGCTTTCTAACGCCAACGTAAGGTCGTTCTTGCGATTGTACACTACATTGGGAACCGACAAGTTGGCTTCGTTCTTGGAAATTGACGAGGAGGAATTGGTGGAGATGATGATGGTTATGAAAAACTCTACCCGCTCGCTCAAGTGGTCTTCGGGTTCGCTCCTCGAGGGCGAAGTAGTCAACACAAGCGATCTTGACTTTGTGATTGATACGAACATGGTTCACATTGCGGAGAGTCGTGTGGGTAGGAGATACGGAGATTGGTTCCTCCGTAACGGAACAAGAATGCATGATGTGCTTAGCAACATTCAGTCTAAACCGTTGCCTATTATTAGTAAGGAGGCTCAAGATGAAGCTGCTGCGGCAGCGGCAAAGGAGGGTCAGGATGGAAAGGATAAGAAGAAGTCAGGTTGGGCTGGTGCTGCCGGTGGTAAGACTGGTGGTGCTTTTAACCATGGCACTGGTGCAAGGACGCAGGGTGGTGCTCCAGGTGGAAAGCCAGCAGGAGCTTGGGGTAGCAGTGCTGCTAAGCCTTCTCTTGCTGCCTAAACACCCAACTTTCGCAAATGATCACATTAGGTCCAGTGGCGACCTGAGAAAAGGAGACTAGCTGACCTCTACCCTCTTCCTCCTGTCATTCATTCATCTTCACTTCCCTTGCCAAAATAGTAAATACATTCCCATGAGTCCGAGTTGCCCCCTCCCTGTGTGTGCTGACAAGTTAGCTTTCAGAGTGTCTTGGCAAGAACAGATTGTTGCCATGCCTTGGTTGACGTCCTAGGGTCCGCACGCAACGAGATCCGTACGGGCCGATACACCGATCGCAGCGACATTGTTTGCTGCCTAAACTCACATGACAACCACTCCTCACCCCACCTCACCTGAGTCGCACAGCACAAACGTGGCCGAACGAGCTTGAAAAGTTGCATGTGATCATCAATTAGGGTATAAAATGCAAAGACGAAAACAGATACAGCATTGACACTGCAACATCAGATGCCGATAGCACCAACAAAAATGACCGGCCGATGATCAGATCTACCTTCCAGAATCCTCATCTCTCTATCGTCCAAGCTCTTGTACAGCAGACACTCAATCCTGCCTTTCTTTGGACCCACAATCTCTTCTTCTTCCTTCTCCGCTTCGTCTTTCTTCTCTGCCTCAAGATGAGCGCCGACGATCGAAGCATGACGATGGGAGCGCAGAGCAGAGATGGCAGGAGCAAAGAAAGATGGTAGGTGGTGGGAAAGGCTATCCATCCACCCAACCTTGTCTGTGATGGGCTGAGGGTTGTGGGCCGAGTGCGAGGAGAACGTGCGACGAGGACCGGCAGGTAAAGCCGGAATTGATCTAGACGGTAACGGTGGAGTGGGAAGCGGGCTAGCGCCGTTACTGTGCAATGCAGCTGCGAAGGAAGCGGAGCGAATCGGAGGCTTTGGCTCGTTGTTCGGCTTGACGGGTGATGAAGCGGCGGAAGATTGGCGTGGCGGGATGACCACACGAGCCTGAACTTCGCCTACTACGGGGGAGGCAGTAAGCTTCTTCGCTGCGCCATCGAACCTGTTGTCTCTCTCTTCAACTTGACTCGGAAGATCGACTGTGCTGATGGCTTTGTTCTCCAGCCCGGCTAAGCCTAAACCTGTACCGAGTCCCAATCCGAGACTTGCCGAAGTGGGAAGCACATCCATGCTACCATTCTTGATGGCCCAGCTGTTATCCTTGTTCGGCTCATGAGTGAGATCCGAGAAGGTGAGACTTGGGCTAAGAGCCTTGGCGTGATGGCGGTGGCGACTGGGATGCAAGAATCGCTGCAGAAGATGAGGTGCACGAGTGCGTTCGACACCAGCTAGTGTTCGGGTCTCTGCCCTAGGGCTCGACGACGCTGGTGGCACAGGAGCTGCTGTGGTGGTGTTGGACCTCTCGCGTCTAAGCGTGCTGCCTTTGCGTGTGACTGGGTCAACCAAGCTTGCCTCTGGTACCATTGATTGTTCTGACGCAAAAGCGATGCTAGAGCTGCCTGCAACGGCTGCGATAAGGCCACTTGAAGTACTTCGTTGCGCCTGCATGTTGTGACGACGCTCTGCTGCGTGACGTAGCGGCGTGATGAGCGCATTCGAGAGAGCGCTACCCACTCTGGAGCCTAGACCGGTCTCGTGGGTTTCAGCCTTGCCGATCTTGGCCTGATCGCTGTCATCGTCATCCTCAGGGTCGACTGGCACTGTAGAACGGAACAAGACTCGATCGCACCACGACGGCACCCTCTGCTTGGCACTTGTATCGTAGGGTTGCGCTTCAAGAAAGTCGATCTGCTCCGCCGTGGCTCCCGTCAAGTGTGGGTACTTGGCCTCTCTCTGTGCTTTTGCAGCTGCAAGAGCGGTTGCTTTGGCGAACTGCAAGGAGGATCGACGAGGTCCTGCAAGCACGGGCGCTGAAGCATTGCTACCGTTCTCATGATCAATGGATGAGGTATGACCATCCATGCTCCATCCGCTTCTGAAGCCTGCCGTCTCGCCGTGATCAACACTACTGAGAGCGCCGTCGTTCGACAAAAGACTGCCTCTCCGACCTCCTGTCGTGAAAGAATGCTCGTCAGTGTACAGCGTGGACGAGGAGAACTCGACAGCAGAAGATGGCATCGAGCTGACCGACTCGACAATTGAGTTGTTGTCGCTCGAGAAGGAAGCTGGCATCATTGCCTTCCTCGGCGAGTCAGTCAGAACGTTGAGCCACTTCTTCTTGCCGCCACCATGCTGGTTGCCCGATGACACAACGTTTCCCAGCTTGTCCTTGAGGTTCGAATTGGTGGCACTGCGGACCATCTCCATGATCTTGATCTTGGCTTTGATGGCAGCACCTTGCGAGAAGAAGCGCGGACCTTGTGCAGCACTCGTGTTTTCTGCGAGCTGACGCTGACGTTGAAGTTCGATCTCGCGCTCGCGTACAAATGCTGGGTCGACACCTTGCGATAGACGAGCCTCTTGCGTCTGATGGAAGTTGTTGGCAAGGCCAGAGGAAGAGGTGACCGAACCGAATGCGGAGGATGAAGAGATCGAAAAGCGATCCTCATCCGAACGATCAGCATCCTGCCCTTCGCTAGACTCCACCTTGCTATCCACTGTGTTTGGCGAAATGCCGTGCGCTGCTTCGCTACGTGCGGACACGTCCTCGACATCCAGCTCGGTTGGCCCTATGTATGACATGTTGGCATCTCCGGCTTGCGCATCGAAGCTGACTGCGCCTTCTTCTGGTATGACACTTTCGCCAAGAGGTGTGGTACCCAAGTCAGCCGTGGCAGGCCTGCTCGAACTACCAGCTCCAGTTATGTTGGCGTCAGGGATATCCACAGCGTTCCGTATCGATGTCAACGTCTTGTTCCTCTTGATCTTGAGCGTCTTGAGTACGTCGTACTTGTAGGTGGGCGGAAAGTTGATAGGAGCTTCTTTGAAGCCTTTGAAAGCGTCACCTTCTTTGAGCACCTTACCAAGCTGGTCGAAAGCAAGTGCCTGGTCGTATTTCTTGTTCATCATCAACCAGTCAGCATGCTGACGCGAAATGTCGATGCGGAAATTGAGATCGCCGAACCAAAAGGTGTGATCGAACTGCTCAGTGATGTCCTCAAGTCGAGACCGTGGGTCACTGGAATCCAGGAAGGAGTCGACTTTGAGCGCTGCCTTGACCTTGGCGACATTTGCAAGTCGGAGAGCAACCTTGTCCTCGTGCGCTGCAAGATGTGCGTTTACGAAGAGAAGTCTGGTGGTGCCGAGCTTGAGCGAGATGCCGACACCGCCCTTGTTACCAACACGACCAGCTAGCAAACCTGACTTGACATGCGATCGAGATGCACCCCGCACTCGATCCTTGCAGCCGCGCCAGACGTAGACAGCCATGTAGCAACCCATCATACGCTCCTTGATGACGAGCTCGTAAGGTCCAAGAGCCTTAGGGATGGCATCGGCAAATGCTCTCTCATCGCCTTTTGAATTGGCGCCCGCTGCCTCGTGGCTGATGCTTGCCACGCCCGGAGGAGCAGGAGAGGCTGAGTCCCGCGGTATTCCACTGCCGTTGGCCGTGCTTGGGTAAGGCGAAGGAGTGCGAGACGGAGTTGGCGGTTCAACATGGACTTCGGTTGCCGCAGGAGAGACGGACGGAGAGGTCGGATCGGCAGCACTTGCGAGCTTGTATAGACTGTGAGATGAGCTCATACGGCTCATAGCTGGTGTACCCGGAACCGCAAGTAAGCCTCCGGCGCTGGTGGAAGCCGGCAAGCCGGCATGGTCACTAGATTGTGCGTGTGACGCTGCCGGTGCGGGAGCTTGTGTGACTTGGAAGAGTTGATGGCCGCTCTTAGGCTGAAGAGCCGTGGGTGAGAGGAGGACAGGAGAGGCGACGCATTCGGCATCAGTGAATGTTGCAGGGCTAGAGCGACCTGTCGCTGCCGACTTCTTGACGAGCTCGATAGGATTCAGGTTGAGCTTAGGGACAAGGCGCTTGCGCTTTTCGGCACTTGCCGAACTGGCAGATGGATCCGCAGGAAACTGACTCGGAGCGTCAAGGAACGCATTGAACCCCTCAAAGGTGCTCTGATTGGGCGTGCCTGGAACACTGGCGCTCATGGGAATGCCGATGGGACTCGCTGCACGCGAAAGCTCGGGAGTAACGCCAGCAGACATGGACTGCATTGGCGTGTTGTGGTGATGGTCTGTGAGTGACCCTTTCGAGAGTGCAAAGTCTTTCTTGGCGGTCGATTGCGAAAGAGCACGGGCAAGACGAGCGCCACTGATGAATGACTTCTCCTTGTGATCTTTGTCCTTCTTTGCGGTCTGGTTGCGAACGAGCCAATCTTCGCAGAGGTCGCTCCAGCCCTTGCCACCAATGTTTGGCCAGACAGCTGACTTATCATCAGTACCGGCTTCATTGAGGGGTGTGCTGAAGCCTGGCATGGAGCTGCCACCAATCCAGGGCGATGTTAGAGGCTGACCGGGGAGCGCCATCGAGAACGGGCCAGAGAGAAAGGGGAAGCTGTTGCCGTCCGATGGGAGGTTAGCGCCTCCCCTGGCAGGAGTCTCATCGACGGTGGAGTGCGTTGTCTTACTATCATCTGCCGCAGCGCTAGGCAGAGAGTCACTGTCGCCGGACCGTTGCTTTTCCTTGGCTCTGGACGGCTTGTCCCTGTCCTTGTCCTTGCTCGCATCCTTCTCCTTCTCCTTCTCCTTGTCCTTGTCCTTGTCTTTGACTGCACGATTTTTCTGCTTCCCAAAGTCACCGAGCTCTCCAGCCATACCGACGGAGGTTGCTAAGCGCTTTCCATCTCCCCATGGACACTCTTGGCCGGCAATGGCAAGAAGATGATACGGATGCGAGTCGTCATGCGGGAGTGGAGGAATACGATCGGCTCTTGGCACATCCTCTTGGCCGACGACATGTGCACCTTTGCGCGGTTTCTGTTGTCCATCTGTATCGGATTCCTCTTCCGCGCTGTCGTAGCTAACGTCCCAGTCTGGGTCTGGTGGAACGTATTGACCTGCTTTGCCAAGGAGGACCTCAAGATCACCTTTGGGCACGCTGTCGTGCATGTTCCAGGTGATAATGCGCACCTTGATGGAAGGGCGCTGTCGCTTCTGCTTGATCGGAGACTCGTCTTGTCGTTCCTGTGCTGCAGCAGTTGATGGTTGAGCGTTTCGATCGGCCGAGAAACGGGATGGATCGAGACTCGAAGCACGGGATGGGCCCGAAGAATGTGAACCGGAGCGCGGGCTGCGTGCACCAACACGATCAAGATTGGAGGTAGTGAGGGAGCGAGGCAGTGCTGCTAGCTTTAGCGGAGGCGAAGTAGCAAGAGCAGCCTTCGATGTCGAAGCAGACGGAGAGGGCTGAGTCGTGTTTTGCAAAACACTGATAGCACCCTTAGATGCTTTGCATTTCAGCGGCGAGCTGTTCGATTTCTGAGAAGACGGTGAAGCATGATCGGCACTATTGAGCGATGTCGAGCTGGAGAAGGCATCCGGATTGGTGGGATGGTGGCTCCCGGTTTCGGAAGTAGGAGATAGAGCAGGACTTGAGCCGGAGTGTGATTCGGTATGCTGGAGAAGTGCGTGAAGGCGTGCGCGAAGATGAGGCTGGTGATGACTTTGGTGTGGTTGGTTCGCATCAAGGTTGGTCGGGACGGAGGTAGAAGAAAGCGCTGGACTAGCCATGGTTGGCCGAGGAGGCGCTGAGGGTGATGAGGATGCCATGCTAAGCTGCGGTCACGCTCGAGGTCTGCCGCACCAAGACGAGCATGAGGTTGCGATAAGCAGGGTGAAGGCTATGCTGTTAAACTATGTAGCTAGCGCATTGTGAGGCGTTGTGACAGCTGTGATCGTAGGGCTTTGATGAAGTTGGTTGCTATGATGTTTGAGCAGGCAAGTGTCAGTGGAGCGTTATTTAGTGAGCAGCAACAAATGTGAAATGCGCGGGGAAGAGAGCCAAAATATTGCCTAGATTTCACTCACACTCAACTTACTCCTGAGCCACGCGTCTCACCGCTTTGTTCTGCGTGAATTCTGATAGTTGAGAGAAAGAAAGAAAAAAAAAGAAAGAAAAAAGAAGAAAAAAAAGGGGGTCTCAAAATTCACTTTGAAAAAGCAAAGTCTCAGGCTCAAGCCTCGAGCTGTCGATCTTCTGGCTGCTGAGGTTGTAGAGATCCATGCCCCCATTCAACTTGAATGTAAAGGCAAGGATGAGACATCATAGCTGGTACCAGCATGAAGAATGCCAATGCAGTCAGGTCAGGCTTAGAGTGTCTTCAACAAACTTTCCCTGCAGCCGCCGGCACCTTGTGTGTTTGCTGAATGGTCAACGACGGTCTCAAAACCTTGCATTCACATTGTGCATCAACAGCCGAAGTTCACTCAGGGTCGCAAATTTTAGGGTGCACAAGGCAAATCAAGGCAAGCAAAACCTCCTCGTTTGTGCGAGGTGTGCATGCTGCTTTGGTCTCGCTTCTGCCTGTTTCCTGTCGGCGTTTTAAATTTTTCCTTGCAGCTAGCGTCACTGAACGTCAACAACTCGCACTAAACCAACTTGCCGAGTTCACGTCTCTCAAACCCAGGCACAGACAATGTGCAATGTCGATCTCTCGATGCTGGCTGGAACCGATCTTCTTTGCAGCAGCCTGGGAAGGTCTGCGTCGCACCAAAAATGCGGTTCAGCTGCTGAATCACTGAGTCGAAAGTGTGAGATGATGATGGCCATGCGGCGACTTCGAACACTATCTTCCCAAAGATAAAAAAGATACTGTGTGCGTAGTAGTGGTCTAACAAGTACCACCACATTTGAGCGTCTAGCGTATTGACCGAGAAATTGGCCGAATGGTTGCCGGATACCCCGCACTTCGTTACACAAACGTTCAGTCTCCAAAGATGACACTCCTTCATGATTGCATACCACCAACACAGACCGCGTTCATGCCACAAGAATGTCACAGATAAGTGCGGAGCAGATTCGGCGACACTCGAGCCCCAGCGACGCATGGCTTGTCGTCGAGGGTGGCGTATACGACGTCACCTCGTACCTCGACAGTCACCCCGGCGGCAAAGCGATGCTGCTCAAGTACGCCGGCAAGGGATGCCACGATTGCTTTCAAGGCAGAACACACTACCTCAGCCCTATCACAGCTGCCTCAGCACTCCTACAAGGGTCGACTGGATCTGCGAACCAAAAACGGTCATACACAAGATGACGAGGTACATAAGCGACTTCTTTCGGATTCGCACACCAAAGTACTCGAAGCACAACAGCGTCAGAGCGGAAAAGTTGCGTCGGCTAGAAGACGGCTTCCAAGGCTCAAAGACCTCACCAATCTGGACGACATGGAAATTGCCGCTCTTATTGTCCTGCCACCGCTAGCATCTGCCTTCTACGCATGCGGTTCAGACACTGAGGCCAGCTTACAGGCCAATCGTCTCGCTTTCTCTCGCTATTACTTCAACCCGCGCGTGCTAAGACGGGTTGATACGGTCGACACATCTGTCACTCTGTTCGGCAAGCCATACCCTCTACCCATCATGGGCTCGGCTGTAGGGAACACTCACATGGCCGGTCCTGACTGCGACTGGCATCTCACCAATGGCCTAGCCCAGTGTAAACTGCCTCACATGGTTTCAACCTTCGATCTACAAAAGCGAGCCAAGTCCGAGAACATCTTTGCAGACCACTTTCTTCAGCTCTACGTTCAGCGAGACCACGCCACTTCTACTAAGCTCGTTCGGCAAGCGGTCAAAGAAGGTGCGCACGCCGTCTTTGTGACGGTCGATGTAGCTCAGATAGCCAATCGTTAGAAGGATCGCAAAGTATGGGCCGAAGCTCATTCAGCTACGAACTGGCCCGAAAATGAGTCGAGATGAACGACTGCCTTCGGTTCTATGATCGAGAGAGCCGGACCACAGTGTGAACCGCCTTTGGTGTCGACCGTTATCTGGACTGCAGAATGAACTGCCTTTGGATGGCATCAGGTAGCTTGTGATACAACACATGCACTAGGTAGAAGCAATGCTCTGCAATTGCAACTGTTGATGGAAAACTACTAAGTATACTTATGCTGAAGTGATAACTAGTAAAGTGTAAGGTGTAGAGTGGATGGCGATCCACTTGACTGCTATGATGGGGAGCATGGTTATATAACCATTTGCCAAGTGTTGCCAGCGACACTTGCTCCTGCTCTGAAAGACCTCCTCCAACACTGCTCCTCCTCCCTTGTCTTGCCTGTCTTACAATACCACTTCTTAGCACTGCTTCTCTTGCCTCTTGCAGATGGAGAGTCTTCATGCTGCTTCATTACCAGATAGGGGCCTTTCCCACCTCATCTGAGTGGCAACCCGCTCCCCCTTTCATCTCACCCATCCTCCTGCTCTGAGTTCATCATGGAGTCGGCCCCCTGCTTCATCAGGGTGGCGACCCCAATGTCCTCGCTGTCTGTCTTGTTGTGCAGACCGTGAGATCGGCGTCCTCCGCAAGATCTGTTGTACGATTAGGATACAACAGGTTCTGTCATAGGACCGGATGCGCAGGAGGATCTGGAAACGTATGAGGAGTGGCGCAGGAATCGTTGGATTGGGCCAAATGAGGGTCCAAAAGCCAAATCCATCATGATCAGTAGTAGAGAGGTCCTACAACAGATCTTGCTCAAATTGGTAAGAGTGGAAGCTTACAGCAAAACCTGCTGGAATCAGTAGTATTGTGATCATGCAACAGATCTAACTAAAACTGGCAAAAGGATGTCAATATCATGGATGGGTGGCAATGACATCTGGGTCCACTGCCAATGAAGCAGGGGACCTGCTTGGTAAATGAAACCAGGGCTGGTAGATGGGAGAAATGAAAGGGGGGTGCAAACTGTTGCTCAGATGAGGTGGGAATGACCCCTGTCAATGATGAGACAATGTGAAGACTGTCCATCTGCAGGAAGCACGAGACACGGTGCTGACGAGCAGCACTGTGTCAGCGGTCGCACACCCAAAACCTGATGTCTGTAATAGAACTGCATCTATTACAAATCCTGTCAAGATATGCAACAATGCTTGTGGTATTATGATTCTTGGTGAGATATGTAGTAGAGACATCTCTATCACTTTTCTTGCTTGAAGATGCAGTAATGGTTTTGCTATTGCAGGTTTTGACTAAATGCTGTGGACACTCCATCCAGAGGTAGCTCAGCACAATCAATAACTGATATGAACTGGTACTAACACCAAGGTCTGGTGTGATTGAGATTGTTGTTGTCACCAACATGAGTGTCCAGTGTGTCAACTGAATGCTTGAGGTGATCCCTGGACCACAGTGGATGACTGCCTTCAGTTCTATTGTTATCTGGACTGCAGGTTTCTATGAACCACCTTTGGATGTCAGTGAGCAGCAATACAACACACATGCTATGATGGAAGCAATCTATTGAGATTGCAACTTGCTGACTGAATACTAATGTATACTTATGTGTAAAGCTATAACTACTAATGTATGGTGTAGAGTGGATGGAGATCCACTCAACTGCTATGATGAGGAGCATGGCTATATAACCATTTGCCAAGTGTCACCAGTGATGCTTGCCCCTGCTCTGAAAGACCTCCTCCAGCACTGCTCCTCCTCCCTTGTCCTGTCTGTCTAGCAATACTGCTTCTCAGCACTGCTTCTCTCACCTCTTGTGGATGGAGAGTCTTCATGCTGCTCCACCACCTGATAGGGGCCTTTCCCACCTCATCTGAGTGGCAACCTGCCCCACCTTTCATCTCACCCATCCTCCTGCTCCGATTTCATTGTGGAGTTGGCCCCCTGCTTCATCAGGGTGGTATCAGGGGGTCCTTGCCACTCATCTCCAATGGATCTGTTGTACAGTCCTCCTTGTCACTGATCTCTGCAGAATATGTAATACTACCCTGTTTACCACAGATCCTAGCAAGGCCTGTGGTACCATTATTGCTTGTGCCAATTTAGGTCAGATCTGTCATAGAGCCTTCTCTTTTACAGATCTTGGTGACCTCTATTGGAGCTCCCTCAATTGGCCTGATCCCTTGTGTAAGCGGTCGCGCGCCAGAGACTAGCTGAGGTTGATTGAGTAAGGACTACTCGATATGATTCACCTAAACATAACCAAGCATCGTTGCCTAGTAAGTCTCAACTGACTGCCTTGAACACTCTGTTCAGAGGTTGTGCAGCACAGACGTTGTTTGTTGGTGAGTGAGTGATACACCCTCCCCTACAGTATGAGTGTTTGTAGTACTGTTGATAATGCTCTTGGACATCATCTGGACTGCAATATGCTAATCGCCTACAGAGGATGTGAGTTACTGGACCACTGGTGTGAAACACCACCTACAATAACTGACTGGACTGCTGGTGTCAAGCAACACCACCTACAGCAAGGAACTGGACTGCTGGTGTTGAAGAACACTGCCTACAGTAATTAACTGGACTGCTAGTGTGAAGAACACTGCCTACAGTAATGAACTGGACCGCTAGTGTGAAGAACACTGCCTACAGTTGTCGACTAACAGTGATACAACACACACGTTGAGAGTCATTGCAAGAGCACTGCTATTGTGATGATATGTAACCAAGTAAGTATAGAGTAAGTAAGTTGAGTTCAGAGTGGATGCCGATCCACTCATAGGCTATGGTAGAATGAGAGTATTTATACATCTGGTTGGTGTTTTCCCTTGACACCTATCCTGCTCCTCTTGAGGGGCCTTTGTCCCCTGTTAGGCACTGCCTTGCCCTGCTGGCATCAACCCCTTTGATACTGCACTCCTACTGTTTGCTCAGCATAAGGGTTATGCAACACTGCCCTCTCACCTACATGCTCTCCTTCTGTCTGATGTGTGATGCCCCCCTTTCGGCATGGCCCCCCTTTTGACTTAATCTTGTGAATTCCCTTTTGAACCTCATGACCATACCCCCTGGTCATGTGGTCACATCAGCACAGTTCCATCTTGACTTGTTCAGATCGGCCGACTAATTGAAGCATGCTGATCTGACTGACTCCATTGTTGGCACAGCTCCGAATACTTGCTTGGGTCAGCTGACTAGTTGAAGCATGCTGATCCGACTGATTCTGACATCGGCACAGCTCCGAATACCTGTTTGGATCAGCCGATTAGTTGAGGTGTGCTGATCCAACTGCCTCCATCATCAGCACAGCTCCGAGTACTTGTTCAGATTGGCTGACTCATTTGAAGTGTGCTGATCCGGCTGACTCTGACTGATCCCATGAGATCGATCTGGATTTCTGGGGTTTGATTGATCTCATAATTCATGTGTGCTGCCAACCCGATTAATCTCGTTGATCCCCGATGGTTTTTGACTCTGATCAATCTGGCACACCCTTCATATGTTGATCTTCTGTGCACCCTTCATATACTGCTCCGTTACGTGACATTATCATAACTGCCGCTGATCATTTGGCGCACTCTCTTGCGCAGGCCAGCCGTCCCTGTGACACCTTGATTCCTGTGCTCCCTTCATATGTCTTGATGGGTTTTCCTGCTTCCTGCGCATCCAGACCCATGACACACCGCAGGATGGATAGAAGGGATAGAAAGGACAAGGAGGAGGAGGAGCAGTGCTGAAGAGACATTCCAGAGCAGGGTGCAATGTCGCATGGTGACATTGCGAGAATGGTTATATAACCTCGCTCTTTGTCATAGGTGTTGAGTGGATCCCCATCCACTCTACACCATACATTACTAGTTATCACTTCAGCATAAGTATACTTAGTAGTTTTCTGTCAGCAAGTTGCAATCACATAGTATTGCTTCTATCATAGTGTGTGTGTTGTATCACCACTCACTGACATCATGCAAAGGTGGTATTAACTGTGGTCTGGATATCGATCAACACCAAAGGTGGATCATACTGTGGTCCAGCTCTCTTGATCATTAGAAACTGAAGGCAGTTGTCCACTGCAGTCTGGGGATCACCTCAAGCACTCAGTCAACACACTGGACACTTGTGTCAGCAAAACAACAGCAGCAGCACCAGACCTTGGTGTCATGTCAAGGTATCTATTGATTAGCAATCATGCTGAGCTACCTCTGGACAGAGTGTCCACAGTGGTCAGTTGAATTCTGCAATAGTAATCAATCTATCACATATCTGAGTGAGAAAAGTCATAGAAGGCTTCTACAACAGATCTCAGCAGGAATCATAATAAAGGCCTTTTATCACAGATCTCAATAGGATTGGTAGTAGATGTGTTTCTACTACAGATATCAGGTTTCAGGCATGCAACCCCTGACAATGAGCTACCTCTGGATGGAGTGTCCACAGCAGTTAGTCGAAACCTGCAGTAACAATCAAGCTATCACATATTTGAGTGAGAAACATTATAGAAGGCTTCTACAACAGATCTCAGCAAGAATAATAATAAAGGCCTTTTACCACAGATCTCAATAGGTTCAGTAGTAGTTGCAATTCTACCACAGATTTCAGGTTTTAGGCATGAGACCTCTGACACTTACCTGTCGAGCCCCCATTGCCCAGGTGGCAGCCAATGCCACCCTTCCTTCCACCCATGCCACCCTTCATGTGATCCTATGTTGCATTGCAATTCAAGTGTTGTTGTTGTACTTTGATATAGTGAAGGTCCACATCTATGGTGGACTGGTCTGCTTGTCATGTGTGTGTGTGTGTGTGTTGAACAAAAATTGACTGAAGCTGTTGCCTCAAAATTTCAAAATTGAGAGGGGAACTTGGCTGTTTCAGCAATTTTGAGTCCAGAAACTCCCAAGTCCCCCTCCATTTTCGAGAGCAAAATTGGCCACTTCCAATCCGAGACCTAGGTGAATTTGACATGTATGTGAACTACGTTACATGCCAAATGTGGGAGTAACCTTCTTCATGATCTAGCTTGACAACAAGCGTGATTGTGTTGTACCCGATCTTTGGAAAGATCTGTTCCATCAGATCCCCGATTGTGTTTATGTCAGCATGTATCATCATATTGGATCGCTTCCTTCGGCAAAGACAGGAGGGGGAAAACCCCCCCGATAGTTGAGCCGGAATGAAAATCGGAAAAGGGCTCGCACCATCTGACCCAGCACAGCGCATTGTGGTCACTCAGCGGCTGTTTTCAACCCTTTAACCGAGCCTTGAACCCTTGCTTTCCATCCTCAAGTACCACAAGTAAGGCTGAGTCGATCTCATGCTTCTATCACACTACCTCAATCACCAACGACGCCGACATAGAAGCTTTTGAGCTCGTCTTCTCTGAATTCTAGCCAAAGACAGACCACATGTCGCAGGTCCCCGCGGCTTCACAGGCGTCATGGTCCTCCATCACCTTGTCCGCCTTGTCTTCGCTTTCCAGTGCTGACGCGGCTGCCACGACAGCGGCAAGTGCAGTCAAGTCAAGTGCAACCGTAGCATCTGATGCTGCAACGGCAGCTACAGCGGCTGCCTCGTATGCTGATGAGCGCAATCCAATCATTGCCCTCATCGATGGACTTCTTCGAGTCGTGCTAGCCTCGCTCAACCTCATTCGAATCTTGGCCACTTTCTCGACCATTACCGTTCCTAGCTTGGTCTACACCATCCTTCACTACAGTCTAACGCTACAGCTCAACTTCCCCTCACTGGCTCTTCTATTCCTCACGTCGCTCGTCTCGGCCTTCATCTGGCTTCGATACCGTCACCTCAACAAGTACGAGCGTCTCCGTGAAGTGCCACTCACCCGAGACGAAGGATTCAACCTCAATCCAGATGTAGCCTCGGCAGGAGGTGACAACGATCGTGGCAGCTTTCACAACTACCTCGACGATTTCCTCCAGGCCATCCGCATCTTCGGTTTCCTCGAAAAGCCCGTCTTCCACGAACTCGCCAGACATTTGCAAACTCGGAGACTCGTTGCCGGCGATAGCCTTTCACTCGACACCGACTGCTCCTTTTACATCGTCATCGATGGTCACGTGCAGGTCTTTGCTCCTTTGCCTGCCAGTACAGCGAGCGCTGTCGGCCAAGACTCTGTCGAGGATGAAGACGATAGTGGCTATCAGCTGCTCAACGAGGTCGAAAGTGGAGGTACGCTTAGCAGTCTCTTCACTATCCTAAGCCTTTTTACCGAAGATGTCAAGCTCTCGTTTGGTGACGATGACTCTTATCTTGGACCACATCACGCCGGCGCATCCAATATGGACCGTCACTTCGGCACCAGCGCAGGACCATACCGGTCACGAGGCAGCAATAGGGGCACTGCCGGTGCAGAAAACTTGACAGCGCCAATCTCTCCTTACTCCTCAGCCTTCAACGCACCATCTCAGACAGCTGCTCAACTTCAGCTCAACGCTGCTGCTCTCCGCAACGTCCCTGCTGCCATTTCCACCGAAGGCGCTGTGGAAAGACTCGGCGGATCTGCCATGCGTGCTGGCTCCAGATCGTCTCACTCGCGCACCGCTTCTTCCGGAACCGGCTCCATGACTGTGCAAGATGGCGACACGAGCACCATCATGGATCCTCACGAGAACCTAGATGACAATGGCACAAATTCTCTTGGCCATGCTCCAGACCTTCAGATGCCTCCAGCACAGGCTTCGGCTCCTTTCTCTCACTTTGCACCTGGCTGCAATGCTTCTTCAGCAGGGACGTCAATGTCCAACGTACCGAGCTCGTCGCAGTCTCCTCAATTCCGTGGACGTGCCACATCGATTCATGCCTTGCATGAAGGTCTTGGCGGACCCAGCACGCCCGGGTCCGTTCTCAGCAATATGAGTTATAGCGCGCACGGCCATTCGGCTCGTACTGGCGATCCCATACACCGACAAGGCGCAGGGACTGTTGCACGTGCTACTGTCGACACCACATTGGCAGTCATCCCTGCAGAGGCCTTCAAGCGTCTCACCAAGAAGTTCCCGAACGCAGCTGCCCATATTGTGCAGGTTATCCTTGCACGACTTTCACGAGTCACGTTCCACACTGCACACAAGTACCTCGGCCTGACGAAGGAAGTCATGCGCACGGAAAAGTCGATCAACGATCTCGCTTGCTTCCCGCTGCCGTCCGAGTTCTACGAGAAGGGTGGCATGGACAAGCTCCGCCATCGCTTCCTACCTCAGCCCACCTCTAAACGTGATTCGACGTCCGTCTACGGCGATGATGACTACTTCCGCAACTTTCAGGAATGGACTTCTACCACTCAACGCAGCACCACACCCATGCCAAGCGCAGCGCGCGACACTGATGGAACTAGCAGTTCGCCAAGGGTAAGAATCGTCACAGAGCAGCCAAACCTCACATCAAGCCCGAAACAGACAGATAGAAAAGCTGCTCCGCCTTCTCGCATTTCGACTGCAAAGACGCCATGGGGCCATCCTGACCCTCCTCTCAAGACCCCAACCGCACGCAATATGGTTGGACCAGGTGATCTGCTCAGCATGGCCAGCCTGAGTGAGAACGGATGGCACAATAGCGGCTTTGATATGCATTCGGCTCAGCCGACTCCGCGCGCCAAGCCATGCTCTGTTTCGAAACTCGAACCCTTCCACGGACCTCTGCCTCATCCCATGGACGACTCTACCAGCGGCACCAGCCCACGATCCGGTGTGTCTCCGGTTCCTAGGCGCAACGGGACAGCTGGCAGCGATGTTATGGATGGCGACTCACCTTTCTCGCACATCGGTCTAGCGCACTTTGATATCAAGAACGAAGTCATGGACTGCATCGCTAAGAGTATCGGTCTCGCTCAAGCTGCCAACTCGCCCATTGCTACCAGCTACCAAGCTAGTCCGCACATTAATGCTCAAGACTCATTGCTACAGCGATCGGTATTCAAGTCGGCCTTCAGCTCGCTCAGTATGCTTGACGCCGCTATGGCCGAAGAGGAGAGTATGACCGGCACCAACAGCTCCATGGCTGGACATGGACCATCAGGTTTCCACCTTTCCGACTTTGAGAACGAAGTCGAGATCAAGTTCTTCCCAGCTGGAAGCACGCTGGTGAAGGCTGGAGAAAGTCGGGCCGGGTTGTTCTACGTCATCGATGGCTTCTTGGACGTCCTGCTGCCTGCTGAAGCCAATGAGCTGGAAGAGGAGGACCGGAAGGTGCCCAGCAGCAAAGCCAACGCTAAAGGGCGTAGCGCTGGTCTCACGCCACACCTGGATAAAGCCAGCTCGCATCACAAGGCTCCCTCGACTGCTTCGTTGTGCACGGGCAGCACCGATGAGGCTTCCTCTTTCGATGTCTCCGCATCTCGATCGCACCGCAGGGGCACCGATGCTGACCGCACCAATAGCGTTGGAAACAGCGCTACATCATCCCTGCATCGGCCTCAGGCGCCGGAAGGCTCATCTTCGTCGACATCGTTCGGCACTCTTGCTGGTGGAGCGCGAAGACGTCCTATCGAATCAGCCAAGGTCGGCAACGCGCTCGACGGCACTGGGGGTACAGGCAAGTCCAGCTCACGCAAGCCTAGCATGACCTCGAACGGGACGGCAGGCACGACTTCGCATCGCCCTTCGGATGCAACCGTTACACAGACTCCTGCCTCTGCTAGACCTGCCCCTCGTCCACTACTGAACCAAATCCCTCGTGCCACCAATGCACAACAGACCAATCACCGCTCAAAGGACGGCAAGCGCTCCATCTTCACGGTCGGACGCGGAGGCATCGCGGGCTATCTTTCAAGTCTGCTCGGTACAGCGAGTTATGTCGACATCACAGCCAAGACCGATGTCTATGTCGGTTTCTTGCCCGCACATGCCCTTGAGAGGATCATGGAGCGTCGTCCCATCGTACTGTTGACACTCTGCAAGCGATTGTTGAGTTTGCTTCCACCTTTGATCTTGCACATCGACTCGTCGCTCGATTGGCAGCAAGTGAACGCCGGACAGGTCATCTATAGGGAAGACGACCCATCGGATAGCTTCTTCATTGTCATCAACGGTCGATTGCGAGCCATCACCGAGAAGAGTAATGGTATCGAGGTGCATAACGAGTACGGTCAAGGCGATAGCGTTGGCGAGCTTGATGTCATTACCAACTCGAGGCGAAGGACCACACTGCATGCTATCCGCGACTCAGAGTTGGCCAAGATGCCTTCAACGCTGTTCAACGCTATCTCGGTTCGACACCCTGCGATCACGATTCAAATTTCTCGCATCATTGCGAGAAGAGTGCGCGCTGAGTTGATCAGAAGCAAGCAAGAAGGTGCTGCGCTGGGTGCACCTATCCCTGGTCTACCTGATCTGGGCAGGAACAACCTCAACCTCAAGACGGTGGCCATTGTGCCAGTCACACGCCAAGTACCCGTCATTGACTTTGCAGCCAAGCTACAAGCTGCATTCGACGACACGATTGGCGGTCGAGCCATCTTCCTCGATCAAAGCAGCGTGATGGGTGTTCTTGGTAGGCATGCCTTCAGCCGGATGGGAAAGTTGAAGCTGGCCGGTTGGCTAGCTGATTTGGAGCAGAAATACAGGATGGTAGTCTACGTGGTGGATACGCCCGTCTCTTCAGCTTGGTCTCAAACCTCGATCCGACAGGCTGATTGCGTCTTGATGGTCGGCTTCGGAGATGAACCGGCCATGGGCGAGTACGAACGCTTGCTGATGAGCGTCAAGACCACCGCCCGCAAAGAGCTGGTCCTGCTTCATCCCGATCGAAGTGTACCGCCAGGCTCAACGAGAGAGTGGCTGAAGAACCGACCCTGGGTTCACGCACATCATCATGTTGAGATGCAAGGTTTGAGTGGATCACATGGAGTTGCTTCAGCCATGTCGCACGGCGGAGATCCAAAAGCCGTCAAGGCTTTGCGCAATCTCAAGCAGAAGCTCGAGACGTCGCTGCAGAGATATCGAAAGACTAAGACTCCGCTTTCTGCGTCGGGCAGGCCACATCATGCATCGGACTTCGCAAGGCTGGCTAGAAGATTGTGCGGCATGAGCATTGGGTTGGTGCTTGGAGGAGGTGGTGCAAGAGGGTGTGCCCATCTAGGTGTGATCCGAGCATTGGAGGAAAGAGGCATTCCGATCGATATGGTCGGTGGTACATCTATCGGTTCACTGGTTGGAGGGCTGTATGCGAGAGAAGCGGAGATGGTCTCGACTTTTGGACGTGCGAAGCGATTCGCTGGTCGCATGGCTTCTCTTTGGCGTTTCGCATCGGATCTCACCTACCCAGTGGTATCCTATACCACGGGTCACGAATTCAATCGCGGTGTATTCAAAGCTATTCAAGAGACGCACATCGAGGACATGTGGATCCCATTCTTCTGCAACACCACCAACATCACCTGGTCTCGAATGGAGGTTCACACCTCTGGCTATGCTTGGCGCTATATCCGTGGGTCAATGACTCTTGCTGGTCTCATCCCGCCCTTAGTCGACGAAGGAAACATGCTGGTCGACGGAGGATATGTTGATAACTTACCAGTGACAGTTATGCTGGCTATGGGAGCACGCTCGGTATTCGCAGTAGATGTAGGTTCGATTGATGACACGAGTCCACGGGCTTATGGAGACACTCTTTCAGGCTGGTGGGTCCTGCTCAACAGATGGAACCCTTGGTCTGACGCTGGCAAGATTCCTTCCATCCCCGATATTCAAGGTCGCTTGACGTACGTCAGCTCAGTCAAGACGCTGGAAGAGGCCAAGAAGGTCAAAGGTTGCTTTTACATGCGCATGCCCGTGGAGGAGTTTGGTACGCTGGCTTTCGGGAGATTCGATACGATCTATGAGAAAGGCTACAAGGCAGCCGTGGAGCTGTTGGACGGCTGGGATAAGGAGGGGAAGCTGCCGAGTGGTGTGGAGAGAGACGAGGATGAGTATGATGGTGAGGATGAATCTGGAGGGAAGGGTGGCAGGAGGATGAGGAGGAGAGGTGGTGGAGTCAGTGCTAGGAGGAATAGTATTTAGACCACACATACCCTGTCACGTTCCGACCTCTCGTTCTTGTCGCAGACTAATCTATTGTTTCAGCTCTTACACCTGTGAGAACTAAGTTGTAGTAGCTCGTGCAATATGTCCATGTGTCCAGTGTTGGCAGGAAGCAGGCTGAAGGTTGTGTCCGTTGAAAGACGGCGCCATCATTCAGTGATGGTGTTTCTATTTCTTGGCCTCAATTGTTGTCCACCTTTCCTCTCACCCTAGAAGCGTGTTCTGAAATTCGCCGACCTCACGACGTCGAAAGCCGATGGAACTCGAAATGCACACTTCGAACCGGATCTGCAACACTTAGCTGACACGTCGACGCAGCACAGAACCAGTGTTGGTATGCGGGGAGGCGTGCCAAACGAAATGAAGAAGGGTCCGACGCTGTGAAGGTCTTCTTGTCGTTACACAACCTTCCACACTTCATCTAATTCTCGAGTTCGACGTCGCTTCCTTCTCGACCTCGATATCCAGGAACAGAGCGCGACAAGCTCAGCAGCAAGACCTCTACACGCGTGACGGTCTCTGTACGCCAATTTGCTCAGATCCGCTACAGGGTGAACGCTCGCTTATGCTTCATCTCGTCGACACGAACACACAGCGAGCCAGGCCATTTGAATGACTGATCACGCAACTCAGCTCGTGGTATTTAGTAGACTACAACCGTCACAGTCTATCATCAAGCTGATCGTCACACAAAATGGGAGCTGCATGTTGCGCAGGCGCCGCGATGGCCGGTGGAGCTGCTACAGCAGGCCCTACATCTCTGCTTGACGGAACAATATACAGCTTCCTCTCAGCCATTCCTATCGCTCTGTACCACTACTATCCACAAATCACCCTTGTGCTTGCCACTCTCGCCATCTTACTTGCCTCCTCATTCTACCTTCTTCTCATCCTGCTAACACCCGACACGAAGCAAAGTTCTCCCTCCGAGCTTACGTACCTCTCAACCGAAAGTAAAGACGCACAACCACTCGCTGAGATCAAAGACGAAGCAGAGGTGCAACTCAGTGTCGTCGTTCCGGCCTACAACGAGAAGGAGCGATTACCAGTCATGCTCAAAGAGACGGTCGAATTCTTGGAAGGACTGAAAGCTGGGAGACGAAGCTTGATCCAGGGACTCGAAAAGAAAGGAGCTGGTTCGAACAGGCTTCATCTCAACGGTCGCTGTGGGACTGCTGAAGCGGTGCATCGTGCCCTTACTTCTCCGCTGGCCAGCTACGAGATCATTGTCGTCGACGATGGCTCAAACGATAACACCCATCAAGTTGCTCTAGAATTTGCACGCACCTCTCCCTCTCCTTCAGCAATTCGTGTTGTAAGGCTGGTTAAGAACAGAGGCAAAGGTGGAGCAGTTCGTCATGGAGTCCTTCATTCACGCGGTCACGTGATCCTGTTCGCTGATGCCGACGGAGCAACTTCCTTTTCCGACCTCACTAAGCTTTCTCTCACTCTTTCCCATGTTCTTACACCTGCTGGTCACGGTGTTGCGGTGGGCAGCCGCGCGCATATGGTCAAGAGTGACGCTGTTGTGAAGAGGAGCTTTATTCGAAATTTCCTCATGCATTCATTTCACATCTTTCTTACTCTCCTTCTCCGGCCACCTACCCTTGGAGGCTTGCTAAAGAGAATCTCAGGAGGAAAGGGGAAGACGAAGGAGAACTGCAGCGGAAAGAAAGGAGAAAAGCGAGTAGCTCTCCCCGTCCAACCAGAGATCAAAGACACCCAGTGCGGATTCAAACTGTTTACTCGCCCAACTGCTAGACTTGTATTCCCAACAAGTCATATCGACGGGTGGATTTTCGACGTTGAACTCCTCATCCTCGCCCAAACCTCTTCGCAGCTGGCACTGCAACAACACATCCCACCCTCACCCATGCCCGAACAAAGTGAAGGCTTTGGTAAGCAACAAGGAGAACAGAAGGAAGAGCAAGAGGAGGAAGAGTGGATGAAGTTGAAAAGGTTGCCGATCCCAATAGCTGAAGTGGCGGTACACTGGCAGGAAGTGGGTGGAAGTAAGATCGATCTGGTCAGAGATAGTATTAGGATGGCGATGGATTTGGTTGTTATTAGGGCCAATTATGGGATGGGTCGATGGAAGGGTCCTCCGCCCGCTCTCTAGATTTTGGTTCAGTGCTGGAGATGGAGATGTGTTCGCAATCAAAGACGTTCTTCATGTCTCCAAGCAAGATGAGGCTGTTGGTGTCTGATCGGATACAGCTTGTGTTGAGATTGCTTCTGCTACAGTGTCAATGACCTGACGTGATCTCACGAGATGTCGACCTTGAAGACAGATGCCGGCAGTGGCTCCGTCCGCGGAGTTCTCCATTAGCGTCGAGCTAAATTCGGCTTCAACTTCATTTGTCCTCCGGTAGCCGATGGAATTGTCGGCAAGATGTTGCTCCGTCTGCGTACGGAGCTTCTGAGTGAGACTGAGTCGAACGTGTCTTCGACTTCGACTTGCGTTCGTTTCCGACAGCCGAAAGAGATAATTGATGCTGGAACCCAAATTTGACGTGAGGCTCGTCTCGCTTGCAATGTTCGCGAGCTCCTTTCGGAATGGGGTCTGGGCGAGGTTCTCAAATATGACCTTTGCCTTCTCCGCGAAACGATGCCAGTTGTCCCGACGACAGTATTCAAACCCAAAGCCGAACTAAGACTCAGAGCAGAGGCAAGCGACACACCACACGCATACGTGCTCAAAGAGGTTTGTTTGAATCTTGTTCGACTGTAATACAATATGTACATTCTTCCTTCGACAATACGATCAAGCCAAGGCACCGAGAGGATCATAGGGAGGCAACCTGATCGTCTCCTCACCAACTCCTTTCTTGAACAGTGCCCACAGATGCTTGGGAACAAACTCCTTACTAACCACGACCTGGTAGTTGAACTCTTCGAACCACTTGTCACTCATAACCATGAAACCCTTCCCATTACCCACGCCCTCCTCACCCCAGCTGTTCTCCACTCGGTATCTCTCCACCTTTCCTGTCTTGTCGTCGATGTGCACCGCTGTGATGACCATTGCATGCGTCATCGAAGACTCACCGAGCTCGATGCGCTGAGCTTTGGTTAGGCCGAGGGAAATGTTGAATGCCTCGCTGTATCCCAAAAGGTCTTGGTTCATAATACCGCTTTCTTTGTGCGAAAACTGACCCACGTCGCAGCCGAAGAAAACAGGATGACCAGCCTTAATCGACTTGACCACAGCTTGACGCATAACATTCACAGTGGTGTTGACGTAGCTGATGGGTGTGCCTTCCCAAACATTACCCAATCGGTCAACGGTAATGAGCTGGTTGGGGGGATGACGGGGGTCGTGAATCAACGAACAGCGATTTTGGTGGTCAAAAGTACCTGTGTATTCCTCTAGGAACTTCTTGGGTGTGCTGCGGATGGAGATGAACTTTCCATCCCTGTTTCTGTAGTTATACGTGAATTTGGTATCCGGCTGAGGAGGAGTACCAAGAGAGATAACAAGGAGTCGGTAGACCTCTGCCATTTGTTCATCTTTCCTCGCCCGCTGGGCTTGTCGGACTGTTTGAGCGATTTCTTCGCTGCTAGCTTGTTTGCCTTCGCGTGCGTAGAGACTGACGAGTCTGCTGGCGACCTTATCCTTGATCTGTCGCAACTCAAGCGTGTACTCGCGCAACTTCACAGTGACGAGCCAGTTGATCTCCCTAGAGTAGCTCGAGTTGTAACTCTCAGGGAAAACGCTCTTAGGCACAATACCATATTTCTCGAGCAAGTTGGCAACCATATCCCACTGCCCGCCATCGTTGGTAGGTGCAGTTTTGAGAAACCCTACAACTCGCTGATCTAACTTTTCATCCGCTAACTCGATCATATTCTCCAAAAAGTAGTTACTTTTCTCCAGCTTGTCGTAGAACGAAAGATAGCTTTGCGAGAGTTCGAACTCGTCCAATCCGAGAACCTTGGCAGATTGATGTCGGATGACATTGCATGTAGCAAAGAGCCAGCATCGGCCGGAGGAACGCTGGTTTACCACAGGCTTCACCTCGTAAGGAATGGCATGGGAGAAAATATATGCGCAGGAGACTTCGACGTCTCGGCGGTGAAGCGAGGCGGAGATGGAGGCGTTGTGGAGTGTCATCTGTGCCAGACGGGATGCTGTGCTGGATAAAGCAGAGTTCTGCCATTGAGGAAGGGAGGATAGTGAGATTCCGGCTTTGCGTTCAACGGCAGTGGACTTGGGGGAACGACTGAGAGTTTCGGCTTGGATACGAGCAAGACGGTCAGCTGCATGGTGGTTGATCGTTCCATTGCTGCTAGAGGCGTGAGTGGTGGATCGGTCGAGGTTGATGGTGTACTTGGCTTTCTCGTTGTACTGCTCGGAGGAGGAGGCGTACGTGTCTGCCTTGTCGGCGATGGGTTTTGATGCGTAGGAGCCCATGTTGACTGGTTTAGGTTTGCAAGTGTTGCTGAGGAGTATGTGTCTAGGTGGATGGGATACCCGACGGTAATGGAGAAGAGGAGAGGAGGGTGGTGCACCGGCTTTGTATTTGTACCACCAACCGTGCGCTTACTGATTGGGGGGTGGAGCCTAGTCACGCTTTGTGCCACACAGATAAGGACGAAGGAAATGCGGGGAACAGCACCTTGCTTACAGCTCTCGCTCTCTATCAGACACGCAACTCAGCTCACGCTGGCACAATACAGTAATGACGCCCTAACTTAACTCGCCGGTGAACAGAACGGCACATTCACACAGCGAAAGCCGAAGCGGAGGCACAAGCACTGGTCAGCCGAGGACAGCACAGCTTCAATCCGCAGATGTTGTTGAGCCATGTACCTTTGCAGTGACGGCTGATAAGAGTCCGCTAGAACTACAGGGAAACTATGCCGATGCCTATCGCGGCGGTCGATTCGGTTCGGGCCTATGTGATGTATATCCGAATGAGTGAAGTTGGCCAAGTATGTGAGATCGAAATAGAGCTCACATACTTTCACTATATATACCTTAACACCGTCACTGACAACGTCGAGTCGCCTTCAGGTGAGTCGAGTATCCCTCCTACTTAGCAAATTCTACAACCGTCTGACCAGCGGCAACCATTTCATAACCGTTGCCATGACAACGCACAGCTTGGCGCACTTCATGTGCCGTCGTATGCTCCCAAACTTGGCTTTCATCTCGGTCGCGCCAACATCGCGTTTAATTTGGGTCTCCTGGTCCCGAATATTCTGACTTACCGTATTAGACTCTGGAAATTCCGACGTATCTTCAACTCAGCTTCCACAGCAAGGGAGAGGCGGTTTTCATGAGCTGGAGCCAACACACTGATGAGATGGTGGCTAGGCTAACGACGAGGCATCCTTGCAACCAACCCACAAGGAGACACGCTCGGATGAAAAAGTGCTGAGGTGCTTCAGCGTTGTGTGACGTGGCAACCAAAGCTGACGAAGAGCGTATCTCCTTGTTAATGTTGGTGAGTCGCAAAGAACAAAGATCCATTCTTAGAAGCTCAGGGGCAGTACGGCCCACCGCTTCAAAGCTGAATACGGTCTGTAGAGGCCCGAAGGTCAAGTATGTATAGAGCGGGGCATGGCACACTGTCTTCCTCCCAAGCTTCACATATCCAAACCCTCCTACCATCTTACTCAAGTTCTATCATCATGATCGGCTTCAAGTAAGTCTCAATCTCCCTGCTTCTACTCAGCGCAGTCCACGCCGCACTCCAGCGCCCCTGTATTAAATCCAAAGTAGACGCACTTGAAGGGTACGGGCACGGCGACGCCACCATCTGCTATTCTGGTCACAACTCTATACTCAAAAACGACAAGTTCACGGACAAGAGCAAGGGCATGTTCGGCTATCTTCATCACTACAAATGTAACGGCGCTGACGTCCACTGTTTCTGGATAAAGGCTCCCAACCAATGGAGAGGGTATGCTGGCATGGACTATGAGAACATGGCTATGTGGTCGTCCCTCAGATGCAAATTTGATAAGGACAGTGTTACACTTACCTGCGAGTGATCGCTTGTTCGCCAGACCTTCCCATCCAATCCTTGCAATACACATGTTCACCAATCGTCAATCGAAGCCATCCCCGAGAAAGTTGTGCCTGAAAGAATGCAATGTGTTGAATAGATGCGAATTATGTACAATACAGATAGAGTTGCCGTTGAGGGAAATGTCAGTTGCTGCTGCAAGTCTTACGACAGCAAACGAGTAAGAATGTTAGCATTTGTCTTGGAAATACGATCGTAGATCTCACGAACGTCATTCTCGGACACGCCCGAGATATCTGCCATCAAGTAAGCCACATCCTTATGCGAATCCGAATGCTGCTTGTCGACGTTGAACGATCCCAAGATCTCGTTGACTGCACGCAACGAGCCAGGCTGGTTCTGATGGACGTAGCAGATACGAATGACTCTGGAGTCGGCTTCGGTAATTGCACGCAGATCGACTTCTGGGAAGTTGACTGCACCGATCGAGCCACCGACATTGATGTATCGGATCAAAGCGTCGGAAACTTCGATACCGATCATGCGTTGTGCTTCTTCGGTGGAGCCGCCAATGTGAGGGGTGAGCATGACGTTGGGGAGTTGGTAGAGTTCCGAAGCCCAGCTGTTGAGTTCGTTGGAGAAGGTGCCAGGTCCAGAAGCGGCGGGTTCTTTGGGGAAGACATCGACGGCTGCGCCAGCGAGGTGACCAGATTTGAGACCTTCGACGAGAGCAGGGATGTCGACGACGCTTCCTCGTGCATTGTTGATGAGGTAGGAGCCCTTCTTCATCGCCTTGATCTGCTCGGCGCGGATCATGTTCTTGGTCTCGGCAAGCTCGGGGACGTGCAACGAGACAAAGTCGGCGGATCCGAGAAGCTCGTTGAGAGTGGGCACTTGCCTGGCGGAACCGAGAGGCATGAGAGGAACGACATCGTAGTAAATGACGTGCATACCCATTGCCTCGGCAAGGACGGAAAGTTGCGATCCGATGTGTCCATATCCCACAATACCAAGAACCTTGCCTCGCACCTCGTAGCATCCCTTGGAGACCTTGTTCCAGGTTCCAGCACGCATTTCGTTGACACGGTCACAAAGTTGACGCGAAAGGCTGATCATCTCACCGATGACCAACTCAGCAACCGAGCGCGAGTTGGCGAAGGGAGAGTTGAAAACAGCAACACCGGCCTTGGCAGCAGCTTCGAGGTCGACCTGGTTGGTACCGATACAGAAGCAACCGACAACGAGCAACTTGTGAGCGGCGCGGAAGACTTTGTCTGTGAGCTTGGTCTTGCTGCGAATACCGATGGCGTGATATTGTCCAATGTTCTGGATGAGCTCCTCTTCGCTCCAAGCCTTTGTGTTGAAGTCGACCTGATATCCTTGCTCTTTGAGCATCTTGACAGCACCCTGGGAGACGTTTTCGAGCAAGAGAATCTTGATGTCACCCGTGTCAAAGGGAGTCAAGAGACGCGGTGCCGAGAGAGGCACAGACTGTGAAGCAGCACGAGCGCGAGTGGGCGAGAACGAAGTGGAAGGCGAAGTGGAGGGGTGGATAGCACTGCCATTGGCGAGCAGCTGAGCAGCTTGTTGTGCTGCCATCATAGCAGAGAAAGAGCCGGCGTTGGCGGGCGGCGAGAAGCCAGCGCGGTGGAAAGCTTGTCCATGTGTTTCAGTCATTTTTCTGTGTGAGGCAGATCCTTGGAGGCGAAAAAGGAAGTCCGGGTTTGTTGAGATGATGGTGAGAGGAAAGGAGGAGAAGGTGTCGAAAGCGCAGCGAGTGTTGTATGCGGACTTTAGCTGCACAGGGTCACAAACAGACAGTCGGATGTGCCTGCGCTCGAGCCTTTGTTCACACTCTGATTTATTCCAGCATCACTGACTATTCAATCAATCACACTTGATACAGTAGTACCGGTTCTCTCACACGCCCCGCTTGACCGTTCGTTGCTCAGGTTGCGTGCGACTCTGATCAATTCTTCAAAACCTGCAAAAAGAAAAAAGAAAAAAGAAAAAAGAAAAAAGAAAAAAGAAAAAAGAAAAAAGAAAAAAGAAAAAAGAAATAATACAGTCGCATCCAAAATTGCCCAGCATCTTTTAGGATAATTAAATGCTCATCACCACACATCAACTTCACTTCTCAAGAGCTGGTATCCTCAATTAAGTGTAGCTTGTGACATATTGTTGGAAAGCTGAGATTGAGAGCTACAAGTACACATAAGTTTTGTTGTGATTAGACCACATTTGTGCACAGTGAAAGTGCCACAACTTTTTTTGAGTGTAAAGCTCCTCCTAAATTACTATAAACTATACTTTAGTATTTTGTATGGCCCCCTTTTGCAACCCTTACAGCCTGTAACCTCCTTGGCATCAACTTTATGAGTGCCTGGACTGATTCCTTGGGAAAAGTTGCCCAAAACCTGTTGATAGCTGCAATAAGTTGAGCTTTGTTCTTGATAGTATATCTTTGCTGATATAGCTGCTTTTTCAGCTGCTGCCACACATGTTCTATAGGATTCAGGTCTGGAGACATTGCAGGCCAGGGCAATACATTGATTTTGACCCCCTCCAGGTACTCCTTGGTGACTTTGGCAGTGTGAGGGCAGGCATTGTCTTGCTGAAAGATCACTTTATCCCTTGGTAGAATTCTCTGTATATTCTTCCACTTCAAGATGCTACCAGGCACTGCTTCCTCCAGCAACTCAATGCAATGCTCCAAATTCAGTTTTCCATCTATATAAACCATTAGACCTAGGCCTTCTGTCAGAGGTTGCATGCCTGAAACCCGAAATCTGTAGTAAAAAGACAACTACTACTGATCTTAGTAAGATCCATGGTAAAGGCCCTTTATTATTATTCTTGCTGAAATCTGTTGTAGAAGCCTTCTATGACTTTTCTCACTCAAATATGTGGTAGCTTGAAGGTTATTGCAGGTTTTGACTGACCACTGGGGACACTCTGTCCAGAGGTAGCTTGGCACAATCAATAACAATGTGAACTTGTACTGACACCAAGGTCTGGTGTGAATATGATTGCTGGTGGCATCAACACAAGTGTCCAGTGTGTTGACTGAGTGCTTGAGGTGATCCCCAGACTGCAGTGGATGACTGCCTTCAGTTCTATCTTTATCCAGACTGCTGGTTTGCTATGAACTGCCTTTGGACATCAGTGAGCAGTGATACAACACATGCACTACAATGGAAGCAATCTACTTGATTGTGACTATACTGACTGAAACTAATATATACTTATGCTGAAGTGATAACTAGTTATGTATGGTGTAGAGTGGATGAGCATCCACTCATCCACCTATGGTGAGAAGGTATGCTTATATACATCTTTTGCAGTGTCACCTGCAACACTGCTCTGGCTCTCTCTCCAGAGAGTACCCTCTTCGTCGAGTGCTATATAGGGGTCCCTGTAGCACCACTCCTGTCCTTCTTGAGCAGTGTGTCGACCTCCTTGACACAGCTCTTCCTCCTCATGAACTATATGCCAGTGTCAGTGACACAGCTCTCCTTCCTCTTAACCAGCAACTGTTCTCTTGACTCCTATCTTGTGAACCCCTGAGTGGTAACTGTCTGCATGCTTCTGAGCTTGGTTCCCTTCTTGGCAACACTTGGTCCTCCTTTGCATGTGAAGTCCACCATACAACCATCTTTGCCACTGATCTCCACAGAATCTGCCATACGATCATGCTTACTGTGGATTCTGGTGGGATTCATGATATCAACTTCACTCATGCTGATCTAGGTGAGATCTGTAATAGTGCTGTCTCTACCACAGATCTCAGTGAACTCTGCTGCAAATCCTATGATCAGCCCGATTCCTAGATTCCTGCGTGTCAGGGGTCTCGCGCCTGAAACCCAGGTCGGTCTGTCGAGATACATGGTGACTATCAAACTGTGCGACAGCTATTGTCTTGGTATCTGTCTCAACGAGCTAGTTGTTTGGCGACTATCAAGTTGCACAGTGACAGCGGGTGGCATTCATTGTATATACTATTGTAGGTTTCAGCTGACCTCTGTGGACACTCCATTCAGGGGTAGCTTGGCACAATCAATATCAATGCATAGGTTATGATGACACCAAGGTCTGATGTGAGTGTTGATGATGATGAGGTTGATGGTGTTGGTGATAAGGTTGGTGGCATCAACATGAGTGTCCAGTGTGTTGACTGATGCTTGAGGTGATCTCCGGACCACAGTGGACTACTGCCTTCGGATCTATCTATATCTGGACCGCTAACCTGCTATGGGCACCTTCAGATGTCAGGTAGTGGTGATACAACACACACACTATGATGAGGAGCAACCTTGATAGATTGCTGCTATGCTGACTGAAAACTAATGAGTACTTATGTTTCTAAAGTATTGACTAGTTGTATGGTGAGTGTAGAGTGGATGAGGATCCACTTGACCTTTGATGATGAGAAAGCATGGTTATATACCTCTTCACAGCATCGCCAGCGATGCTGTTCCTGCTCTCTCTCCAGAGAGTACCTTCTTCATCGAGTACTGCTCAGGGGCCTCTCCTGCTTGCTTGGCACCCCTGTGCCTCTTGAGCTGTGTCGACTCCTTCGACACTGCTCCTCCTCCTTGCTATCCTGCTGCTTGTTTGGCACCCTTGTGCCTCCTGAGTGGTGTCAACTCCTTTGACTCTTGTCTCTCAAGCCCCTGAGTGGTAACCATCTGCATGCTCCTTGGGCTTGGTCCTCTTCATGGCTGTGCCTGCTCCTTGAGCTTGGTCCTCCTCGTGGCTGTGCCTGGCCCTCCTCGCATATGGCTCGGTCCTCCTTTGCATGTGAGTCTGTAGGAGTCCATGGTCTCCATGGAGACTGCACTATGACCATGCTCTCTACTGGTATCAACTAGGTCCCTTCGATACCTGTGCTCCTTCCATATGAATCAGTGACCCTCCTGCTTCTTGAGCATCCAGGTCCATGACACTACCCCCCTCTTAAGAGCTGAGCTCCGTTGAGGCATGCTCTGGTCTGGTTCATGCTGACTCCTCCTCCTCCTCGACAACATCGCCAACATCACCCTTCCTCCTTCTCTCAACATCATTCTCCTTCCTCCTTCTCTCTCTATTCCTCCTGTTCTCTCCTCCTCCCTCTACTTTGTCTACTCGCTTGTCCCCCCTCCGACACCTCATACTCCTGGATGAGGTCGGGGCAGTTGAGGTTCTCTACTGGTTCCCATGAAGCAGCTTCTTCTGAGTACCCTCTCCACAACACTTTGTACTTGGTAGTCCCATGGTGTGAATGCTTGTCGATGAGTGCTTTGACTTCGAAATCAAGGTCCTCATCTGGAAGTGATGGTATGGTGGGCTGTTCAGCTCATTGAGGAAGAGAACTTGTTCTTGCTGGTTTGAGCATGGAGATGTGGAACACATCATGCACCCTAAGGTTTGCTGGCAATGTGATCCGATAAGCTCAGCATCCTACTCGTTCCTGAACTGGGTAGGGTCCTGCAAACCAAGTATCTAACTTGGGTGTGGGTCTCCTTGTCTTCCAGTTTCAATGGTTGATATAGACCATATCACCCACCTTGAACTCAATGTCCTTGTGCTTCCTGTTATACTGGTCTACTGATCTATGTTGTGCCTCTCTGATCTGCTCCTGGAGGTACTTGCAATGCTCCTTTCCATCCATGAGGTACTTGAAGCGACCTGGATCATTGACTCCTAGTTGTTGAGGGATGTCAGGATGGGCTTTGGGGTTCCATCCATAGCATGCAAAGAATGGTGAGACACCAATGCTGTTGTGGACCATGTTGTTGTATACAAAGGCTGCAGTGTCCAGCAGGTTGGCCCAGTCATTCTGCTCATAGTTGCAGTACATCCTTAGGTACTGTTCTATGACCTGATTGACCCTCTCTGTCTGACCATCAGTTTGAGGATGGTAAGCCATGCTAAGTGAGTGCTTCACACCCATTTGCTCTGTGAATGCCTTCCATGCTCCTGATATGAACTGCCTGCCTCAGTCTGAGACCATGTGATCTGGGTATCCAAAGAGTCTAACCATGTGTCTGTATAGCAACACTGCAGTCTGTTTGGCCGTGACTGTCTTATGGGTTGGAGCTAGTATGGCAAACTTGGTTAACCTGTTGACAATGACTAAGATAGAGTCATAGGTCTTGGGGTCATACTTCTTCAATGGTGGTAGTCCTTTGATGAAGTCGAGGGATATGGAGCCCCAAGGCCTGTCTGGTGTTGCTAATGGCTGTAGCAAACCATATGGATGGTGATGAGGAGCTTTGTACCTAGCACATACAGGGCAACTTGCTACATAGTCTGCAATCCAAGCTGTCATGTTTGGCCACCAGTAATGTCATTGGGCTGCCTTGATGGTAGCATCTCTTCCTACATGTCCAGCAGTGATACCATCATGGCATTGGGTCATCACCATGAATCGCAGATGCTCTACAGAGAGAGACTGTCCATCTACCTCTTTAGCACTCCTTGAGTGTCGGTTGTTGGTCCTCCCTGGCATGATCACTTTGGGGATAACCAACCTTCCTCCACTGTACCATAGGTTGTCCTTGACCCCGAAGGGCTTCTTTGTATGTATCTCCTGTAGCTCTTGGTCTAAGGGCTGGAAGATCTTGACCAGGTCTCTGAGACCCTTTGATGCTATGGACTCCATCGAGAGCATAGGGGCCACTAGGGTCGAGTCATGGTCTGCTGTCTCCTTGAACACTCGAGGAGGCAGTAGTTGCCTCACATTGTGATCCTGCTCTTCACCAGCTGGTTGCATGTCAGTCCTTCTGGTGAGAGCATCGGGCTCTCCACCTTTGTCTCCTGGTCGATACTGCAGTATGAAGTCGAAGTCTGCTAGCAGTATTGCCCATCGAGCCTGTTGACCTGTGATGCGTCTTTGGGACTTGAAGTACTTGAGGGCTTCATGGTCGGTGAGGATGACCAGTTGACTTGGTAGTCCAGCTAGCATGTGTCGCCACTGAGTAAGGCAAGCGACCACAGCTAGGAGCTCCTTGTCATGGATCTCATAGTTCTTCTCAGCAGAGGACATCTTCCTAGAGTAGAAGGCCACTGGGTGCCATCAACCCTCATGCTCCTGCTTGAGTACTCCTGCTATAGCAAAGTCACTTGCATCAGTCTCCAACCTTGTTGAAAGGTGGTAGTCGAAGTGCTGAAGCACTCCTGCTGATGTGAATGCCTGGATGAGCATGTGGAAGGCCTGCTGGGCCTCCTCTGATAGCTCAAACTTCTTGAACCATTCTGTAGGCTTTACCAGTGATGTCAAGGGCTTGGCTATGCGAGCAAAGTGGGCTATGAACCTTCAATAGAAGTTGGCAAAACCCAGGAACCTTTGGATGTCATGGATTGACTCTGGCATTGGCCACTCCTTGACAGTGCACACCTTTCCAGATCTATGCCCATCGGCTTGATGATGTACCCCAGGAACTCGACTATCTTGGTGTGGAACTCACACTTCGACAGCTTAGCAAAGAGCCTGTTGCTCCTTAAGTGAGTGAGGACCTCAGTGACATGCTTCACATGTGCCTCTTCAGTGTCACTGAAGATCAGGAAGTCATCTAGGTATACCACTACATATACTCCAATGATGTCTCAGAAGATGTCATTGATGAATGACTGGAAGTGAGCTGGAGCATTAGCTAGGCCAAAAGGCATCACTAGGTACTCATAGAGTCCCAACTGCATGCCAAAAGCTGTCTTCCATTCATCTCCTTTAGCAATCCAGATGAGGTTGTATGCTGCTCTAAGGTCTAGCTTGGTATAGATCCTTGCCTTCCTGAGTAGGAACAGCTGCTCCTCGATGAGGGGCAGTGGTGCCCTGTTCTTGACAGTGATCTCGTTGAGACCTCAGTAGTCCACACAGAGTCTGAGACCTCCATCCTTCTTTGGTACAAAGAGCACTGGTGATTGTGCTGGGCTCTTCGATGGTCTTATGAACCCCTTCTCGAGGTTCTCATCCAAGTACCTCCTCAACTCAGACATCTCCTTGGGTCCCTTAAGGTACAGGGGCCCTTGAGGTGGCTTACCTCCTTCTATCAACTTGAGGTGGAGATCATGCTTGGTATGATGGGGCAGCTTGTCTGCTTCCACCTCATCGAACACATCTCGCAGGTGTTGGTATGGCTTTGGTATGTCTGCAGCTGTCACCACCTTGTCCACCTCTACCTCCATCTCTACTCCTTTGTCTGCGCCTGTAGGTACAAAACCAAAGGCCAGGAGTGATGATGGTGGCTCCTCCAACAGCATGAACCCTATGGGTCCATCTTCCAGAGCTGCTTGTAGTATGTGCTCTGCTGAGACAAACTCGTTTCCATGAAGGGTCAGTCTCCACATGGTTAGGTCCCCTGCTCCTGCTGCTTCAGGGGGTCTCCTTGGGGATCAGTCCTGCTCCTGAGTCTTGAACTCCAGCTGGCCCATATCCCATTGTATAGTGGGTTTGAGCCTCTGTAGCTTGGTGAACCCCAGGATGAGGTCATAGTCAGCAGTGTCGGCCACTGAAGCTTTGACCACACCCAGATTGTGTGTACCAATAGATACCTGCATGCTCGCAGAACTATTGATGGAGAGTTGGTGTCCAGTGACACCATGGATTGATCTTGTTTTTATGGGTTTTGTGGGTATTTGGTACTTACTGATGAAAGAATCTGAGACTATGGACAAACCAGCACCAGTATCAGCCAGTATACGAGCAGGATGGTCTTGAACCATTCCAGAGAGCTCCAGTACTGCTTTGCCTCCACTGGTAGAGAAACATACTTGACAATCTTGATATATACAGAGTGATGGTGAGGAGGTTTGTAGAGCAATGCATGCCATCAGTGCATCACCCCACTGACGTTTCCCTCGTCATCACCATTATCATGCTCCTCCTCCTCATGATCAGGGTCCATGGATTGCTGGTATGAGCTGAGGTCCATGGCCTCAGGGTCACCCATCTCGGTGCTGCCGGTGTGGCCATCTCCTGAGTTGGTGGCTTCCTCGAAGGGGTCTGTTGTGGTGACCATGACCTTTGGACCCATGGGTCGAGAGCTAAGAGAATCTATCTGTTACGGGATCGGGAATCAGGTAACCAAACCGAACATAGTGAGCAGTAAAACCACTACACCAGCTAGACCCTTAGCTGGTGTACCTGATTCACACAACACTGAAGTATAAGCATTTTCACTCCCAAATGCTCCAGACTCGGAGAACGGAATTCCTATTCCGGTGACACTATCCTCCTGCTGGGGCAGTCTCTGGCCCAATGGCCGATACCCTTGCATACATGACAGGTGTTGGTACCTGATGGAGCAGGGCTTCCTTGCTTCGAGGTTTGGGTAGGTTGATGAGGAAGGGGTCGATTAGTGTCATGGGCCTAAATGCTCAGGAAGCAGGAGGGTCACTGGTTCATATGGAAGGAGCACAGGTATCGAAGATCTAGTCGATACCAGTAGAGAGCATGGTCATAGTGCAGTCTCCATGGAGACCATGGACTCCTACAGACTCACATGCAAAGGAGGACCGAGCCATATGCGAGGAGGGCCAGGCACAGCCATGAGGAGGACCAAGCTCAAGGAGCAGGCACAGCCACGAAGAGGACCAAGCTCAAGGAGCAGGCACAGCCACGAAGAGGACCAAGCTCAGATGGTTACCACTCAGGGGCTCGAGAGACAAGTGTCGAAGGAGTCGACACCAGGTCATGAGGAGGAGGAGCAGTGTCGAAGGAGTCGACACAGCTCAAGAGGCACAGGGGTGCCAAGCAGGAGAGGCCCCTGAGCAGTACTCGATGAAGAAGGTACTCTCTGGAGAGAGAGCAGGAGCAGCATCGCTGGCGATGCTGTGAAGAGGTATATAACCATGCTTTCTCATCATCAAAGGTCGAGTGGATCCTCATCCACTCTACACTCACCATACAACTAGTCAATACTTTAGAAACATAAGTACTCATTAGTTTTCAGTCAGCATAGCAGCAATCTATCAAGGTTGCTCCTCATCGTAGTGTGTGTGTTGTATCACCACTACCTGACATCCGAAGGCGCCCATAGCAGGTTAGCGGTCCGGATATAAATAGAACCAAAGGCAGTAGTCCACTGTGGTCCAGGGATCACCTCAAGCATCAGTCAACACACTGGACACTCGTGTTGACACCACCAACCTCATCACCAACACCATCAACATCATCATCATTGACATTCACCAACCTTATCACCAACACCATCAACCTCATCATCATCAACACTCACACCAGACCTTGGTGTCATCATAATCTACACATTGATATCGATTGTGCCAAGCTACCCCTGAACGGAGTGTCCACAGAGGTCAGCCGAAACCTACAATAGTATATACATGAACGCCACCCATCGCGCAACTTGATAGTCACCAAATGACTAGCTCGCCGAGACAGATACCGAGACAATAGCTGTTGCACAGTTTGATAGTCACTGAGTATCTCGACAGACCGACCTGGGTTTCAGGCGCGAGACCCCTGACACCCAGTTCTTAGTGGAGGTGACGTGGCATTTGGGAGTGAGTGTCTAGCCGAGGACTGCTGTAGTAGCATCCTCTGTCAATCGATCTCCTCAACCTCTCGGTACCACTCCCATCTCTTCCCAGGTGGGTTCCTCTCGAACTTCTCCTGTATGCTGCAAGTGAGACTTCCTCTGAAGAGATCAATCACTAGCTCATTGTCATCTAGGTTGACCTGTCCCTCCAAGTCTCTGAACCACTCTACATGACATGTGGTGGCACCAGGAGCATCACTTGTGAGTCTGAGAGCCAACAGCTTGTTGTATGCCTCCATCCTAGCATTGTGTGGGTTGAACTGCTCTGACAGTTGCTCTGTGAAGTAGTGCCAATCATTGAACAACCTTCCTTCTCTAGCTCTATCAATATGGAGCTTGGAGGTCCACCACTCTCATGCAGTCCCTTCCAGTTGAGCACCCATGTGATTGATCATCCTAGACTGCTCATACACCTGGTTGAACTTAAACCATGCTTCAGCTTCTAGAATGAAGATCTCCACATCTCGGGGATTGAACTTTGGAAAGGGGGTGGCAATGGGCTTTGACCAGTTAAGCTCTGCCATGATGCTAGAGTCCTCCTCCTGATCAAGAGCATAGTGTTCTGTCCTGCTCTTGTTGTATGGATCCACCCTGGACTTGACATATCTTGGCCCAGTGGGCGAAGCATACTTCTCGTAGTTGGCATCATCCTGCTCATCCAGGTTGACAAATGAGACTGATCGTCTTGGTTGGGGAGCCGGAGTAGGAGTATGTGGGTCTCCTATCATAGACTCATCTCCTCCTCCTGCTTGTTCCTCTGAGTGGGAGAGGTCAATCATCTCCTCCCTGCTCAGATGAGCTCGTTGTAATCATTCCTCTCGTTGTCCTTGCCTGGTAAGCTCTAGCTGGGCTTCCAATAGAGTGAGTAGTCTATCGAGCTTATTGTTGAGGTCTGGATCCATCATGGTGATCATGAGGAGCTGCTTGAATGATCCACTCTAATGTCAGGGGTCTCACGCCTGAAACCCAGGTCGGTCTGTCGAGATACATGGTGACTATCAAACTGTGCGACAGCTATTGTCTTGGTATCTGTCTCAACGAGCTAGTTGTTTGGCGACTATCAAGTTGCGCAGTGACAGCGGGTGGCATTCATTGTATATACTATTGTAGGTTTCAGCTGACCTCTGTGGACACTCTGTTCAGGGGTAGCTCAGCACAATCAATATCAATGCGTAGGTTATGATGACACCAAGGTCTGGTGTGAGTGTTGATGATGATGAGGTTGATGGTGTTGGTGATAAGGTTGGTGGCATCAACATGAGTGTCCAGTGTGTTGACTGATGCTTGAGGTGATCTCCGGACCACAGTGGACTACTGCCTTCGGATCTATCTATATCCGGACCGCTAACCTGCTATGGGCACCTTCGGATGTCAGGTAGTGGTGATACAACACACACACTACGATGAGGAGCAACCTTGATAGATTGCTGCTATGCTGACTGAAAACTAATGAGTACTTATGTTTCTAAAGTATTGACTAGTTGTATGGTGAGTGTAGAGTGGATGAGGATCCACTCGACCTTTGATGATGAGAAAGCATGGTTATATACCTCTTCACAGCATCGCCAGCGATGCTGTTCCTGCTCTCTCTCCAGAGAGTACCTTCTTCATCGAGTACTGCTCAGGGGCCTCTCCTGCTTGCTTGGCACCCCTGTGCCTCTTGAGCTGTGTCGACTCCTTCGACACTGCTCCTCCTCCTTGCTATCCTGCTGCTTGTTTGGCACCCTTGTGCCTCCTGAGTGGTGTCAACTCCTTTGACTCTTGTCTCTCGAGCCCCTGAGTGGTAACCATCTGCATGCTCCTTGGGCTTGGTCCTCTTCATGGCTGTGCCTGCTCCTTGAGCTTGGTCCTCCTCATGGCTGTGCCTGGCCCTCCTCGCATATGGCTCGGTCCTCCTTTGCATGTGAGTCTGTAGGAGTCCATGGTCTCCATGGAGACTGCACTATGACCATGCTCTCTACTGTTATCAACTAGATCTTCGATACCTGTGCTCCTTCCATATGAACCAGTGACCCTCCTGCTTCTTGAGCATCCAGGTCCATGACACTTACCATCTGGTCCAAAGAAGTTGATCTTTGTCTCATTGGACCATACCACATTCTTCCAATCCTCAACAGTCATGTCCTTGTGCTCATTAGCAAATTTGTGATGGGCTTTGTAATGTCTTGAGTAGCTTTGGTTTTTTCACTAACCTCCATGCTTTGTAATGACAGTAATGAAGTGCTTTCCTTACTGTGGTTGGGCAAGCTGTGACTTGGAATGTCTCCTGCAGTGCTTGACATGCTTTCCTGACAGTGGAGGTGCAATTGAGCTTGAAATAGTGGTCCAGGAAGTGAACATGACAGGGCTGGAGTTTTTTCAGCCAGCCCCCCTTTGATTTTGGAACATCAGTTGGGGTGCTTTTGCTGATGCAATTCACAGTAGACTTGCTCATACCAAGTTGATCAGCAACTGAATGGGTAGATTCCCCATTTTGGAAGTAAAAGAGTGCAGATCAGCACTTCTCTGGGGTGGTTTTCAGCATGATGGTATAGATATGATGGTGTCAGACTGGAAGTGCTGCTGGATCACTCACAATCATCTGATTGAGCTGAAACTTCCCACATCACTACTTTTGATGTATATGAAGGCTCCCACCAAGCTACATTGCAAGTTTCATTGTAGTCAAAAGCCCACAAGGTCAGGAATGGAGTGGTGTTGCTATTTGGCAGCATGCTCCATAATCTGTCCCACAATAAAAAAATTCTCAGCTCTTGTTCAAAGCATGATTTTCTCAGGCAATGTCAATATCAATTACACAGTCTTGGTGAAAAGAAGCAAAGCTTTCAGATGATATCAGACAGTATGGCAATACAATATATGGCTATTGAGCATTGGAGTGATGTGTGGTGACATGTAAAATCATGGGACAGTTTACACACAAGCTGTATATACAAATGTGTGGCACATGCCAAAAGTGGGAGCACTCCTACTTCATGATCCATCTTGACAATGAGCAGGACTGTGTTGTACCTGATCTCCATGTAGATCTTCTCCTCTGTGTCCTGATTACTTTTATGTCAGCATGTATCATCATATTGGAATGTTTCCCTAGGCAATTTCTTCAGTCAATTAAGTATATATGTTTCTGTCTAAAACAGCAGTGACATCGTACTCAGACTCTCCCCAATCACCAGTTATCGGGGCCTAAACTTCAACAACTGTATGCTCAACTTTGAGCGTTCTTGAAGCAAGGAGGAGCTATACACTCTTCCATCGGTATGGTCACAAGGGGCATGTGATGGACCGAGATCTGACAGAGCACGGAAATGATGAACGTTCAAGTCAAGGCAAAGTGACTCGAGGAAATCTTCGCGACTCTCGTGCACGTTGAGTAACTCTTGCGCAATCACGCCTTATTCATCTCTCGCATCGCCGATCTGGCAACCTAATACCAGAGCTATCACGATCAGGGCTCAGGATGTAAGATCGAAAGAAAATCCGCGTCCTGTCAAGTTGTGCCAGAGGGACATGCCGAATGGCTCATCACCGTTACCCATGCTCCTGCTGGTACTTGCAGACGAGACTGTCGATACTGCAAAGACGGGCGAGATTATTTGAAGGAAAGGTGAAGACTGCTTCTGCTCTGGCGGAGGAAGATAAGCATGAAGAAGTGGGACAAAGTACAGAACCGTCATTGAGTCTAGAAGGGATCCGAGCGTTTGCATCATGCAGCAAACAAGTGGGCACGACGCCAGTGCAAAATTTGGTCTGATGTCGAACAATAGCGATAGCGACTGATGATGAGCTTCATGACACCATCTGTTTCTCGTATAAGACCTGTGAGCGCCCGTCTTATCAGAGATCCGCTAGAGAGAGCCTCTTTGCCATCATACAACCACCACCACCACTCCAATTCGTCCTCCGCCATGAGCGCTGTCGCCAGGCTCCTGAAATGGGCTCCTTGCCTATGGGCCATATCTAAGCTTGCCAGCAATTCCGGTCAAGCTCAAAGGGCACAGATCCTGAATCCCCATTCTGGGTCTCACTACCCCTCAATTGGAACATTGGACGTGCTGCATTCGCTCAGCTTTACCGCTCGGACTGTTGTCAAGCATACGCACATTCCCAGGGCATCCCCTGCACTTCGTCGTTCTCAAACTGAAGTTGATAATGTTGCACCACCCGTCGATCGACCACGCCGGAGGTGGTTCACTCTGCGTCTGCCCAGTGCTTTCCGTCATTGGAATCCTCAGGTGTACATCGGCTGGCAATGGGAGTATCCTCCCTATCTACCTGTCAGAGTCGGGATCCATGCAGTCACGAAGACTTCAAAGATCGTTCGTCAAGCTAGAGAAGCCTTCGTCGGGATACCTGTCCCAGTAGAGCTGGAAGTAGCCATTCTCAAGGCCTTGATAAATCCAGCAAGGCGACCAGGAGCAAGAGCCGACGTAGACGTCCGCTTGGTCTGTAAAGCATGGAACCACATCCTTCGCCCCTACTTCTGGCAAAAGAGATGGCTCAATATTAGGCCTGAGAACGCCACCTGGGCTTCCATCGGCGAGCGACTGAATGCACTCATCAGAAACGCTGATGTTATCACCAAAGTCAAGATGAACGCAAGGCTCACCGACATTGAGCCTACTCCCCTAGAACGCGCTCTGCAAAAGTGTCCAGAGCTGGGAGAATTGGCTCTCTGCGAGATCAAAGGAATCAAAGTTGGTCTTTTGGACTCGCTCAATGAGATCCTCTTCAAGCAACTTATGCATCACCACCAGGAAAGAATCACTCATTTCGGATTCCGATTCGATGATACCATCCTATTCCTTGGTAGGCGCTCTCTTTTCGCCGACTCAAATCTCTTTCTGCCGAAAGTACGCAAGATCACCATTGACATCAGTGACACCGTAGAAGCACTGATGCTCGAGGATCGATACGGAAATAGTGCTGGTCCGCTCTCCTCGTTCGTCGCCTCGCTTGCTGACAACGGAGGCAGGAAGAGTCAGAAAACGTTGGAGATTCGACTCTTCTGTCAGCCGAGGCAGTTGCAGATCGAAAATCATCATATCAGGCTGGCTACTCAGATCTTCAATTCGGTCATGAGAGTCCTTGATGAAGCAGCAGGGATCAATCTCGTCTTTTCTTTCAAAGGGCCACTCAGGGCTCAGCAAGCACGCAAGCTTTACGATATTCGCAACTGGGCTGCTGAGAACGGGATCAGTCTGCTTGACATTCGAGGTCATCAAGCAAACCGGATCGTTGGGCAAAGCGGACAAGAAATCGCGAGGGAAGTCGCTTATGCGCAAAACAGATGGTCCCTGTACTAGCTCAATTTCTTCCTTTGACCGTTGTACCGTCATGTGTATCAATCGTAGCTCATAGCCTTTACTTCTGCGTCGAGCAGTGACCCAATACCGTCGATGGATGAACTCGGGATGTTCATCGATAGCATGGAACTTCAGCTCAGAAAAGTCAAAGAACCCACGCAAGTACATGATCCCTTTTCGTCTCCGTGAGCCGGATCGAGCTCCCAGACACCAACGTAGCCGTACGCGTCCAATGATGAAGCGAAGTCAGGGTGGACGATATGAGTCAGCAGGAAACTGCGGGGTCCATGTTGACCTTGCAAAATGACTGCCTTGGCACGAGTGCGATGCCAAAGAATGCGAACAGCCACTTTGTCCATGTCTTCAGAAATGGTCGGTTGCAACTCAACAAGCTTTTGTTCCGAGAGGGGTGCCGAGCCTGCTACTGCTGGGACGTTGCCAGCTATTCTGTTCCTCATACTAGTGATGAGTGCATTGGCTTCGTCACCAGGCTCGATGACTAGAGTGTACCGTGCCGAAACAGGCTTCATGACTTTTATGTGAGGTGCTGGATGTGCAGCCGTCTCTTCATTCGGAGGTCTGGGGGACTGGAAGCACCCGGAAGCTCTATGTTAGGGGCTACGACCTCTTCAGAGCGTTGTGTGTCAAGCATGCACCTCAGCCGGACTCCGGCCTCTGTGGTCGAGCTTAATGTCAGGACGAGTGATCCGATGAGTATGAGCTTCTTGTGCTCCGTAATCGGGTGTAAAGAGCCAGCGGGCATGGGCCAGAGATCCCTCTGCCGCTGTTGTAGCTTGCGGCTGTACGTGCTGGAACATTCCACTCTGATTTGGCAAAGATGGAGCAGAGCCGAGGGAAAAGCCATCCTCAGCAAGAGTAGGGCGATAGTGAAGCTCAGGCGGATAGGTCGGAGGAAAAGCATACGCAGAACGGGCTCTACCGTGCAAGGCCCAACTAGGATGGAGAGGCTGCCATATGCTTGGGTTAATGGAGCGAGAGCTTGTACCGGCATCGGCTAGGAAGCTTGCGCGCCCTGCAAGTTGGTGTGAGCTGCTGGCGGCGAGCGGCGTGAATCGTGATAGTGCTCTCTCGAACTCTTCAAAGGTCTCAGTAGGAGGTAGAGGACTGCCATTCACAAGTAAGACGATAGCTGCTAAGACTAGAGCCAATATCGACTGCTTCCAAGACAAAGTTAGTCGCATTATGATTGAAGAGCTCGAGCTATAGCCAGAACGGTCTTGTTTTATCTTTGGGCCTGAAAAGAGATCAGACAGATCAAGCGACGTCTCGCTGGAACAAGTGAATCTGTCGATCTGTCGACCTTTCATGCTGCCTAGCTCAGCCTCATGCGGCCTGATCGTCTCGGACACAGCACCGTCTTGCCGACGAAACAGTGTTGCTCGCTTCATCAAAGGATGAAGCGATGATACCTTGTACCAACGCTCGATACATCTTTTGTGGACCGTTTGCTAATCGAAGCCGGAATGCATGCCGTCAGATCAAGTCGCGTGATCTGAATGAAGAGATTCGGAGCGTATGCCAGACAACGCCCGAAATAGCCGTCCTGGAGCTTTGCTGGCGAGCTAGGAGCTAGAGAGGTGTGAGTGTTGTCAGATGAAGCGACATAAAAGCCGAAAAGCCAGGCTTGGAAGATTCCTCCTCAGACTGCTACTCGGAACGACGAAGCTGCTCAGAAAGAAGCTGGGGCTTGTTGGAAGATGTGCAAAGTACACAGTAGCGAGCAACAACCAGAAAGGCAGAGAGAAACGAACGGTCCGATCATACCGTGAAAAGATCTCCAAAACCAATGGCGCCGGATGGCTAGCACACCCGCTCGAGGTTGTCACGCACTCAAGTAATCTGCAGAGGACAGATCGGAACCTGAAGAAAAGATTACGATGTATTGCAAGATAAGTTCACCGAACAGTGAAGGTGCTGTAGCTAAAGAACGAGTAGAGGAGACCGGGAATGGTTCCAGGAGTCATTCTGTTCCATTTCTCGCCAGTCATATCGTAGAAGCCGTTCGCAATGAGAAGACGTTTCCCTTGGATGAACGGTCCGAGCTTCCACACTGTCAGAACTGGTCGGGTGTGCTGGTACATCTGCGTGTGCGATAAATCGTGCTGAAACATAAGTCGTTCACCGTCGGGGTGGCGAATAATCTTCACCAGCCTTCGTCGAAGAAGCGTCGGTGACATGTCAACGCTGAGATTGTCGATTTGGTCTTTCGTGAGAGGAATTAGACTAAGTGTATTCGGCCTCTGACCAACGACGGGTTTCCACTTCTGCAGGAAGCCCACTATGTCCGGCGAAACTTGGTAAGCATACAGGTGCAACCCAGCTATGTACTGTCTTCCGGATAGCACCGGCGCGAGCTGACCTGTCGACAGCAGGGTGTCTATCTCCGGTGTCCGTTCCGCTACCGACAGTGCTTGAGAGAGACTTTCGCGCTCACTTTCTCCATATTGCGTCTCTATTCGTTCAAATTTGAGACGGAAGAAGCTCTCTCGATTCCAATGTTTTCGGCGATTCAGCCATACCCGATACCTCTCTGTGTTGGTGCGTGGAGGCTGTGCTACAACATCGAAGTCTTGAACGTCGGAAGGGCAGAATCCATGCAGGAAGAGGCTCCTGAACCCTTCCTGATCTGCTGAACCGACGTGCCACGCACCAAGATAGCCTCCTTCCGGACGGTTTTGCAGGAACTCGGGTCGCACTGAGTAAGTAAGTAAAGAACGGACTCTTTGCGCCCGTCGGAACCCCTTTGGTGATCTGCTTTGCCACCTTAGTACTCCAGAACACAGTGTTGGTCAGTCTTTGAGGATTCCTGGCCATTTTCGCAGCTCCGTCGGTTGAAGTTAATCGTTTTAATCTGGTCTCGTCACCACAGAATGAGAGCGTAGTGAGTCAACGAAACGGTCCACGTTGGGATTGTACTGACGCACGAGCTTGGGAGATGAGCTGCAGAGAGCCTCAAGACCAACGATTGCTTTCTCCTTGGATTGGTCAGGGTCCGCTCTGACATCTGAACTAGTGCTTGCTTGCGCCTCGCGACTGAGATCAGCGAAGGGCGGAGAGCTTCCTGAACGCCCAAACATTCTGGTTTGCCTTCGTAGCTGACAGTTTCTTGGGCGGAGACGCATCTTCTTTGGGCAGCAATGGTCTGTCTTCGTTCACGTTGTGAATCGGAGGCTGTCCGCGGTCGCGTTTCCCTGATGAGGGGCTGATGGAGCTTCTTGCGTCATATCCGTCTTGCGGAGAATGCACTTCATGACTGGGAGAAAGCGCGGTCACGCCTTGCGGATCTGCCTCCGGCTGCCCAGGAAAGTTGAGCCTCTGAACATTCGTTTGCTCTGGGAAGGCAATAGAGTGTGTGGTCTGTCGTAGTGACTCATCCTCAATTCGGGCGCCATGTCCGTCAGTGCCGACGAAAGGGTGCGCGGTGATCCTAACGGATGCTTGATGGCTCGATCATAGGCGATACTTTGTGCGTGACGATATTGAGCATCTTGATAGGAGTTAGGAGACGTGTGAGGTGCGTGACTCTCGAATGTCGAATGAGTCGCTCTCAGTGCCAGATCATGTGACAGCGTTCATTGTGGCTCCTTCAGGGGTCTGTCGCGGGATACCAGCCACATTGAGTTGAAGTCATTTGTCAGTAGTTGGAGTTGAGGCGTTTTTGTTGATGATGATAAGAGAGAGAGAGCGAGAGAGCGAGGAGTCTATATATATACAAAAGAAGAGCGGCAGAGAGCCGCATTGACTGTGGAACATAACAAAGCATTTGTCTTGAGTAGGTTGTGACACATGTGGTCCGTGCTAAGATGCTCAGGCCTTTTACTCGGCCGTAAGCACTACCTTCACTGTCTCTACGCTTTGTGTAGCTTTATCTACTTCAACTCCCCCCCTCAACAGTATATGTACCCTGTTCATTATGCTGTTGTTTCAAGGTGTGACCTCTGTTCTTCAACACTGTCGCATAGCTTGGGGACCCTGTTTCGTACACTGCTGCCGGTATTTGCAGGTGTAGCCCAGATCTTGCTTGCTGCATTGCCTGTCTCCCAATGGGCTTTGTGAGTACGTCTGCCAAGTTTCTTGTGGTGTCTACGTACTTGATCTGCACCCTTCCCTCTTGGACATTGTTATGGACAAAGTGATACTTGGTGTCGATGTGCTTAAGCTTCCAGTGCTGTGCTGGGTCCTTACTAACCTGTATGCAACCAGTGTTGTCCGAGTAGACCGTCAGTGTGCCTGTGGCAATGCCAATTGAGTGTAGCAGCTGCTTGAGGAAGAGCACCTCACATGTTGCTTCCATGGCTGCAATGAACTCTGCCTCGACAGTGGACAATGACATGCATTTTTGTGTTGCTGACTTCCAGGCTACTGGATTCCTGTACACTAACGCCACTGACCCTGATGTACTCCTTCTCTGTATGGTGGCATCGCTCACCCAGTTTGCATCGCTGTGCGCAACCAGTGGCTCTTGCGACTCACTTGCCCTATAAACCAATCCAACCTGCCTTGTGCTTTTGAGGTAGCATAAGACCCTTTGTGCTGCCTGATAATGCTCCTGTGATGGTTCACGCATGTGCCTAGCGAGAACACCCACGGTAAGGCTAAGGTCAGGCCAGGTGCTGTTGGCAACCCAGAGCAGCTTGCCAACAATCACCGGATACTCCTTCTGTTGTGCTGCGCTTGCGATAAGGGTTCCCTCTGGTATGCTCTGCATTGGAACCATGGTTGGCTTCATATGTTTGTCCAGGTGCTTTGCCAGCACTTGGTCAATGTACCCTGACTGACCAATCGTCATGGTGCGCATCACACAGTCTCGACTGATTTTGATGCCCAGGAAGTGAGAGACCTCACTGCTATCTTCCATCTTCCATCTCTGACCAATCTGCTTCTTAACCTTTAGGACCGTTTCCAGCCGTGGTGCTATGACTAATGTATCATCGACGTAGATGACCACAATGGCCATATCTTCACCCTGTCCCTTGGTGTAGATGCAGGGAGCACACTCTACCTGGAAGAATCCCATGCATCGCAAAGACCTGTCAAACTCCTGATTCCATTCTCGCCCAGACTGCTTTAGGCCATATAGACCCTTGACTACCTTGTACACCTTGCCGGGTGCTACTCCTGATCCTTCTGGTGGCTTCATGTAGATTGCTTCCTTTAACATGGAGTTCAAGTAAGCCATAGTGATGTCCAGAGCATGTACCTCCCAGTTGTTCTGCACCGCTAGTGCTAAGATGGCTCTGATCACTCTGAGGGGTGCTACTGGAGAGAAGGTTTCTTGGTAGTCGATCCCCTCTCTCTGTGTGAAGCCCCTTGCAACCAGTCGTGCCTTGTGCTTAACAGGTACACCATCAGCGTCAAGCTTCAGCCAAAGCACAACCTTAGAGTCCACAAGTGGTACTCCTGGCGGTTGGTGCACCACCTCCCAAGTCCCCATTGCCTCGAGTCCTTCTAGCTCCTTTCGTATTGCCTCCTTCCAGAGCTGGGCATCCTCACCATTCATTGCTTCCCCAAGTGTTGGGTCCAGGTTCAGTATTGCTGTGTTGGCAGCGCCTACTGTGCTGTCTATGGCTGGTAGGAGATCCTCCACTGCGGCCTCTGATTTGGTCTCCTCCTCCACTATGGCTGGCGTGACACCCTCCTCCTCGACCTCCGTGGTCACCATGGGCCTGACTGCCTCTTGTTGGCGATCACTCCATCCTTTGTCCTCATGGAACGTTGCTGAGTTGCTCCATTGAATTGACGCAGGCTGGTCCGGGTTGCAAAACTTCCATGCTTTGTGTTCGTCGTCATACCCAATCATGATGGCTGGCTTTGCTCTAGCCCCATACTTGCCTTGCTGGTCCTTCTGTTGAACATGAACCCATGCCAAGCATCCAAAGACTCGCAGCTGCTGGGCCAGCTTGTGCACAGTGGTTCCATAAAAGGCCTCATGGGGGATGGTTTTGGTGGCTGACGGGGTAAGGTTCATCACGTGTGCTGCTGCTGTGATTGCATATGGCCACAACTCTCTGGGGCAAGCTCGACCAATCAGCATCAAGCGCATCTTTTCTTGGACCAACCTGATTGCTCTCTCCGCCCATCCATTTTGGATGCTGATCCCCAGGACGCTCTTTTGCCACTTGAAACCCTCTTGAGTTTGCCAGTCTTCGGCTGCTATGCTGCACCATTCTCCTCCATTGTAGCTGCGGAGTGTTTTGAGTTTCCTGTCCGTTGCCCATTCCATCCTGGCTATCCACCTCCTCAGCGCCATGAGTGCGGCACTCTTTGTGCAGAGTGGTTCCATGTAGATCAGAGAGGAGAAGTCGTCCACAGCAACTAGTGCATAGTGGTAGTTGGCATGTCCTTTGAAATCTGTCATCAGGTCTACATGTACCAGCTCTAATGGTGCCTCCATTCTTTCTGACTCTGATTGGCCCATCCATGCTCGAGTCTGTTTTCCTTGGCTGCACGCGTTACAGTGCTTCGACTCATGTTCCATTTCCTCATCGGTACCTAGGTAATGAGCCCGGATTTGTCTCGTTTTGTCTCGTCCTGGGTGTCCGAACCTCTCATGCCATAGGTAGCTGTCTTGATGCTTCGTGTCCTTATTGCCCTCTGGGGCATTATCTAGTTTTCCTGTGTTCTGGTTGCCCTCTGGGACGTCGTCGAGTGTCTCTTCCAACTCCAGGGCTAGTGCCTTTCCCTGTACTTCGAACTGCCCTTTTCTTCTGTTCCTCTTGTATTGTATTTGTGTGCCGTCATTTTGCTTAATGATGGTTCCAAACTCATCGAAAGTTACCCATGCACCATTCTCGATCAAGCCTTGTACTGATAATAAATTAGAATTAAGTTTCGGCACGTAGAGCACATCCAATAGCTGAATGGTTACATCGCCAACCCGAAGGGAGGCGTCTCCTATGGCCTTCACTTGAAGCCTTTCATTTCCAGCCGTACAGATCTGACCGTCCTTGCGCGTCGAGGTGAGCAGCATTCTTTCATCGTTCACCATGTGGTGCATCGCACCCGAATCGACGATCCAGGTGTCCAATGTTGGTTGCTCATCCCTGCCGATTGCTAGGAGGGTGCACCCGAGTTCCTACCGACTCGCTTCTTGTGCTGGATTGGTGGTGGGTCCGTCCCTACTCGGTGCGGGGTTATTGTTGGTGTTCGTGCAGTTCCAAGCAATGTGATTAGGTCCTCCACAAGCGTAGCACTTTGGGGGGACCGAGGGGTTGCGAGGATCGCGCCTGCCCCTGGGTCCTTGCTCCGCCTGGTTGGTGCTCCCCTGTTCCGTGCTTGTGGCAACCCTTGCTGCTCCTCTAATACAGCCAGTGACCTCACCATCCTGCTGTTTCTTGGCGAGTGTGTGGTAGGCTTTGTCATACTTACAGTCTGGTCTGGCCGTCTTCAGTGCGTCGACAGCGTTGGCATAGAACCAATCTTGGGCCGTGCAGCGATAGAGAGTTGATTTCTTGAGGTCCTCATCGAAATGCTTTCCCAGGCATGCCGCATTGTTCCAGATCGAATCGAGTTCCTTGCCTAGCCTGACAACGTCTCGATTGTGCAAGTGCACTGTGTGAATATGATCCTGCAGTCCTGCTCGCTTTACAGCATCGTTCAGTGTTAGTGCCTTCTTGAGTTTGGCATAGAGTGTGCTGCCGAGCTGGACTTCTTCATCCGCTCCCCTGACGGTGTAGGTGTTGATATGGCTGTCTGGACTGTTGTCGCAGCAGGCGTGGATGAGACCCACGAGGGCTTTATCCAAGTCTTCGTCATATTCCTCGTTTCCAGGCACCACCATGCCATACAGTATCTCCTTCGCATTATGTACTCTTTGGAGGCAGTCGATGAAGGTAGGTTCCCAAGTGTGCCAGTTGCTGTTGCTGAGCTTTTTGATGTGCGCAATGGCACTCGACACCTCCTTGGGGATCTTCTCGGTCTCCCTGCACGGGGTCTGGTTGCTAATGCTGATGAGGCCCATAGCTCGCACAATTGCTTCCTCGGCTGTTAGTGCTGGGTTCGCCAGCTGGAGGATCCTGACTACCTGCATGAGCCATCCTTCCTCCTGTCCATTGCTTGTGGTTGCTTGATCATCATCGCCCCTTCCCGTCTGTCCAGCTCTTGTCGATGGCAGCATTGCATTGAGTATCAGACTCTTAATCAGTTGAAGTCATTTGTCAGTAGTTGGAGTTGAGGCATTTTTGTTGATGATGATAAGAGAGAGAGAGCGAGAGAGCGAGGAGTCTATATATATACAAAAGAAGAGTGGCAGAGAGCCGCATTGACTGCGGAACATAACAAAGCATTTGTCTTGAGTAGGTTGTGACACATGTGGTCTGTGCTAAGATGCTCAGGCCTTTTACTCGGCTGTAAGCACTACCTTCACTGTCTCTACGCTTTGTGTAGCTTTATCTACTTCAACTCATTGTATCCCGTAGAGATACCAGCCACAACGTCAGAAAGCGTGAAATCTGGTCGCATCTCTTAGTGAAATCACATGACCTCTTTTCATCGCCCTAACATGTCCGCCAACCTCGCTCATCGTCGTCACTCAACATCACCCACCAACGCTACTCATCATCCACGTCAACACCCCTTTGTCCCTATTGCGACAGCACGCAATCATACGTCTCACTTCATTGACATACGCACACACTAACCATCAGCAGAGACATATATACCTGGCATTGCTTGGTACTTAGTCGGCTCCTAATCGCAACGGTTGCTATCCGCTTTGCCGCTCCTCGCTTGTGTATTCCTCAACACTCTCGAACAAATGCCATCGTCTCCTCCATGAGCTGACTCGAAGGTATCCACCTGAAGTTCATCGGTCTGTACAGGTACAGAGGATATTCGTATGGTTAATACTTGGCGACCAGCAGATCTAGGGACGACTTGCTATTGCGGAGAAGTGCCTCGTCTCGCGTCAATCTCTGCCGCGAAATCGGTCGAGAAGGGGAGTCTGATCCTGCTCTTGTGCTTGAAACGACTCGCTTTGCGCTTCTGTCCTGCTTGCGACAGAGCTGCCTGCAAGGTGCAAACTTTGAGATTTTGCTTCTTGCTCCCACGTCTGGCTCTGCTATTAGACTTGACCTCGGTGCCTGTGATCGGTCCATTGAAGATGGCAAGGGTAATACTGGACTCTCAGGGGTCCAACTGTCGTGCACCCAACCTTAAAGCACCTCCTCTAAGGGAGAGATGTGTTGGCGTTGGGTGGCCCGAAAGCTGGCAATCACATCAACTGATTCGCCTACCATGTTTGATTGAGATCCTAACGCCTCCTCCAGCCAGCCAGGAGACATGACTGGAAGGGTAGGTGCGCACACTACGCGAACGTGCGTCGCCTGGATTAACGTGAATAGCAGCGAAAGGATGCGATAAGAGGAGCATTCCACTTAATGACGATGTGTGTCAACGAGCGGGACTAAGTTGTACCCGATCTCTTTTGTATCCGCTTACGTCAACTCGCATCATCATATAGTTATAATAAAGTTTGTAATAAAGTAGTCACTCAGCGACGATGATCTGGAGATATCTGCCACAGTATGGTGTTCAAGCTAAAAAACAAAACACTATACTATATTGACATACTAGAAGTGAATGTGGCGGGAGCCTCGAGCTCCCTGCTAGACTTACAGTATGCATGTAAACTGTCCCAAGATTTTACATGTCACCATACATCACTCTAATACTCAATAGCTATAAGTTGTATTGCCACACTGTCTGATATCATCTGAAAGTGCTGCTTCTTCTCTCCAAGACTGTGGAATTGATATTGACATTGACTAAAAAAATTGTGCTATGAAGAAGAGCCGATTTTTTTTTATTGTGGGACAGTTTATGGAGCATGCTCCCAAATAGCAACACCACTCCATTCCTGACCTTGTGGGCTTTTGACTACAATGAAACTTGTAATGTAACTTGGTGGGCACCTTCATACACATTGAAAGTAGTGATGTGGAAAGTTTCAGCTCAATCAGATGACTGTGAGTGATCCAGCAGCACTTCCAGTCTGACACCATCATATCTATACCATCATGACAAAAACCACTCCCAAGAAGCACCAATTGGCACTCTTTCACCTCCAAAATGGAGAATCTACCTGTTCAGTTGCCAAGAAACTTGGTCTGAGCAAGTCTATTGTCAGAGGTCGTGCGCCTGAAACCTGAGATTGGTAGTTGTATCAATACTATTACCAATTCTGTCGAGTTATGCGACAGTGCTTGTGGTATTGCGATTCTTCATGAGATATGCAGTAGAGCCTTCTCTATTACTTTTCTCGCTCGAATCTGTAGTTGTGATGATGCTATTGCAGATTTCGACTGACCACTGTCAGACACTCCGTCCAGAGGTAGCTCGGCACAATCAATAACTTATGCAAACTTGCTGATGACACCAAAGGTCTGGTGTGAATATGGATTGGTGGCATTGACACAAGTGTCCAGTGCGTCGACTATGCTTGAGGTGATCCCCGGACCGCAGTGGACGACTGCCTTCAGTTCTATCGAGATCCGGACTGCTGGTTTGCTAAGAACCACCTTTGGACATCAGGAAATGGTGATACAACACATGTGCTTCAATGAGGAGCAATCTATTGATTGCAACTTATGCTGACTTGAAAACTAATGAGTACTTATGTTTCTAAAGTATTGACTAGTTGTATGGTGAGTAGAGTGGATGAGGATCCACTCGACCACTTAGTGATGAGAAGGTATGGCTTTATACCTCTTCGCAGTGCCACCAGCGCCACTGCTCCAACTCTCTCTCCAGAGAGTACCTCCTTCGTCGAGTGCTATGCAGGAGTCCCTGTAACCTGTCAGCGGTCACGCGCCTGAAACCTGAGATCAGTAGTAGTATCAGTACTATCACCGATTCTGTCGAATTATGCGACAGTGCTAATGGTATTTTGATTCTTAGTGAAATATGCAACAGAGCCTTCTCTGTCACCTTTCTTGTTAGAATCTGTAGTTGTATTATCATTATGACAGATTTCGACTAACCGCTGTGGACACTCCGTCCAGAGGTAGCTCGGCACAATCAAACTATAATATGACTCTAAGTGAGCTTGATATTGACACCAATGGTCTGGTGTGAGTATGGATTGTTGATGCCAACACGAGTGTCCAGTGTGTCAACTAATGCTTGAAGTGAACCCCGGGCCGCAGTGGACGTCTGCCTTCGGTTCTATGGTTATCTGGACTGCTGGTTGCTATGAACCACCTTCGGACATCAGGAAACGGTGATACAACACATGTGCTTCAATGAGGAGTAATCTGTTGATTACTACTATGCTGACTGTGAACTAACGTTACTTATTGCTTGAAGTAATACTAGTTGCTTGATGAGTGTAGAGTGGATGGATCCACTCGACCATTCATGACAAGAAGGTTTGCCTATATATCTCTTCGCAGCATTGCCAGCGACACTGCTCCTGCTCTCTCTCTCCAGAGAGTACCCTCTTTGTCAAGTATTGTACAGGTGTCTCCAAGGAGGCACCTCCTCCGTATCAGACCTTGTCCCTCCTGTCTTACCTGAGCTGTGTCAACTTCATCGACACTGCTCCTCTTCTTCATGTCCCTTTCGCTGGTGTCCTTTACACAGCTCTCCTTCCTCTGACTGGCGACAGTTCTCTTTTACTCCTGTCTTGTGGGCCCCTGAGTGGTAACCATCTGCATGTCACTTGAGCTCGGTCCCTCTCGCGTGTGAATCGTCATATGGACAACCTTGCTACCGATCTCCACAGAATCTGCCACAAGGTCTCGCTTGTCGCAGATTCCGGTGGGATTCGTGATATCAATGATGCTTGTGCCGATTTCGCTGTGATCTGCCATAGAGCTGATTCTACTGCCGATCTCGGTGAACTCTGCTGCAACTCTTACAATCTACCCGATTCCTGCGCTACCTTCATATGAACTTCGGTCTTTCCTCGCTCTGCGCACCCAGGCCCATGACATAACCCTACTCCTGTCCCTCTTGAGCTGCGTGTCGACCTCCTCGACACAGCTCTTCTTCCTCATGAACTATATGCTGGTGTCCTTGACACAGTTCTCCTTCCTCCTAACTGGCAACTGTTCTCTTGACTCCTATCTTGTGAACCCCTGAGTGGTAACCAGCTGCAATTTACTGAGCTTGGTCCCTGTCTTGGCAGAGCTTGGTCCTCCTCGCCTGTGAGCTTGGTCCTCTGCACATGTGAATTCATCGTATGAACATCCTTGTCACTGATCTCCGCAGAATCTACTATATGACCTCTCCTACTACTGATCTCATCAGAATTCATGATATCATCCTTGTTCATACCGATCTCACTGAGATCTGTCATAGAGCTGATTCTACTGCAGATCTCGGCGACTTCTGCTGCAAATCCTACGATCTGCCCGATCCCCTGATTCCTGCGCTCCCTTCATATGAACTAGCGGTTCTTCCTGCTTCCTGCGCACTCAGGCCCATGACATCTATGGTGTCTTGCATCAGCAAAAGTGCCTCTGCTGATGCTCCAAAGTCAAAGGGGGGCTGGCCAAGAAAACTCCAGCCTTGTCATGTTTGCTTCCTGGACCACTATTTTGAGCTCAATTCAATGTCCACAGTCAGGAAAGCATGTCATGCACGGCAGGAGATGTTTCAAATCAAAGCATGCCCAATGACAGTAAGAAAAGCACTTCATTACTGTCATTACAAAGCATGAAGGTTAGTGAATAAACTGAAGCTACTCAAGAGGCATTACAAAGTGCATCTCAAATTTGTGAATGAGCACAAGGACATGACTGTTGAGGATTGGAAGAATGTGTTATGGTCTGACAAGACAAAGATCAACTTCTTTGGAGTGGATGGGAAGCAGTTCTGTTGGATTAAGAACACCAGCTTCAACAGCAAGCTTGTCAGGCTGACAGTCAAGTTTGGCAGCTGCTCCATCATGATCTGGGGCTGTATGATGTGGGAAGGGGTGGGAGGTATATGCTTGGTGCTGGGATCAATGAATTCAGACCAATACATTGATATCCTGAATGACAAGCTTTTGAAAACAATCTCAGATTTGCAGCTTCAGCATGCATACACTGACGTCACATTTCAGCAAGACAATGACCCAAAACACATGTCAAAGAAGACAAAAACATGGTTGGAAGGCAATAGCATTAAGGT